AAACCTTAGCGACATTGCGCAGTTTGCTTTCGTTTGCGTATCATACATTTTGGAACATGATACATCGCACAGTTAACACAGTTGCATTTAAGAATGCATGACAATGTCACCCTTACCTTCTCATTTTATTTTTTTTTATATTTTATTTTTTAATATTTCTTGAGTAACATAAAAATGATAAATAACATTTACATGTATATTCGTTTTCTACTGCCAGATTTAGTACAAATTGGTAACAATTGTTACTGCCTATTAGTTCACTGAACAAAACTAAAATCAAAAGACTGCATGTCTCGCCATCTCTCTCCCGAATGAAATCTCACACGAGTGTGTACCGCCACTACATACATACGTCGCGTCGTTGGCGAAGTACTACAATGCCAACAAACTTATACAAGTGCGATGTGTAAGATGCGCACCTCAATTCAGTTCACTATCAACCTTTGTTGTGTTCGCTTCGTGTGTCTACTTGATTTGTAATTTTAAGAATTCACGCTGAATAATGGACGATCTGGAGGAGCAGAAGTTTAATGTACGTTTCGTACATACTGTGGAGAAGTATCCAGTTATATACAATACTAATTTAAGAGACTTTAAACAGAAACGAAGTATTCTTGCAAGGGAAGAAGCGTGGAAGGCTATTGCAGAGAAGTTCAACAGTGAAGGTAAGTGCACAGTAGTTAACATACATATGTTTCTACATGTACATATCTATGTTAGGAGTAGAGGATAAACAAGGCGAATTAAGTAAGGTGAAGCTACTGCGGCAAGAGTTGAGCTCTTCATTCATTTATTTGCTTTTAATTTAAATGCGCAAACGTTATGCTGGGCAGTTATGTTTTTACAATTGCTAGTTTTAATTTCAGTTATTAAATTAAATAAAAAATACCTTATGAGAAGTGTTAAAAGACTTTCGGGCCAATAGAAACAAAAATTCCCTGATTTTGTTTGCATCGAATTTGCATAGTTATTTAATTTAAAAATTAGTTGTCTATTTGCAATTGTGTCGGTTTGTTCTACATTGGTTTTGTTGTCAAAGATTTTTGTGTTGTATTTGCTAGGTGTCATAACACAGTGATATTAAAACTGTTCACATTTGATCCTTTTAAACCTCGTCTGCTGTTTTCAGTTAACCTGAAACTCAGATTCTAATATTTTTATCTTTATTCAGTAAATTATTTATACTTTCCTCATCAATATGAAGTTTATTTGTGACAATTGCCCATTCGTAGGCTTCGTAGGTTTTTTTTTATCTTGCTGACCTAGCGATGGCAAACAAGGCCAATTCATAACGTTACTAACGATGTGTCCTCTCTCTTCGAACGAAAACCAAACTCTTCAAGTCGTTTCCGACCTGCTATATGGTGCGGAAGTATAGACGATGAAAACATCTGGTGAGTCGGCGTTAGGAGTTATCGAAAAAAAGGTTTTACTATAGTTCAGCGAATTAAGAAGCAGAGGCTACGGAGCCTCTTTTGAAAAGCTTCGATACAGTACGCGCCGGTGGAAGCAGAGGGAGGAGAAGACCTCCACTCCGTTGAATAGACCAAGTAGAAAAGGACCTGGCTGTACTTGATATATCCAATTGGCGCCAAACAGCGAAAAGAAAAAACGAAACATGCCGCACTTCCGTGTACCGCCAAAAAACAAAAGCCAATTTTTTTTTATTAATTTGTTTTTATTTTTATAAACATATACTAAGGAAATTTTCCCATCACCTTTATTTCACTTTAACTTTAATAAAATGTCGAGTAGTTGCCGACAACAACTGACCAAGCGATAGCGAATATCATTAAAAGAAGTACAACGAATATTAAAATCGCTAAAATGATCGGAGTCATTTTAACAAGCCCAAAATCGTTATAACACAGTAGAGAATGCCGCCGTAAAAGTGAGTTCTATTAGTTGGGGATAAATTCAAAGATTATGATGAATTTTTTCACATTTTAGTTGTTGACATTCCGCACAAAGTAGGATGACATATATACATATGTACATACGTCTGACAAAGCACAAACATGCTCATACACAACGTGGTCAAGGTTCCCTTCCCGGCCATTTGGTATCTCCGTGCCCTCCTCCAAAACCCTTGTATAACTATTAAAGTGTCTGTGAAAGCTTCGTTTCAAACAGTTTCCTTAAGAAATTACCAATCGTCTCAAACTTTTTAAACTCCCACTCTTACCAGTCGTAGGCAAACGCTTGGTGCAATATCCATGGTAGAAATAAAGAAAAATACTTAATTTCTGGTATTTCTTCTTATCGAAATAAAATTTAGTGCTCTGTTTAAAATAACCAGTGATTCTTGGCCCTTCGTTCTAAAAATTTTTAAATAAATGTTTGGAAATTACAAGCCCTTTCGCTTTTTGCGTCTGTATTTCAACTCCTATTGTGGTCCCATCTGGCCGGTCCCGGCGAATGATCGTTTAAATGCACTAGAGCATATGTGTACTAAGAGGTCTGGTTGAAATATCTCAAAAGTTTAGTGGCGAATTGCGTACAAAAAGACTGCCAATAAATGTATTATTACGGAGAAATATAATTAGTCTTCACGATTAAATTATTCACTCATTTCATTCAGCCAATGATCTGACCTATCTATTACGCTCTAATAAGTCGAAATATTATCATTTTATTTAAGGGACAATTCCATTCTAGAGGTTGAAAAATAGAATAAATTTTAAAAATATGGGTGATTAAGTCCATTATTGAAGCCATGTTTTTATGCAATACGTCCATGGGAGGACCGATTTCTTCTAAAGGTTGAGACCTAGAGCAGAAAAACAAAAAGTTTCATGATCTATAAACTACGGTCTTTGGAAGTGCGTACGGATTCATTTTTTTAACTAACTTCCAAAAGAAAGGCATTTGTGAAGCTGGCACCAAAAATGCAGATAAATCGATGAAATAGGATCCGAATGATTTGTCGTCACAGTTTGAAAAATGTGATTTTGAGAAAAACACATTCAGTCTGAGGAGTTGCAGCAAAATAAAAAGTTCAGCTATTTGAAATATTTTTTCACTTTAAAATGAATTGCATATAATTTCTAGGACCCAAAGGTGCGCTGTGAGCAAAAAAAAATAAAAGAAATTGCGTTTTCCAATATCCTGGAACAGCTTTACCCCTTAATTGAACTTATGTATCCAAAACTATAATTAAACACGTATTAATTTAATCGATTATTATTGTATTACTTATGTCACTCTTTTCCTCTCGAATTTTTCAGTATTTCCATTGCAGAAAAAATGGAAAAGATTCCGTACCACTTTGCAGCAAAACTTAAACCAAAATAAAAGATTTGAAACTAGTCGGCTATATTATTTATATGATCACTTAAAGTTTCTTATACCGTACGTTAAAGTTACGAATGGGAATCACAATTCGAAAGCGAACTATGAAGAAGAGAAAGAAGGAGAGGAAGAATATGAAATAGTTGATGAAATAGATGGCATCGATCAAAACACAATGAGTTACGAAAGTAATGATTCAGATGAAATTTCTACGACAAAGCAAAGACAATCATTGTCATTGTTAGAGGGGGAACCGATTCAAAAACCTACCAAACCACGGCAGGGCCTGAAGAGGAAAAGCAATGCGTTTAGCAATGGAGACTTTAGGAACAGTGCGCACTCTACTCCACTTTCGAATGTTACCCCTGTTGCTTCCAGCTCCATCGGAAATACTGAACTTGAGCTATCAACAAGGTGTGAAAATGACAAAACTCATTTTTTATCCAGTTTAATACCAGACTTGGATGAAATGTCCAACTCACAAATGAGGCATTTCAAAGTCAAAGTTTTAGAGTTGATAGACGAAATTTTGACAGAAAATTAAAATTTGTAACGCTTAAAAGTAACCTTTTAGAATGAAATAAGAGTATTTGTTTATTAACAACGCAATAAAGAAGAAAATGGAAAAAAGATGTGATATTTGATTTATCGTAAGTGTTTTATCGTATGTCGATTTGTTTATATTAACGGCTGTGCTACTCGCAGTTGTCATATTTTTGGTATTGTAAGGGACAAAATAGTTTTTTTTTTTGGGTATCGGTCCGATTTCTTTTATCTGAAAACTGTTATTTGTTCGACTTGAAACAAAGATCAGCTTTAATAATTATTTATTTATATTTTTTAACGTAATTGAAGTGAAAAATGAAGCAAAAATGTAATCTTATAATTGCAATGAGTATTATGCAATAAATTTATAGTTGAAATTGTTTCATTTGAGATTTCGGACGTAGAAAATTGCATTTGATTTCAGTCTACCACAAAAAAAAACAAATACAAACCTTGCCTGATTTTGGCCAATATCTTCAGTTTTTCCTCTTTTCTTTCACGCTTTTATACTTCACACCTAACTTCATCATATAACTCGCTGTGAAAATGCCATGAGGATTTTTGACAGTTGTCTAGCAATAAAGTATGACAATAACGTCAGTTGCAAAGAAACCATACAATGTCTCGCACTCTTAAATGCAACTGTGCAAACTTTGGCAATGTATCATGTTCCGAAATGCATCGGTAAAGTTATTGAAGCACAAACAAAAGCAAACAGCGCATCGCTAAGGTTTGTGATGCTTTATTTTATCACAAATTCTTAACAACAACGACCGTTGTTTTCAAACATTATATTACTTATATTCTTGATCTGTTTTATATTTCAGCCATTTTACCGAAAAGCAACTTATTTGCACGAAAAGCATTCCAAAATGTTAGATGCACCCTCGTCACAAAAAATTAAGCAATCAAAAAATCCACAAGAAATGTTGCTTCCTAGCAGTGCCACAGAAGCTCGACGCAATTTATTTCACTTAGTACAATTATTTAAAATAACGAAAGATATATTGATATATAGAATTATTATATTAATGAATAATATTGTTGCCATGAAAAATGCAATCAACATAAATCGGCTTTTGTAACAAAATTTTTTTCTTCACACTGAAAATATGTGCGCAGAAGAAGCGTTGTCAAAACCAAAAAAAAATTGGAGAATGAAAACTTGACAATTTGAATGAAAATATTGTAACTGTGTAGGTAAGAGAGCAAACATTTGAGAGTGTGTGAGAAAATTTATGAATTCAAGGAGAAACTGGGTAGTTTGGCTGCACGGCCATGTGGTTAAACATATAAACATTCGGCGTGTATTGGAGTCTCTCTCATGAACTCAACGAACAAGTTCCCGAACGAGCGAAGATTATTACTACATACGTGCATATACATATGTACATCATGCACTACAATGCCAACAAACTTATGCAAGTGCGATGTGTAAGATGCCTACATCAATTCAGTGTCCTATCAACCTTTGTTGTGTTTGCTTTGCGTATTTTCTCGCTTTGTCATTTTTAACATTTCGCTGCATAATGGATGGGCTATTGGATCAGAAGCTTAATATACGTTTCGTACAAACTGTGCAAAAGTATCCAGTTATATACAATACTAAAATAAAGGGTTATAAGCACAAGCAATGCATTCGTGCAAGAGAAAAAGCGTGGACGGCTATTTCAGAGCAGTTTAAATGTGATGGTAAGTATACAATTTAATAAGGCAAGGTCGGAGGAGAGACGGTCCGTATTGAGTAAGGTAAAGTTACCTTCGCAGCGAATTAAAAATTTTTCATTCATTTGATTTAGTTAAGGGACTGTGAACCTGACTTTTGGGTCTTCTTTTAAATAAATAAAATATTTTTTAGTTGTGATAACACTAGTAGCTAGTGTTTCATATTAATTGAAATTTCAATTATGATAAATAATAAAAATAATTATAATGATCTCTTATTCACTAATCAAATTCAAATGCAGATCTGGTAACTGCAGGTGTATAGGATAGCATTTTTATAACGTACGATTTCAAATTAAATCAAGCACATAAATAATATTTTCATCGTAAAACCAAATTTGCTGAACTAATAAAATAAGTTAAAATAAAAAACATTTTTATTTTCTCGATATTAATTATTACCTGTTTATATCTCTTCAAATTTTTAGTATTGCCATTACAGAAGAAATGGAGAAATTTTCGTGCTACTTTGCTCCAAAAACTAAGCCAAAAGCAAAAAGGCCAAGACGCTCAGCCATATTATTTATACGATTACATAAAGTTTCTTATACCATATCTTGAAAAATCGTATGAGCCTCGGGAATCGAATGCAAAATATGAGAAAACAGACAATGAGGAAATCAAAGGACAGGTGAATCAGCAATGCGCTGAAGAATATGAAATAGATGGCATCGATCAAAACACAATGAATTATGAATATTATGATTCAGATGAAATTATTACAACAAAGCAAAAACCATCATTGTCCTCATTAAAGGGGAATATTATAACCGTTGAACCCACTGAAAGATCATCCAACCCACAGCACAGACTGAAGAGAAAACCGAATGCGTTTAGTAATAGAAAATTTATGACCAGTGCGCACTCTACTCCGCTTTCCAATGCCACACGTGTTGTTTCAACCCCCATTGGAAATACTGAACTTGAGGAATTGGCAAATGGTGAATATGCCAAAAAGCATTTTTTATTCAGTTTAATACCAGATCTTAATGAAATGTCCAACTCGCAGATGAGACATTTCAAATACAAAGTTTTAGGGTTGATAGATGAAGTTTTGAAAGAGAATTAAAATTAATCACGTTTAACAATTACTTTGTAAAATTCAACAAAAAAAAATATTTCATTATCAATAACGTAATAAAAACTTTAGAAAATAGAAGAAGAAATACATATGTATGTACATGCATATTTGATTTAAGGCATACGTAAAAAATAGGACGCCAAGACCAATCCGATGTGATTTATGTATGTAGATAACGAGTTACTTGCGTTTAACAGTAAGCTAGCGACAGTAGCAACTATAGCTACACCGAATCAGGCCGGAAAATTTATAACTAAGTGCGAAATCGAGCTGCTTGCTCCAAACAAACCTGCCGATCGTCCGATGTAAAAGCACGATTTAAGATGGCAGATACCCGACTAAAAGTGGTATTAAGACACGACGAAGAAAAAACTATGAAACATAGTTCATCGTCTGTGTTTCATAGCCGACTTGTTTTGTAGAGCACCTTAAGAAGGTATTCCAACCGAACACTGCTCAAATAATGTACCTTTGTCACTATATCATAATGTTCCTGGATACAATGTTACTGGCGGAGCATTTGTGTCTAAACTGAAAAATATTACTACCGTCTTAGATCCAAAAAAAATCTTCTACTTTCGATCATATCACACTAAAAATGCTATTAGAACTGCCAAGCATGGCTCTCGTATTTCTCCCAAAGCTTTTCAGTCGAAGATAATTATGATAGCTAAACCAGGTAAAGACGCAACCGTGCTGTCATCATGTCGACCAATCAGCATTTCCGAACTTTTCGAAAAAGCGATGCTTCCACAGATCTCCTTTTCCCCATGAAATAGACTTACGCAATTCCAACAAATCAATTTAGATTTGGCGAAAAATATGAAATAGGAAAATTTTGGGAGAAATGAAAAGAATAAATCCATAAAATTAAACAACTACGACGTAACACTAAAAGCAAATCAGTACATAACAGAGGAGTATCAAATGAGAGTAGGTGTTCGGTAAGTGTTCCCAAAAATCAAGCTCAGCATCGATTATTCTTGCAACAGCAGCACTAGGATTTCAGCGCGCTCTTCCAATATGTATTGGCTCATGGATAAAATGGCACTGAATGACGTTCCAGAATCACGCACATTTGTCAAAATCGGCTGAAAACCGACAGAGTTATTCAATGTTGAAATACCGAAGGTCTGGATGGCGCACACTGTACTGTTCACCGCAGACATCACGACAAGTAAAGAAGTATCTACGTCAACTTTTGCGGATGATACTGCGATAGTAAGTGCAGCCAAAAGAGTGGTGAAACAGCAATATAAACTAATTGAAGGTTGGCTAACAAAAAGAGGAATAAAAGTTAATGAAAATAAGTGCAACACATAACTTGAACCCTAACACCTTGGCCTCTACAATAAACCAGCCTTCTAAAGAGAACCGTCAGCTGTGATGATTCGAAATTGATTCTATTATTGTTGATAGTTCAAACAAAGATGCTTTGTAACAATAAATTTCATGTTTACGATAATGCAATATTTATATAAGATATTCAATACAGAATTCTGTTAGTTGACTAGATGGGCAGGAACAACTTTAACATCTGGATCGTGCTCTTTGAGCCGAACGGTTGGCTTAGTTGGAAAGAAAGTTGCAAATCCATTCTGGGAAAATCTGACCCAGTACACACTAGCAAGTATGAAAAACAGCTGATTTGTGATCGTTAGATTGAATTTTTGTTAACAAAACACAAATTATTTAATATGAAAATAATATTGATTCTTTAATATGAGTGATACACACCGCATCACCGATCAATCCAATAGTTAAGATACTCTTTAAATGCGAATGCGGTGGCAGTAAAGTGAGATGGATGGATCGTCGTCTGCTTACCACCGAGCCAACGTTGACGAATTAGGAACTGAGAATGTTGAAAGCATCGAATTAGAACAAATAATTTTATTTTGTACAACGCGAATTGATTTGGGATTCCTTAAAATTACTAGAAAGCATTGTCGACAATGCCGCGAAACAATGCGAAGCAAGGTTTGTTGCTAAGGTCACACTGACGATGGTGCAAATGAAATATTAGTGGCATTTAGAAGGGAAAAAATAAAGCTCTTGCTTGGTTTTTATTCAAACCAAATCGAATAAAATCTATAATAATATTGAGTTAATATGGCAGAGTTACACGGGAAAAGAATTTGAATTTGCCGAAAACCTAAACAACAAATCGTCGCAAAGCAAGTTTTACATAAGAATTTGTCCTTTTAGAGGACTATAGAAAGAACATATCGTTGTTTTTATTGTTAGATGGGTATTGTTGAAATGGAATAAATTTTGAATACAATTAATAAATTAAATATAATATATAACAGCCAAGTCCGTCTCTCCAGCAAGATTTTAATTTTTTTAGGGCTTACGAGCAGAGTGTATACTAGGTTGACCCCATTTTACAAATGATTATATTACTAAAATCGAAGTGACTATATACAAAGACTTGGAATCAAATTCCGGGCCTTTAGCTGTCAATGTTACAATTGGTAGCTTCTCGCTGATCCCTGCGGAAATGTGGGGTAAGCTTACGTTTATTCAGCATAAACATAATAGGACGTTTGTAGCTAAAGAAAACTTATGGAAGTTCTGCTGAACCAGCTTTCCCTTGCGAAAGAAACGAGTATATAAACAGGTAAGTCGACTTCTTTTGACATGGTAATATTTTCGAACGCCACTAAATTCTGCGTTTACATGTCGGATGAACGATGCGGATAAAAGAAATAAATGAGAAAACTATCATCAGTTGGTGTGGGGTCATATGCCCACAAATGGAGTCTGTTTCCATGTTATGCCGATATTGCAATAAACATGAGAGTTTCTTCTCCAAGTTACCAAAAGGAAACACCGAGCGACCCGTCTCCCAGTTTCTTTTAACTTTCAAGCTGTTGCGCGTTCCTTTAAAACGGTATCGGTCGGGATATTTCAGAGAAATAAAACACTAATTAACTTATATTCGTTAATTTTTTGTGTTCAATTTATTATCATCGTGTTTAGAGCCAAATTTCTGAAAACAAGTAAATTAAATTTAGAAAAAAATCAGTTATAAAATCAAATATCATCACTCAAATATTTTTCCCATCGTAAATAATTCAGAAATATAAAACCTTCCTACAATACCTTTAACTAGTTTATACATCAAGTAAAAATCAATAAAAATAATCAAATAAGAATAAAACATAATTAACCTTAAATCTAATTGTATTCAGTATCAGTTTCTTCGCCAAGATCTCATTCATTATAAATAAACATTTTTTGCTGGACATGTTTGGCAGCTTCCTCTTTATACACTGGAACTACTTCTCACGTCATTACCATCACTATCTTTAACTTCCACATTCAAGTGCTCCCTTATGTTTCTTTTTAGCTTTCTTGGAAGGCTTGCCATCAAAATAACCGAGGCATTTAATCCAGCAATATCCAGAATACGAAAGAAAAGTGTCAACGGCAATCTATTATTCTCTCTTGTTGTCGAATATAGTTTAACTTTCTTATCGACCCCGCCTTTTGTTTGTTGTTAAAAGAAACGACGCTTGTTTTGTGCTTTTTGTTCATATTTTCATCTATTTCAGCAGTTTTTTTTTTTATCAGTAAAACGAGAACATAGGTATTCCTTTTTTGCTTTTACGAATGGTCAGTGTCAGATGGTATGGGTCGTCGGGCTGTTTGCGTGCATAAAGTCCAATGTTGAGGACATACTCGTAATATATAGCAGCGTCTACAAGCGGATAAAGTTTTATTCTAAATTTGTCAGAATTTGATTTATGTATGATACAGTCGAAACGGACGGAAACCTATCCTCATCTCATCAATAACAACGTCCTGACTTACAGAATATGGTAAAAGACAGTTTCGTGTGAATATTTCTAGAACCTCTCTTATGGGTGCAGCTTTGTCCAGAGTGCGACGACATGGTCTTCTAATAACATCGTCAAACCGCAATGAATTGAGTAAAAATTTTATTCTTTTCAGTGACATAGTAGTGGGAAAAATAAAACCGCCTGCCCCGTCACTTGCATATAAATCCTCTTTAAGGATCCTGATCCTATCTGTACATAGTTCTTTGGATGAATTTAATAATATTCTCAGTAATGAATAAATTCCAGGCTTGCATAAATTTGTTCACCCCGAAGTCATTGATACGAATACCTGAATCTTCAGTGAGAATATTTTGAACTTGGCACCTCATCCGTAAATCAGTGTTTTTAGTTAGAAAAAAATAAAAATCCAAAATGTATAGATATATTTTACGTCTAGAATTAATTAGAGATGAAGAAAAAAGGGCAATAAGGCGCATGCTAAGAAATTTGCGAAAAAAATTACAAATTAAAATGTCGCCTGAACAAACAGTTTTTTAGAGCTTATAAACGAATTGGCACCATATCACAAGGGAGTAGATGCTCATTTTCAGATGTAATTTTGAAACAAAATATTTTATACAAAAGACATTTTTGCTTCTTTCGTACAGCCAACTGCGTTGCTAACTCTTTCGTTCATATATCGTATCCAAATTTGTAAAAATTTGTTTAGCTGTACTTTCGTTGCTGGCAAAGCCAAGAAAAGAGTCACTCAAGAATTCAATATTCAAATTTCTTTCAGTTTTTCCCCTCGCTTCATCACGATTCTCCGGTGCATTTTCATCTATAAATTTTAGAGCATGAACATAAAATAAATGAAGGAATATACGAATATTCATTAATTCATTTTATATTGACATTTATACTGTTGCGATTTTGCTGAATCCACCTCGATGATTTTCCTGAATCCTTCGGGTACGATCTCTGGAATGTAAAATAAAAAATCGCCAATTTAATTTGCAGTTTCTTTCGTTATAAAGAATTTATCTAATGTCCTTTATTTTCTCAGTAATTCACAATTCAATTACAATGCACCTTACTAGCTATAATCACTTGCATAAACTTTCACAATTTGCTTTACTTAAATGTAATCTCCAACGCGTTTACTTTACGACTCTATAGTGATGTTGTCGCCAACGAGTTCACTTTGTAACTAACTTAACTTGGCAGCTGATTGTCGCTCTTATAGAGTAGATAGAATAATCGAGTTGTTCGCTATCGAAGGCTCTCGTTTTATCGTTTCTAGAATGTACTAGTTATCGGCTTCTCTCTTTCATCTGACATTCGCCTCGCATTTTCGCAATAGTATTTTGGCAGTTCCACTGGTCGCGAGCTGTACACTTCCCAAATTTGCCGTAAAAGTTGAAGCCACATGCAAAGGAGTCGTTGTTAAGTTACTATTTTTATTAGTGTTGATCCTTCCCATTTGGTTGTCAGCTGGTTTGGAAACATTATCATGTCGATTAAGGGCTTTAGGTTTTTCTCCGGGGTCTGGTAATAATTCGCTGACATTTGATGAGACTGAGTCGACTTCATCATAATCAAAATACATTGGGTCTTGGCCGATTTCATCTCTTGCTTCCGTTATTTCATTTTCATTTGCATTTTGTTTGGGATCGGCCTCATAGTGAATATCCATACAATCCTCACCCTCCTCCTCTATTCTTACTGACTTCTGTAACTTTCACAGAAACGGTATTACAAATTTTATATGATCCTTCAAATAATATGGCGGAACATGTTCACTTCCTTGCTGTTGGCTTAGCGTTCTCGACAGAATAGTGCGCAAATTAGTCCATTTTTTATTTTTTCCTCAATGGTAATGCTAAAATTATGGGGAATAAATATAAACACATAATTAACTTTCATTTAAATTTGCACTAGAAATGCGCTAAGAAATCAGATAAAATTCTGTGGAAGGTAATGAGGGCTACATAAGTTACGAGGCTCAAAAATTGGTCCTTTTAGATGTCTTTGGAGAAACAGTTTTTAATTTGTTATTTACAAGTTAGGGCTTTCAAGTAGAGTTTCTCCTAAATTTATTATGCACATCCCTCCTGTGGATGAAATACCGAAAAACCTTTAAAAACTCTCCTTGGATGCGCACTCCATTTCGGTGGTTTAGATTATCTAACATGAAAAATTATGATGGATTCCTTTGAAGATACGACTAGTGAATTTATTGAACGAATGAATATTAAAATTGAAAAAAAAAAGTTTTTTTTATTCAAATCGGTTAGTATTAAATTTTTTGTATTAAACTTATTTCTTCTCTAAATACCTGCTTAGTACTTCCGTCGGCCAATCGGTTAAACCATTTTTGAGAATTAGAGTTCATCTAGTTATTTGAGGACTCTACTCTACCTGTCCAAGAAAAGTGCCGTTAAAGACTAAGGCACAGGTAGATCAAAGACTACGCTTCGCCAAACAGGATTATTATCAGCCCTCGACCAAATGTTGCAATACCTTCGAATCGAATACTGTCACGTACGACGGAAAGTAATGTAAGACGACCACCAAACACCGAATATCAACACAAAAACGACGGGTGCCTCATATGTAAGAGTCATCAGAACAACATGCCACCATATGTTATAGGAAATTCCAATTATTTAGACGTCCCAGCAAGACAACGAGCTCTAGTAACAAGAAAAGTCGATGTCGTGGAATATCCGCCCCAGTCCCCTAGCATCCACGAAGTAAGCCGAGATCAAAAAGTCAACTGAGGCTGTGAAGAACGCATTGAGTGAAGTCAAAAATTTGTTTTAATGCCTAAAAAAAAACAAGAAAGCAAAATTGTTGCCAAGAATTTCAACTTCTGTCACATAACTAATTTTTCGACATCTCAAATTCTTCGAATTTTATTTTATGTATGTATGTACATATATATATCTCATTGGAATAAATTAATCTATCAACTCTTTTTCGAATGATACCCAGACCTGCCAAGCCTAAGAACGAAATCCGTTCGTATAGACCAATGAGCTATTCTCTTAAGTGTTTGAAAAAATATTCTGACCTAGAATTTTGCCTTTTTTTGAAAGAAAACAAGGTAATACCTGATAATCATTTGGATTTCGCCGATATCACGGTATGCCTGAACAATGCCATAGGGTAGTGGACTACATTATGGAACCCCTTCGAACGGAAGGAATACTGTTCAGCTGCATTCTTAGACATTTTCTTCTCAAATATATTTAATTCTTAGGTCCTATTTGACAGAAAGAGCATTTTATGTAAAGATAAATGACGAAACATCCAACATAGCATTTATGATTGCTGGAGTACCACAGGGAAGCGTGCTCTGTCCTGTACTATCCACCATTTATACATCTGACATACCTGTAACAGAAAATGTATTAATTGCTACATACGCTGATGACACCGCTCTATTGTCATCGAGAGAGTCACTAATCGAAGCAACTAATTTAGTGTAAGAGGAATTAAATAAGATACAGACTTGGTTAGAAGTGATACCGTTAAATACCTCGACATGCATTTGGACCAACGACTAACATGGAAACAGCACATACAAGCCAAAAATAAACAATCAAAAATAAAAACTAAACAACTCTATTGGCTACTCGAGCACAAATCACCGTGATATCTTCAAAATAAACTACTGTTGTACAAAGCCACACTTAAGCCTACATGGACATGTGGTATTCAACTGTGGGCCACCGCTAGTAACTCAAATATTGAAATTTTGCAAAGATACCAATCAAAACCTCTTAGATTGACTACAAATACCCCTTGGGACATCACAAACAAAGCCATCCATTCAGATCTAGATATGTCTTTTATTAAAAAAGAAATTAAAAGATTTAGCACAGCTTACCGACGCAGGATAAGCAATCATGTAATCCCTTGGCAATAATGTTGCTGGATGAAAGCAATGAAACCATCAGACTTAAGAGATGTCATATTCTAGATCTTCCATTTAGAAATTAACTTCGTTGTATTAAATTACATATGTATGTATATTGATATGACAATAAATTGTTAATTATCATTATTATATAGTCTTTTAGATCATATTTTGTTTTATTATTGGCCTCACTGGAGATCAATAATATAAGTTCAATTGTAATTGCGTTACATAAGGTCAACTCTTCACCAGCCAAGTCTTTTGTCATAGACAATAAGGTGGATGCATCAGAACATTCCAAACAAGCTCTCGGAGCTTCTGGTGAGTCACTATCAATGTATATGGACTGGTGTTTTCCTGATCTTCCACAATTCCTTTCCTTTTTCCTTTCCCAAAACTAGACGATTGCTTCCCCATAAAGTATGACTCCTTACAAACCCCACCAACAAAATGTTCTGTCCATCAGTCCTGGTTTGGACAACATTTGCAACTGAGCACTAGTCTACGACGGTGCTGCAAGTGATCTACTTTTCATCACCAGTCACCTTCCCCATCAGAAATGGGTCGATTTTGTTACCATTCAGAAGCGATTCTCACATGGAAATTCGGTCCATCTATTTTTTAGTTAACACAAGGGTCATCCATACATTGAGATTCTTTGTATATCCAGCCTTTTCAAGTGATTCCTAACTGTGTTCTCTTCTGCTCCTATTATGGTTAGACTCAACGATTTCCATTATTTTATCGACATTTTCGACAACTTCCACACCGAGGAGAATATTTTAAACCAAAATTGTTCCTGATTGACTGCGACAGTATCAGGACCATATTCACATTTTCAGCTGCTTGACCGACTTGTATTTTCGCCCGTATTAAAAAAATTTAGCATATTTTATCTTTGCATGTACGGAAACTCTACTTAGTTAAGTGCTTAACCCTAGTCCTGCTACCTTTTTTCTTTTGTACAGAATATCATTTTTCTAATGTGATCTAGCGTTTTTTTCGATACTCATTAGTAATTTACTCAATTCATTTAAATTGAAAGTTTCAAATAGTTGGCAACTCTGCTAAATATTTTTCTCGTTAAGTCTTTTTTAATTTCTACAATTTGATACCCATATTGTAATATTTCGTTTATTTTATCGCTTCATTCTCTACCAAATCTCAAATTTAATAGGCAATTTTGAACACACGCACATAATTTTATCAAAATCAGTTGAGATGTTTTAGAAGAGTTTTGTCACACAAGCACACGTACAAATTATTTGTATATATAGGAGGTGCCATGCCCCTTTTCCTAATTCGGAGAAATATAAAAGATCTTCATCACAACCCAAATTTATTAAAAAAAAAAAATGGCAAACTACTTGCAAGTCGTCTGCATGATACTCCGACCATGTTCGGTAAAACAGTTATAAGGTAACACATAGTATGTATGTACATACATATAATATGCATGTTTCTTTCTGTATAGATGTTAATTAATATTTAGTATTTTAGTAGCACGACTTAGATATAAACGTAATATTGGCTGAAATGGATTTACATGGGGAGTGTAAGGTGTGGTGGCGAGCACGTCAATTCATACATGTTACGACACGCCAGAACGGGCTTATCACTGTGGCCGATGTGTTACATCGTGATGACATTATATGCACTAGTAGTAATCAGCGAACGTGTTGCTTGTACTATAAGTGATTTCGAAAAAGAAAGTAGTGAAAAGAACCGAAAATGTGTATTTAATATGCAGTGTTAAAGTGAAGATTTTTTGAAAATTAAGTCAGGTAAACATATGGAACGTATTTTGTAGGCCCTACCTAACATTTTTTGGCATTTAACATTTTTCTTTTTCTTCTTGACTGCTACGTAAAAGGAAGTCATCACTTCAGAGTCTTCGGGATTGAACAGCATGTCACGCGTATCCACTTATACATATGCATGTATATCATACTACATGAAATCAGTTGAACCGCTGAAGTTTTGGACATCCGGCCAAGAAATCAAATTGTTGTCAAAAGCCTACGAAGTCCACTGTTAACATCGCCTGAAAAAGGAATCCGCAACACGTGATAAACATGATGATACATGACACATGAGAAATTGGACAACAAAAAGAAAAAAGTTGATTTGACAAAAAGAAACTCCAGTCAGAGAGAAGAATTCGCCAGCTGGAAAGAGAATAAAAACCATCAAGAAGAACACCATCGGCAGAGTCGTCAATAAAAACGGCCAAGCTGGATGGAACAGAAGATGTTGATCGAGATATTTATTTCTGTGCCTGGAACTAAGGCCTCTTGTGGTGAGCACAAGAGTTCACGAATATGTGATACTTACGGTTGAGAAGTTCCTGACGGTTATGTTTAAACATTCACCAGGTACTTCTTATTATCACAGAAAATGTCCAAGTCGTGTCCTTCAATTGTGGTTATCATACGATCATAACCCTCCAAATTGGCATTGATATTCTCCCCGCACGAAAGAGTGCACCACACTGTAAGCTATTTTTTGTGTAACGGGATGTGCTGGAAATTGCTCGATTTCGTTTTGGTGGCGAGTTTGCAAATCGCACGAATTTGTTTGAGGTCTGATGAAATTTAATCGGTTTTATACAGGTTCTGTTTTTTTTTTTTTTAATGACAAATGTACATGTTTCTGTGATTATGAGCGTTTTTGCTGTTTCTGCGTATATAATTACCGAAATAATTGAAAAAAAAAGTTTTTTTTAGAGAATTCGCCAATCCACCAGAAAATTCAGGAGCTGTGTTTCCAAATTTAACGTTCGGTATCTAATTATTTACTGATTCATCTCGTTCTACAGGATAAATAAGAAGCATTTGAAAATATTATTTACAATATATGGCCATTTTATACTGATATACTGAATTAAATGAGAACAATTTGTATCTTTGTACCTTTTTTATTATTAAATATAATAACAATATGTAAAATAACTATGGGCGATTTCCAAAAAATCTAAAAACAAAATTGTATGATGTGGTTGCAACCCTGCATTCCATAAATTTGCCCTGCAACAATGCTTTGCAAACTCTGACATTTTGGGACGCTTTTCGGGCAAATAAGTTGATTATCGGTGAAAGGCTAAAATATGAAACAGATCATGAAAATAAGTAATACAATGTTTAAAAATAGAAATTAGCGCAAGAAACTTATCCTCCCACTTCGACCATTGTTGTTAAGAATTTATGATAACATAAAGCATCACAAACCTTAGAGATGCATTTTGGAACATGATACATTGCCAAAGTTTGCACAGTTGCATTTAAGAGTGCGTGACATTGTATGGTTGCTTCGCAACTGACGTTTTGGAACTCAATCTAAGCTGTAATAACCAAAGTTCATAAAATTTATAACATTTTCGTCTCTGTATTTTACGCTTTCTTCTAAAAGTAGGCGTTCACTGTATACATTTTAGCAAAATAAAATATAAATTTTTCATTGTCAAATCACCAGATCGCGTGCTTGTACCCGCGACCGGCATAAATATCTCGATTTCGATTTCTGGCACTGTGATGTCGTTGCGGTTTGGTGTTCGAAAACGGAAACAGTACAGTGAAACTCAACACATGGCATCGCATTTTCGATGACAATTTCATGCGGAAACGATTTGCAGCACATGCGCGACAGGCTTGAACAAATCTAACGGTTCATGCTACACTTTAATCGCAAAAAATAGTCTCATAATTATGATATTTTAGCTCAAATTAATGTTTTCAAAGAATTAATGTCCATTTTGACAATTTCTGCTTTAAGGCGAATTTAATGAGTGAAGATACCTTGAATCTACTGCTCAGAGACAATGAAAATTACTGTTATAATTGATTTGTTGCAATAACCAATGAACATACATACATACATATGAATTGACTATTGACATAAACATTGACTTTTTGCTCAGCGCACGAAAAATGCTTGCTTCACTGTAAACAATTTTTAGTCGATTTCTTACGATCGCGATTAAATTTCTTTTGTGACCTTTTGATTTCATGTTGAATATAACTGGATATTTTTGTACAGTTTGCACGAATCGTACATTAAACTTCTGATCCAATAGACCATCCAATACGAGGCACTCATCCAAATAGCAATACACAATGGGTGAATCGAAAGCAACGTAAACATTCAACTACTCAAAACAAACTGGTTTGGCTTTGCATTTCAATCGCCTTGTACAAGTCTGTTGGTAATGTAGAGCGCAATAGCCACACGATCATACATATGTACATATACACACATATATTTTAATGTTCGTTTGAATTTAAGAGAAGACAATTTGTTGAATTGCATTTTTAATTCCAGAGAGTACTGTGAGAGTCTGTACACATATACATATGTAAAGAGAAAAATATGTACAAACATATATATGCATGTATGTATGTATATGTACGAAAATGCGACTTTAGCATTAATTTATAGGATGATATAAAAATGAGAGCCTAATATTGTAGTATGAGCAAGTTGTAGTTAAGATAAAGTTGGCTCTGGTTACGAGTGAACTTTTTGTTTGAATTAATAGTCGAGTTTTCACTTAGAGCCAGCACTAAAGTTAATTAACTCTTTGCAAATATTTTTTATTTGTAGTAGTTAAAAGACATTTTTTTGGGCTTATGCTGGTGACGTCGAAGTCAAGTAGCGAGTGCGATGACAGTTGCGTTCACTACCAAACCCATTCGCTTCGCTTCTTTATAAAGTCTGGAGGAAGCTAACGTGCGGTTGGCCGTCATGCTCCAGTAGTTGTACACTCTTGTAAAAAAATGTGTCTTCTCTATTTAGCTCTCCGGCATCAAACTGAAGAAACCATACGATAAAAATCACCGTGTCTGAAACCTCGTTTGGTCCAGAACGGCTCGGACTCCGCTGGTTGTTTTGACGTACTTTTGAACTCACCACTTTGGCCGAATGGTGTTAAAGCATAGAAGAATAAGAAACAATCTTGCTCAACTACCTGTTGCCTCCTCTGAATATCTATTATCAGAACGTAAGAAAATTGAACACTAAGCTGAAATACTGCGACTTTAAAATCTTGCTTTAGCTCAACTCGGTTCACTAAATGAACTTTGTGATTTGTGTCTTTTTCAAATAAATTTGATCTGTAATAGATGTAGGAAGACTTTGCACCAAATATTCTTGGATGACGTTTCGTCATTTTCTTTAAGTCGCTGTGATCCTTTCGTTTTCCCGATGATGGTTATCATCCTTCCCTCGAATTGTCATTAGATTTTGTTTCCAATCTTAATTATCCAATATCTATGATACTTCAAAATCAAAAACGCTCGTCTTTCATTAATCTTAGAAACGCGCTGTTGGCGATTCCCTAGTCAATGTATAACGGAAACGTGGAAGAAAGCGTTGTTCACTTCACAAGTGTTTCACATGGTTCTTTCAGCAAATTTCTTCCTATAACTACTCGTAATGAGCCGACCTGTGCTCAAAATGCTTTGTGGTTTAATAAAGAATTAAAAAGCTTGAAAAATAAGAAGACAAGATTATTCAAGCTCATTCTATAGTTTTGTTAATTCGAAACGTAAGACTTTTGGGTTTCCATCACCTTTGAAAATGAATTAATGAAGTCTCTAGTGATAGCTACAGAATCGCTGACTTTTTCAAATTTAATCTCTCGCCTACTCTTGATTGCGTAAAATGCCCTTAATGAACATATTCAATGCTTCATTAAAGCAAAACTTATTCCCTTCTTTGTGGAAAGAGTCAAACATTTTGGCTCTACATAAAACTGGCAGTGGATCTTCAATATGGAATTGCAGGAAGATAACTAAGTTATATACCCAAAAATTCGAAGCTATTATAACTGATCAGTTAGCCCATTCTGTGTCATCAATTATAAACCAGGGTTTGGCAAAGGCAAATCTACCCTATCGAGCATGCTAGAATTCACCACCAATATCAGTAATGGTTTCAGAAATTGTAATCAAAGAGATAAAGAGCATTTGACAAGGTCTCTCGTTCACTTACTTCATTCCTTCTCCAGTGGATTTCATCGTAAGCAGTAAAATTGGTATTCTTCAAGACAGCCACTTCGGCTGCTTATTCTTCCTTACATCCATCTATACTTTCCAAATGTTGTTCTTCATTCTAAAATACTTACGTACGCAGGTGACAGTTTATTCTATTGAAGATAGAGAGCTTTTGCAACTTGACCCAAATAAGTTCGTTAGGTGGTGCCATGCGAACTGTATGTCCCTAAATTTAAATAAGTGCAAATCCATGTGCTTCTTCAGAAAATCTTTCCAATACTTTGCCTACACAGGTATGATACATAATCACAGTGTTGAACAAGTAAATGGCTTCCTTGATTTAGGTGCCATAATAGACCCTAAGCTGGCGTTTTAGTTCAATGACCCATACAATGGCGAATTACACTTTACCTCACTTATTAGGCTCTTTTGGAATATGGCTTGAGATGTATACAGTCCGCAAAAGCAATTCCTACTATTCGCGTTAAGCAATTTAAACTGGGATGCGAATAAGAGCCTGGTTTCTTGCAAAATTCGTTTGCGGCTAATTAATTTGCCTTTTCTCCCTAGTCGTCATTTTTTCCATGTAATTTTATAGCAGCTGATGAACAAATCTGTAGCTGCTTAGTGTAAGAGGCAAGTAAAATCGCGACCTTCCGCGATCGGTTTCGGGCAGTCCGAACAGTCACTCGTTTTCGGTCACCGATATGTGGAATTTTGGATGATCCCTCACACGCGCCCCTCGGTCGGTTGCGCGGCAACTGGGTAACGCTGGGTTCGTCGTACAAAAAAAAAAGCCATACTGATAATCAGTTTGTTGACGGTGGGCTCTAGTCTTTCAGCAATTCCCTCGATAATATCGCATTTAAATATTGAGAAGGCTTATGCCGCGGTAAGTGGTGCAGACTGTGGAATGGGCGGAGCACACTTAGGTTTCAATGTTGTTGTTGTAGCGGTTATTCTATTCCGCTTAGGGACAGGCTAGTTACTCTAAGTCACCGAGCTTTTGACAAATCCAGTGCTAGTAGGACAGTTCGCGTACAGGGCCGGTTTTGGTTGCGACCATTGATTATCTGGGTGTTTATGGCGTAAAGTGCTGTTGCGGTAATCTGCACTTTGCGGAAGCCATGCTGATGTGCTGCTTGACTCAGATACTGACAAAACGTTGTTTTCACACATCGGATATTTTTAGGATGGTCAAAGGCAGATTGAGAAACTTGACTCACTGAACTTCTTGCATGGAGAAATCAAGAGTACCGTTGGTGTTTGCTGCGCAAGCAGTGGATTAGCCCTCGTTTCAATTTGTCAACCGAAGGCAGTGCAAAATGTCCGCTAAAATAGCTCACGCATATCTTTGGGTACGACGAAGTGCGGTTATCGAATGAAATTTTCGCTCGGTCATTGCGTCGCGCCGGTTTTGACAATGACTTGACTGTAGCCCAATGTTTGGTTGTCTCAGAAAAGAAATCGCTGGATCTTCAGTGCCCCTCTCATTTTTTGCGTTCATGGTGCCGCATCTTCTGGTTGAGATCTCTGGTTAGGAGATTATCGGGATCAGCGTTGCGAATAGAGGCCCGCCTTGATGCTAGAACCGCCGTTACCGCCAGATTAGGGCGAATTTCTTCAAATCTGCTTCCCGGCAGCGGTCACGACTATTCTGCGGAATAAACACTCACCGGCTAAGCTTTTTTGTAGCACAGGTCAACGGAGACAAAGTCAGAAGGCTCGTAGATCGAGATTTATATGGGTAAGTGGCCCGATGGTAATATCAGTACAGCGCACTCGCAATTGTTATGTTTGGCGAGCTTTGGTAATTACCCACAACTCTGGTAGGTATGTTATCGTTCATGGTGAAGAATCTTCTCTCTGCTCGAATCTTCCATCTGGTCCCCCAGCTCCATTACTCTACGGATAGTTGAACGTCTCTGCCATCATCATCGATAGAGATTTCGGGCTCACCATCTCCGAGTGTTTCATATGGGTTAACGAAAAAAAAAACATTGACTAATTGCTGCTGAATCATAACGAAATTGCCCATCTGTGGATCATAGTAACGTTAAACGAAAACGCTCGTGGACGAAGGGCAGTGGACCGGTACAAACGGTATCCAAGCCAGAATTGACGGGCAGGAAAGTTATGTTGTATGCCCGTTATTTATAAATAAAGACTAAAAAGTGTCAGTTATATTAATTCATAGTCTGAAAAAACAATTGTGAGACCAAAAGAAGGTTTTTATATTCATATTAAACCTCGCCTTCTTATTTCTAATTACTTACAATACATCGCAAAGGTGCTCAATAGGATTCAGGTATGGTGTCTGAGGCGTTTTAAGCTGTCTACAACATTGTACAACAGCCAAAGTCTGACTATTGCGGCAACATGCTACGGGTAGTTATTCTGTGAGAACCCAAATGTCAAGGATAAGTCAATATTATCCGCCCTTTGTATCAAATTCTTTTTCCATTGTCGATTCAATAAATTCAAGCTGGCCCGCACCACCAACTGCCATACCACCCCACACCACAACTCCGCCACCACCGTGCTTTACAGCACAAACAAGATTTGGTTTCTCAAGGGCAGTTCCTGATTTGCAAGTGAAGTATATTCGTAAAGTTTTTCTAAGAGTTTCGTCAAAAACTGTTTGAAATGTGGTCTTAACATTTTCAATTCTATTTGTCGACGCTAGTGACTTATTATTTTGTGTTCTTCCTACTACTGATATTTTCGGACGGCCAGATCCGAGGAATACATTCTTCCAATTTTTCAAAAAATTTCTTCATCTTTCCACAATATGGTAATAATTTTTCTCTCCGACTCACTAATTTATTTGCCTTTGATTTCTTTACACAGTTGATTAGAATAAATGGCAATAGAAAAGACGCGAAAAGAACATAGATTTTTGTTCTTGCGTTTAGTTATGTAAAATATAAAAAGATATGTATACAAGTAAAAAATTTTAAATACAATAAATTAAATTCCGTATTTATATTGTGTTTTTAATTAACTTCAAAAAAAGTATGTGTGCACATACATATTTATGTACATAAGCCAAGAACTCAAGAACTGTTTTCTTCTTTCTTAAATGGTCATTGTGTTTTTGTAAAATCCAAATAAAATACGAAACCGTTTATGCATTAACGCTGAATACTCTAAATCATTTATTTTGAAAAATATCATTGATAAGTCCAATTACTGTTGTTTTAAATTTTCGCATTTGCGAAATATTCAGATCTTCAAGATCAGGCATCAAACTCAGCAAAAACATTCTTTTACAATTCTCATCTCCAGTGGGTTCGTCGTCTTCTATACGATTTGCATCCGATGAAACTTGATTGATTTGAAGTCGATTAACTGGCGCTGCTAACTTTGTAAACTGATGTTCGGAGGATCCGGAAGTGTCATATATATCTTCCGAATGCGTCCGTCGTTTCCTCTTTTTAGCTGATTTGGTTTGTGGCTGTTCTGTGATGTCCTCGAGATAATTAGCATACAAATTCTCCTCATCATATACTACGTCCGAATAGTCGGGAGTGGAGCTTCGATTAATATTATTATCAATTTTTTCTTTGTTTTTCAGTGCTAAACGTCTCTCACTTTCTTCCAATTGACATTTTGTTCGTCTTTCAGGATCCCATGGCTTTTGCAAAAAAGGGACCACGAATTGCATATATTCGTGCAAATAGTAGGGTTTGATAAGTTCTCCCATATGCAATTGTTTTAGTCTTCTAACGAAAACTGAGCGAACGACTTTCCATTTCTCCCTAACCACATCCGCTGGAAAATATAAAAGAGAGAATTAAGTTTACACAAACATACTCGTATGTATGAGTGATTAGAAAGGTAGGTCACGTATGTACATATTTGCCTGTTTCAAAGGGTATACATACATACATACATGCTTATGCATATTCTAATTACTGGATATATGTACATATTTCTTAAGAGAAATAAAAAAAAAAACTGTGCAGACTGCTGATTACCAATATATTCTGTTATGAGGCAACAACAAAAACATAGAGAGGCGACGGAAAATTGTGCTCTCAAAACGATTTCGCATTACATTTAATAATAATAATAAAAAGCCCAACGAATACCCTCCACCCGCCCAACCGACACGAGAGGCGACATCCGAGTCATGATTGGGAAACGTTTGTAAGCGTCGAGATATAAAACTGCTCAGCTACAGAAAAAATAAAAATTCAATAGCTGAAATTATGGAATTTTAAAATTGAACATACATATATACATATACAGGTATATATTATATACATATGTATGTAAATTTGTTTGACTTCTTTGGACTTATTCAAACAACAGCAAATACTTCTACCAGGTATCTAAGAGCAAATACAGCCCAACAAAATAAATATAAAATACAGTCGCGGTCAAAATTTTAGTAGTGATTTTCCTAATTAAATATTAGTCATCATAAATTTGTATTTCAGACTCTTTTTTCGTTCTCACTGTAAATACCGATATGCATTGGTTTGTTAAGCTAGAATTATTGTTGTTATTGCAATCGGCTAAGTTTTGAGGAAAAAGTGTTTTCATCAGTCAAATTCTTAGTAGCGCAATCAAGAATAGTCCAAAAAAATTAAATTCTTTTTGTTTTTGGGACTAAAAAATTAAAGAATCGGTAAGAACTATATCTGATATCAGTATTCTGTTTTATAATGTGGAGATTTTGATAATGCTGCATGTAGTGATGTCAAGAAAAAAGAATTGTACACCGGAGATACGGACTCTTATTAAAAAGGTGATTGGCGAAGGAAAAACCTACAAGAAGTGCAAAACATCATTGGTTGCTCCCCCTCGATGATCCGAACCGCTATAAAATACAAACCGGGTGTTGGAAAACAATATCCGTTTGCGGCTACCACCGAAATAAAAAAAACTCTAAATGTGAAAGCCAGCGTTGAAACTCTCCGCCGACGCTTCCGGAAAACGATCTTTCAGCTCGGAGCCACAGAAAAGTGCCTTGTGATCGAACGATTACGTTTCGCCAAAGACCATCTGACTTGATCTTTGACCAAATGGCGTAACATTTTATGGTCTGACGAGTCAAAAATTGTTCGCTATGGTGGAAAGGTTTAAGGCAGTTTGTGAGACGTCCGCCGTTCACTTAATTCAAAATATACACTAAAACGGTAAACATGGTGTACCCAGCATTATGGTTTTGGCATGCTTTTCGTGGCATGGAGTTGGACCCATTGGATCAAGGAGGTCATGAATGCTGCCCAATACACCCAAATCATGCAGGAAGACATGCTCTTTATCTGCTAGCGGGGAAATGTCACTGATTCGGACCTTTCAACAACGATCGGAAGCATACTAGCAAGCTTACAAAGAAGTGGTTTAGAAATGTTATGGAATTACCTCCAGTCTCCTGACATTTTCCCGATAGAAAATTTGTGGGCTGATGTAAAGAAATCGGTGTCTGACTGTTATCCTACAAATAATTTACAGTTATGGAAATCCGTAAAGACTGCTTGGAACTCAATTCCAGTTGAAAAGTGCCAAAATCTGATGAATTCAATGCAATGTCGCTATGCCGCCATAATTAATAATAATGGTTATACATTAAAATACTAAATTAATGTATAATAAGTAGTTAATTGATAGCCAATGTAAAAAAAGATTTAATTCAGCCTAAATAAAAACTGCATTAAAATATACCCTATAACGTGTAACAGTACTATGATTTTGACCGCTTAAAAGCTTAAATTTTCGTAAAAAGTATTATTATTTTTTATAACCAAGTGGCTCCAGTTTTTTTTTGTTAGCTTTAATTAGTCTTTTAACTACTAAAAAACAAAAATTAAACTGGTTTTGTTAAGCAACTACAAATTTTTTTTCAACTGAATTTAGTGCTTGTCCGCGCTACTAAGATTGTGACCGCAGCTGTATGTATTCGAGACGAGAGACATGGGTATTTGGCAACTGATACATGAGATTTGAATTCTAAAAACTTCGAGTTAAAACGAAATCGATGTAATTGTTAACTTATAACTAAATAATAATATAAAAATTATTGCGCTATTAAACAAAACGTAAAAGGGTTTGTTTTTGCAGTGACAGTTGCTTTTCATTTGCTTTCACGTTTAACTATTCAAGTAACGACCTCAACAACTTCAAATAAAATCCACCGAACTGTTCTTCTTTCAAGTTTTGTAATCCTGATTGTTTTTGAATTCAACGAATTCTATGTACAACAGTACTAAGTATGTGTAGTTATAAACGGAGGTTTACACTGTCGGAAAAACTGTATTAAAAACAATTGACTGCACAAGATAAGCACAAAAATATTTGCGTTTTATGAGCACACCATTCTCACAACAATACACACACACACGCCCATACACGTTTACTGAAATAAAAAACGATAATTTATACTTACGCGTGCTGGAGAGCTCTTCTGCCACTTCTATCCATGCCCTCTCCGTGTACTCCCGTTTGGAATATTCTTTAAGTGTGTTGTCGTACAAACATGGATATTTTTCTACACTTTGCACTAAACGTATAAGTATTTTTTTGTTTACGTCCATTCCTAAACCCAAATCGAAGATAAATAAACACGACACAACGCAACAGCGAGTTGGCAAACGTATGCGCTTTGACTGCCTGCGACAAATTGAATCGACAAAGTGTACTACACAACTTGTCGCCGGCTCTGTAGCGCTGTTGTTGCAGTTTTTGGTGAGAGAACTCGTGACATGGTGCGAACCAAGGCGAATTGGTCTTGGATGCGAACAGACAGAAGAGAAGTTACTACGATTTTCTATCACAACTTCGCCGCGGCTCTCGTGGCCATTAATTCAGGGTTGCAGTCTCTCTTTTAAGTATGTGTATGGAAATGTATGTATGTATAATATATGTATATATGTATGAATGACTTTAAAACTTTTTCATATATGACCTGAATAACAATTACTTCCAAGATGTCAGTGGAGTCTGTTTCTTATTTTTATTTACTTTTATCCTTTTGTGTTTATGTGTGCGTGCAAATGCATGACTTAAGGAAAGGTAAATGGGCACGTTAAAAGGAAAAAGGAGTAAAGACAATACAACAGGCTATCTGAAATTATTGATGTTTGACATTTCCGGTGAGAAATGACAGTAAGAATTAGCCGGTGACAACACTGAGACAGTAAGTTTTACTTTCCAAAGTGCTAAGTTTTCACCGAACACGATTCAGTAAAAGTTAGAGAGCAAGTTGTATATCAGCTGATTATTTTGGCGGTTATATTTGAATCCGTTCACCTATACAGCTATTAGTTCTGTTCGGTGACTAGATGGGCAATGACAAAACTTCAGCCACTAGAAACTATCCGGCAAGAAGGCTTCCGATGATTTGAGCCAAGATATGTCAAGAATGCATGTGGTCATATTACGCCGAATGAAAAATATGATGTTTACATTTGTATACGTGTATATCATTCTTTGTTCGTTTGCTTGTGCATTTTCGTCATTCTTGTCGAAAAACAGAACACAGATGAGCGACAGCATTGATGCCGAAGGAAATCAATTTTGACAAAAATTTTCCCTACATACATATGTATATTTGTATATATTCCTACATAAATCCAGAATCATATTCCAACATTTTTACATAGAGCAGGTACCACAGAGAAGGAGTAGCAATACAACAGTAATTTCGTTTTCAAAAATCAGAAAAGTATTATAAGCAAAACCGCATATGTAGAAGTCTTTAATAGTGTCAAGCGTTGGTGACGCAGCTCCTCAGCTCCACAAACGCCTCCGTCATAATCCCGGCTCCTTTTTAGTTTAAACACGTCTAAGTAAATTAAAAAATTAATATTCGAATCAGAATGTTATTAATAACTAAATGCGGTTGTACTTCGCAAAGTTAAATTGAATTTTTTTAAATCTGCTGTTGCTGCAAAGTGAGAAGCGTCTATTCCAGTCAATCTGCTCCATTAGCTGAATTCCTCGTACAATATGGAGTGCCCTTCAATAAACTAATGTAAAAAGTAATGAAAAGTTAAGTACTTTTCATAATTAATCGGCAATACATTATTACCACAGCTTGTACAGGATCCTCATCACATATTTTTCACTTCTGTCTGTTGCGGAGAAAACATAAATAAGATCAAAGTACATCGAATAATCCTCTTAACTGCATACTTTTTCAAATTGTTTGTACTCAGAAGAGAAAGGTAAACAAAACAACTTACTACATATGTGTTAGTGCTGCGCGATGGATTCACCAATATACTCACACGATTTCGGGCAGCACTAACACATAAGCAAGTTGTTTTGTTTATCTTTCTCTTCTGAGTACACACAAACTGAAGAAGAGTGCAGTTAAACGGATTATCCGATTTTCTTTGTTTTTATTTTCGAGTAGAATCCCATTTTTTATCGTTTTCTCCGCAGTAGATAGAAGTGGAAAATACATGATCAGGATCCTGTACAAGTTATGGTAGTAATATATTTTGGATTAGTTTTTCATTGGATTTGAATTTTCTGATAATCCTCTGAAAATTTACTTCGCAGCCATTTCTCGCTTAGATTTTCAGGAAGAATGGTTGAAATACCAAAATGAGTTTTGAGGTCTTTTTAGAATTTCTTCCACAGGAGATGGACAAACAGATCATCTCGATAAAGAATTAATTTGTATCCCATTTGTCACTTGTAAAATGCTTCTCAAGGAACTCACATATAAACAAGACACGTCAAGGTGAAAGAAAATTACAAACACTGTCACAATATCAGGCGCACCTGGTCGAAATAGCGTTTGAAGAGATCATGAGATATGTACTACTTAAGTTAAAAGTTTTTACACATTTATATTTGTATATAGCGGGCCGCTTGCTTCAAGACCGACGCCCGCTCACAGCTGCACTTCTGGTGAACAGACGCTGCATTTAGACTTCAGCGAATCCTTAAACCGAATAACTCGGAGTGGCTCCACTGAGGATTTTTCTCTTTTAGACGTGACCCAAGGTGTCACATGAGTTGGTTATCACATCTTGCGAAAGGGTTGTTCACGTTTCTAGGGTGCGCAACGTGGACGAAAGAGAAAGAAAAGAGTATAGCCCCACGACTGCAACTGCACACCCATTACCAAAAGATAAAAACAAAAAATGAAAGATCTACCCCAAGTAAAAATAAAAATTGATCAATTCTGCATAAATATGTACATACATATTAATATATTTACGCAACTAAAAACATTTGAATTTATTATAAACAACAATCATATTAACATTTGGAATGAAAAATTACGGTAATTTCGCCAAGATTATGTTAACAAAATATGGCATTACTAAAGAGATTTTAAATGCATTTCGGTTTTAAGGAAATATTCTTCTGCGATACGATCTATGCATTGCGCACTCCACGCACTAGTTTATCGGCTTTCTTCAGTGTGATAAAGTTATTCAATTGCTTCACACGCAACTTGGACCAAATCATGTAGTTCGAAAGACCCAAAACCTGTGCAGCATGTAGTGCAGCAGCCTCGGGATACAAAACTGTTGGACAGCCAAGACCTGATGGCACATTTAAGCTAGACCAAACATCAACTTGTAGATTTTCTGGTTTCAAAGGTGGACAATTAATCACAGGATATGTAGTGCTGCCCGATAGTACCGGTCCCAGTCCATTTGAACGGCCTGCCACAGCAATGAAAATCAAATTATTGACGACACTCTCGTATTCCCGCATTATACGCAAGGTTTCTTCAGGTCCTTTGTGTGCCGAGGTGACACGTAGCTCGCTATTTACACCCAATTGTTTAAGGTGTGTTGCAATCTTCTCACAATGCACGTTATCGGAAGCGCTACCCATTAGAATGACCACTAGATGATCTTTAGCTGGTATAATGTTCTTTAATTGCTCACTAACCCAAATGAAATTACGCTTTACGGTGTCCAAATCACTATCGGTAACGGTGGCGAGATTACGGTAAACCTGTTTGTCTACCATCAGGCGTTTATCGCCCGAAGGCCAGAGGCGCCAAGAATCGGAGTCGATAATATCGGCGAGCACAATGTTTCCTGTAAGGGCGAGAAAAGAAAGGCACATTCATACATATGTACATAAGTATGTATATTATATAATTACTGAACCGGATGAACAATTCAAAAAAAAAAAAAAGAAACAATACCTTCCGTGTCAATTCCAAATTCAATTTTCATATCAATAAGTGCACAATTTCTGGTAGCCCAAGCTTTCTCCAAAATTTCAAACACCAAAACTGTGGTGCGCTTCATTATATCCAACTCGTCTTGACCTATTTATAAACAAATATGTTAAGATTTCAATTAAAGAAGCTATCATTGGAAACCCACCTATCAGAACGCCATTTAAACTGAAGTTCGCAGAGATAATTTGCTCATCAGACCATTGGGGATCGTGGTTGGCATCATCCTTAAAGAATGTCTCTTGTTTTGGTGGTGAGAATCTGTGGAATAGTAGAAAGATGAAAAAAGATATTCTCTAAAAATGTTCATTAGCAAAAAGATCTTTTTTTATAAATTCTCCATATCGGCGCCTGGCCAGTAAATTGATGACTTATGTTCGAAAATAAACTCCTGTCTAGTCGACCTTTCCCATGTCTTCACTGCTCGAAAATTACAGCTAAAACCGGCCAACCGATTTCACCGGCTGAACGAAAGAGCTCGGCTGAACTAAATGTGAAAGTCGATGGAGTACAAATTTCGATAATTATCGACTCGAAGTTACTGGGAGTCACATTCGGCAGCCTGCACTCCTACGCTCCGCACGCTATTAAACGACTCATCTAACCCCCTTGCCCTCTGGTCCGAACCTGTCGAAACTGGGCCTCCAATTATATCACCTCGATAACTTAAGACTGGTCTCGCATCCTTCTAAGCAGGGTTGGATAGCCACCTCAAGCGAAAAATTGGTGCAAAACAAGTTTATACTTAATACTTATAAAAATATTTAAAAGCAAAAACAATATACTGTATAAATGAAAAGCCTGAAATGCTCCCATGAAACTTGCTGGCTAATTTTTACTAAATCCTGTTCGGTGTAAACTCAGTATTTTATTCTCTTTGGGAGAGTATAGCATCTTACTCTTTCAATTTAGTTATTGGTAAATTCTTACTGACTTTTCTCAAAAACAGATCTAATGCAAGTTTCCCTCTGAACAGCTGAGGCGAGCAACGGCTAATTACAATATATAAAAAATATTCTATCAGAAATACATTTTAATGAACTTATTTTTCTTTCGATTTGGTTTGCTTTCGAGATTCCCAAAATAATTTTTTTCTGTTATACATATATATTTGTATGTTTATATTATTTAGTTGCTATGTATTAAATTCATATCAGTAAGTCAATTTGCACAGTTACAATTGTTTTATATATGAACATATACATTTTATTTTGTGGGCACGTTGAGGTCAATCAGGGTTCAAAAAAATAAGATTACAATGACGGCTTACTACGCAAATGCATACATATAATAATACATATGATACATATATTTGTAAATATGTATGTAAATCTATAATATAAATATTCACCTTAATATGATCAGATATGTAACTCCACCACGAAATTATCACAGTAAGTAGTTAAAGCTATTTTAAATGAACTATTTTTAAGAATCTCATTCGAAACGCCTAGGCTAGCTTCAACTTTCAGGATTAAGAAAATCGTCGAAAAAATAATTTTTGGTAAATACTGACATTTTACTAATTTATACTATAATAAAAAAACTTAGTTTCACTTGATCAACTTACATTTCATGGTATCGCACTGAGGCGATATCGCCTCCAATAAATAATATATTTTGGACATTAAGTTTAATTTTCGTTTTAAATTTTTTTTTTAATTTAAGGGTGAAATACTATTTTACATTTAAATATTATTGATTACTGTAAGTATTATTAACTTTTTGCTCATAAGAATAATATTTATTACCATTTTTAGGAGTTTCATTATTAATTTGAAGCCTCTTGAATATTTTTTACTAAACAAAATATAATATATACTTACATACCCACTTATATTTTTTAGGATTTTAGAGCAATATTTCTTGTGTGTGGAAGTTTAAGATCATCAAAAGCTTATATACATACTCGCATAAAAATGTATGTATATCACAACTCACCTGTATCCCTCCGGCACACCGGCATTTCGCTTTAGAAACGAACCAGTCGCCAAACGTCTGGTTACCCACTCGATTGGTAGCATTTCACATTTCTTGGCAATGAAGGCATTGGCGGCGCATGCTTTCACATAAGCGGTATTTATACCTACGCATTTCAATATGTACGCAAAGAAATATAGAATTTAATTTAATTACACTATAAACACACTTTTCACTTCATACCCGCTTCATTGAGTATGCCGAAAACTAGACCATTTGTCGTGTTCGATATCTCCGCTTTGCCTTGCAGATTGTGAGCCTTCACGCCATCCCCAGCTGTTATGCGGTCTTTGCTCAGCAATAGACATAGGCCGGGATGTTCAGGGAGATCGTAAACCAGTTTGGTTTTGCCTTCGATGAGGATTTTGCCCACTTTGTAATCGCCGACTGTGTTATAAATTGAAAAGCTACATAACTTTTTCACTCAATTAAAAGCATATATTATTTTTTAACACTCACTAGTAGTAGCCATCTTAATTTATGTATGTATGTATTTGTCGCACGTGTTTCGTTAATTTTTAATATTCTGCAAAGATTGTGTGGACAAATGCGGTGAGCTCGATCGTCTGCCGTGTACTGAGTGGAACAAATCATTTGCGTTTCTCTTAAAGGTTTAGCTGATTGTTGTGCGTTGTGTGTGGTTTTTTGTTGCTCTCAATGTGTATGTACTTATTGATCTCCGTTTGGGTGTACAGTGTGTAGAACTGGTCGGAGAAAATATTTACCTAATAAATTTAAGATAATTCTAAGCATGATACAATGATGATTATATGTCTGTTACAAAAAGGTTATGATAATAATAAACTTATTGTTTTCCAAAGCAATTACAATGTTGAGCAACATTCTCTGATTTCATGCCCCCTAATCTAGTCAGAAGCGAAGTATTTTCTTATGCGGAAACACAGAAAGAGGTCCGGTTATAGAACGGAAGTTCTAACATCTTGCCGGAGGTTTTTTTTATCTCACACTTTTCTTATTTCGAAAGAAGAAGAAACAAGAGACTATTGCACCACTGCCGCCCGAAATTGACTCTGTTTGTCAACATTTCTGAGCAAGATAAAAAAAAGTTAATAAAATAATTGTCTCCAAAATATCATTCTTCTGTAAATAGTTTGTCAGTCTCTGGTAATTGGCTGTTAACCAGCGGTGAAGTAGTCTCTTACTAATATCGTATAGAGGTGATGGTCTCTTAGCAACCACGTGGGTGGAACAAATGCCAATCGGCACGCCTCGGTCCTTCTCTTTAATATACGTGCTCTGGTATGTACTACGATGGACCATCGCAGGTTTTGGTAATTAATATTTAGCGATATCAGAATCGAAATTTATAGCTAATAAATTAGAATTTTCGCTTTCAATATATTTTTATTCTGATCATAATCATTGATCAAGTATTATCTTTTAAATTCATTATCCCACCACAAAAGTCGGATGAAGCGATGTTGAGTCGATTATTTCTGTATTTTTTTTAATGCAAAGGGTCATGGATGTCTCGATATATGCACTTTAGGTGAGGTGCACATTCGTTTCAATCTTTTTGTTTCAAGTATTACGGTCCACCGAGATATTGAAAATGTTGCATATTTAATCACTCTGCCTTTGAAAACCAATGTAATGTATCTCTCGATGCTCATCCACATGTATGTGTAGTATAAGACAGTTGTACTTAAAATACTTACATCTTTGAATAGTACTTCCATACATGCACACATACAAACAGCAAGTATATTCAAATGCATCTATTGTATTATGTATATAAGCATGTTCAATTATTCGACTGAGAATGGTTACACGAAACCATAGCGAATATTGAACTTAAGACCCGCTTGCATAATTTCCGATTAACAGAACTTTTAACCGGAGGATTATATGTGATATGTGTATATGGTTTCCTTGCACCTCAGCATGTTTTGGTCGGCATCAACGGATGTTTTGGCTGGTTCATTCCCTTGAAACCCAAATTATCAAAATTGTGCGAATTGTGCAATGCTCTACAGGCAACAATGATGTTCACAGTTGTGCTGAGCGAAATTCTCAATCCATAGCCCCTCGATATGTAATTTCGAGTATACATCATGTAGTTCCTGACTAACCATAACAAATGCCAGAACCTGGTACCTAGTGATTGGATTTTTGGAAATTCGAGTTCGGTAAAATATGCCAATCTCAGCTCCCTGCTCTTTTCGATATTTTGATGTATGATTGGACAAATGCCAGTACAGCAATGGATACTATTCACCACCCGATTGGCAATAGCTACTTATATTTTGCACAAACCCGAAACAAAAATTAAAAAACTTCCCCATGCATAAAATCGTAATGTTGAAAGGGAAATTCCGCTGCTTTATGAAATTGTTTCACATATAAAAAATATTTACATATGTATGTATTTACTCAAAGCACGGATATTGTGAAAACGGCCATAAAGGGAAAACCTAAAACACATTATTTATTACGACTAAACGACTAGAGCGACTCTCTTACTGGCTGTTACGAAATCAGTTATTTAAAAAAAAAAGTCTTAGTACACGGGAGTAGAGTATTGCAATGCGCAAATCGTTTGGCAAAAAAAATTTTATTTTCGAATTGAGAGTAATTAAAACAGTCGTTTGAAAAAATGAATATTCAAATAATAATGCGTTTAACCTAAACAAAACGGTTTTAAATATAAGTCAATGGAAGGATACATAGAAAAAAACTCGTTTTATTTTGTTATACAGGATAGTTTTTGTACCAAGTTGTATAAAATTCTGTTGATTGAAATATATTAACGGTGCGGTCAGCGTTCACTGGTGGGCTCCTAAGCTTCGCATAGATCTAGGGAACCTTCACAGCTTAATTTAATTCGTGGCACAGTAGTTATCCCGTAGGACGTCAAAGGCGTAAAAAATATTGAATGTTCGGCAAAATTTTGCGTATGCGGTTACGCGGCTATAAGACAGCTCTACTCCCTCTTGATTAAGCTCCATGGTTTATTGATCAAATAGATTTTGTTCAAAAAAACATATTTGAATTCGTTCATTTGAGAAATCTGGAATATATACCCTCACATGTTTGATTTTTATGATTTGGCAACTCTAAGGAAGGCACAGTAGAATTCGCCTTGTCGGTTATGTTTGTGAAATTAAAAAACAGCTGGTAGAAGTGAACAGCTGATTGTTGCTCTCATTTTGTACTTCGCTCATTATTAAACAAATTGTTAATGGATATGATGTGTGTGAGTGTGAACTTGTACCTAATTGTATTTATTAATAATATAGCAGGAAGTGATAAGAGTTTCATCGAGACTTTCGGTTTATTTGATTAATTAAAATGAAAAAAGATAATTGCAGAAGGTATGTATTTTCTTATAAGAATACTAAAAAATACAGAAAAACATAGTAATTTTTATAAAGAAACCTTAGAAAACTCTTTCGAATAAGTGTTCGTGGAAAGCAAGGTTGACAATTTGAGAATATGACAATGAGAAATCAATAAATATTTTCATCATGATTAGTAAAGTGAAGGTAATTTTGTGTTAGATTTTGTCGTTTTGAAACCAGAAAACGGAAATGAAAATGGTGTTTAGTAAGTGGCTAATCGAAAAATTAAATAGGCATTTGTATATCGAGCGTGCTGAAGTGGTCAAAGTCCAAACTGGTTTGCCGGCAAAAACATATCCAGATCCACAGATTGTTATGTTTTTGATAATATTTGCATATTTGAGTTGAGTTTCTAGAGAAAAATCTCCACAGCCTACATACATATGCACGTGCATACAATTGTAGTAAAATATTTACACTCTCAGTTGGAAAGTGAGCTACTCTGATTCGTGTTGTGTATTTTGATGAAAAACTCTTGTCTTAAGGAAAAAGTAATGTTGAAGGTGGTATGTATGTACATACTCACATATACATACACATTTACTTTCGTAGCACATTTGCTGTGTTAAGGGTAATGTATTTTGTGTTAATGGTGTATCGCAAACTTATTTTAAATCAGATTACTTTAAGTTCTGGCATGAATTGAACTTTAGATTAAATGAATTGAATTTTTATTTAATATAATTTCTTGTTTATTATTTACTGAATTTTTTCAAATTATTTTCTGTACCGTTGTGTAGAGACACCAGGTTGACAATTAAATTGCATATTTCCATACTTGTGGATTTACATTGCACTTCTTTCATTCATTTCAATATGTTAATAAATTTACGTTGCAAGCAAGGGGACTAAGGAACGACATTTCGAACTCCCTATGAACCCCCATTACGGACATAATTGGTTTCGATAAAGTCAGAAAAAGAGCTGGCACGATGAGGAATGTCGAACTGCATTGCCTTCCTCACAAGGTTGCAGTCGACCACAACAGATATGGACTGGGACGGATATCGAGAGCTGAAGAGAGAAGCAAAATATATTTGCAGATGAAAAAGAAAGAGACACTGCGAGAAAATTCGATAAAAATAGAAGCTATGGTGGTAATCTGGTGGCCAGTGTGCAGAGCATACTTACAGCCCTATTCTGTGCACTTGACAAATTGATAAAATATTGATAATTTATCAAGATTTTTATCAAGTAACAATTTATTCAATGTTCTGTGTCAACCTTGATAAAACATAAAGCTTCAGTTTGATGTGCTTCTCCCCACACGTGTGGTGAACAATCATTTATTTTAGAATAAAAGAAAAGTCAAATGTGAAAATGTTTATATTTTTTTTATCTGGACGCAGGCCTTTCACCGTCACGTATGTACTGAATACTGACAGAATCATTTAGTTTAAAGTTCTTATGAGAACTTATTGGGTTGCCCAAAAAGTAATTGCGGATTTTTTAAAAGAAAGTAAATGCATTTTTAATAAAAGTAAGTTCAGTAATATTTTTTATATTACAATAGGTTCTTCAACTGGCCTTAGAAGCTGAAATGTTTTTGAGAGAAATTAGCTAAAGTGTTTTTTTGCATTAATTTACCCTGTTTTTATATTGGTTTCTTGCTCTGCCGAACTGGCTAATTTCCCTTTCATCTTTACAATAAGTAAACTTCTGGAAAGAAACGACCGACTCTCGGTCAAGTCAAAGTTGTTACCTACACATTTTCGATATGAGCCATACCCAAAGAGGTCTAAAGGTTAAGGACAGTGAGGTTTATCTAGGAGATGATGGCAAATTTCACAATTCAAACGAAAATTTTGCGAAAATATGTTATCTCGTAGCAATATACAACGAAGTTCACATAACAATTACACTGCCCAAAGAAAAACAAAGAGGGTCGAGGCGATGTTTACGGGCAGAGTTATCAAACTTAAAGCCCACCGTCAAAAAACTGGCTAGGTCTTATCAGTGTGGTTTTATAATACATATATACACGGTGTGTCCTAAAAATAACCGAATTTTATAAAAGATACATTCATCCTTTTTCAAACGCACCTGGCATCATTTAAGACGGATGACAGATGTAAAAGTGACAGCCATTTCAATAAAACCAAAAGTGTGCTAATGGTTCAAAAAATAAATGGAATTTTGTGTCAAACTTGAAAAAAAAAATTAATGGAAAAAGTTTATTGTGATGATTGTATGAGTCGTACGCAAGTTTATACGTGGTTTACACGATTTAAAAATGGTCGTGAGGATTTAAATGACGACCCTAGAGCAGGACGTCCAGAAACTAGTAATCGTGCTGAACTGGTGGAAAAAGTCCGTGAAATCATTGGTATCGATGCAAATTTTACTACGAGAATGTTGGCTGATATGCCAGCCATTCAAGCAGCCGTAACCGAAGTACTGAAGAACATTTCTATATTCTATAACTGTGTTGAGTCAAATGGAACCTATTTTGAATAAATAATAACTTTCAAAGATAATATAATGTGTATTTTATTTTATATCCAAAAAGTTCGTTTTTTTTTTAGGACACACCGTTTATATGACGCTTGGCTACGTAAATAACTTAGTTTATCTGGGAGCCAGCATTAATACCAATAATTATGTTAGCTTTGCAATTCACCGTAGAAACACTATTTCCAACAGGTCCGGTTTTTTTTTAATGAAAATGTCAACCGTACTTATTTCAATTTGGTAGTGCAATTTTTTACTGCTATGTGGAAAAATACGAAGTCCAAGTGTTTCACAATTCCCATTTATATCACCATCTAAAATAATTAAGTATATGTCCTTTATTTCTGTATAATTTTATTTATAATAACGAGTTATGCCTTTTCCACTTTATAACAGAAATATAATTCTGGTTGGAATACTGGGTATTTAGGTTTTAAAGGAATTCGATGATGAAAATTAGTACAATTATTTGCTTTTGAACGAAGTAACAACATAACAAACACTACAACATCAATTATTTAGCTTGTAAAAAGTGTTATAAGCTCAGTAACAGCTGTTACCAATTTTTACTCAAGCGTATTCGGTGAGGCAAAAAGCCAGAAACTTTCTCTCGGTGTAATTTGACGTTTCGTTACAGAGCTAATGTTAAACAAGAGAACGTATTGTTGCGAAAATGCGAGGCGAATGTCAGATGAAAGAGAGAAGCCGATAACTAGTACGTTCTAGAAACGATAAAACAAGAACCTTCCATAGCGAACAATTCGATGCTTCTACGCTTTCGTCTGCGAGCAGCCGACTGCTATATAAAGGCGACACTCAGCTGCAAGTCAAGCAGTGACAAAGCAAATTGGTTGGCGTTAACATCAGTGAAGACGTAAAGTGAACGCGTTGGGAATTACATTTAAGTAGAGTAAATTGTGAAAGTTGATGTTAGTGATTATAAATAGTAAAGTGCAGTATAATTGAATTGTGAATTACTGAGAAAATAAAGGACATTAGATTAATTCTTTATAACAAAAGAAACTGCAAATTGAGTTGGCGAGTTTTATTTAACAATCCAGAGATCGTACCCGAAGGATTCGGAAAATAATCGAGGTTGATTTAGTAAAATCGTAACAGTATATTAAAAAGAAGGACCGGGGCGTGCCGATTGCCATTTGTTCCACCTACGAGATTGCTAAGAGATTATTTCACCGCTAGTTAACAGCGAATTACCAGACACTGGCAAATTATTTACAGAAGAATGATATTTTGGAGACAATTACTTTATTAATTTTATATTATCTTGCTTAGAAATGTTGACAAACAGAGTCAATTTCGTGCGGCAGTGGTGCAATGGTCTCTTATTCCTTTCGTCGACTCTAGGAGTTCACATCCTGTCTGCAATCGGTGCTTCTCGGTATTTGACGTTCTCTGGTATAAGCAGAGAAAATAATTCGTAATTTTGTCATGACTTCAGATAGCGGTTCTGGTATGATCAAGTAATCGTTTTAATTTTATTTACAGCTAATTGTAGCCGTCATACGGCATACATAAGAAAAATGAAGAGAAATAGTGAAGAGGAATATGAAGCAAAAGCGTCTAAACATGAGAGGGTTCTTGATATTTGGAAATTAGCAAGATTCGAAAAACAGAATTTGTTTCTGTATGGTTTGGTTCGAAAATAAACAAGATAACAAAGGCGACACAGAAATTACGAGGGATATATGAGAAAATGTAGTTTATCTTACATACATACATATGTAAATGTGTACATATGTAAGTTCTGTTCGGCGACTAGATGGGCAGTAACGACTTTTACTGAACTTTACTGAATCGTTCGTGTTCGTTGAGCCAAAGACCTAGTAACGAGAGGACGCAATTTTGACGTTTGGTTTGGAGTGAAAGTTGCAAGTTCGTACTGGGAAAATTTCACCCAGTAAAAATTAGCAAGTATGAAAAACAGCTGATTTGTGATCATATGATTGAATTTTTGTCAACAAACCAAAGTTTACTTAAAATGAAAATATTATTAACTCATTAATATGAACAATACACCAACACGAGAAGTGCCGAAATGTAGTTTTTTTAAATTAAATTTAACGGTATCAACGATTCAAATAAAAGTAAAGGAACTCGTTAAATGCAAAATTGGTGCCAGTGGAGTGGAATCATCCCAAGCACACCACGCAGAGTCCTTGCGGAATTAAGATAAGAATATTGAAGGCATTCTTTGTACAACACAAGTTAATTTTGGATTTATATAATTTACTAGAAAATCTAAAATTTAAGCGACAATTTGTTGCAACCAAATTTTACATAAGTCTTTGACCTTTGGACGACTATAAAGCTTGTCGAATTTCAGCATTGTTGAAACGCAATAAATTTTTAATGCAATTAATGAATTAAGAATGATATATAATTGCCAATTTTATTGAAATACTTAGGAAACACTTATAAGCAGAAAAAATAAACTGTATAAATGAACGATATCAAAATTAAGCGCCAAAATAAATAGCTGACACACAACCTTCTGGCTAATTTTTACTAACCTCTTCGGTGAAAACTCGTAAATTTCTTTCTTTGGGAGAGTTAAAACATCTTACTCTCTCGATTTCGTTACTGGCTAATTTTTACTGACATTTCTCAACGAACACAACTGTAAGGAGTTAAAAATGTGAGCGAAAACGCTAAAAGCCGTAACGAACACCGTTGTCCCCGCTGTAAAAGTGTTTTCGGTGTCGGTTCGAACAATATGCTTTTTGCATGCTCTCGAATGTACATATGTACATATGTATATCTATTTACTCTCATGTTTCATAAAAATAAAAGTAATTTCCAATATATTGTTCTCAATTCCTTGAATGCATTTGTTATATGTCCATGTTAATATCAAATATCATACATACATACATATATGATCGTAGGTATGTAAGTTTATAACAAAAACACTTTTTTGTAACTAAGATCGTTAAGAAATTACAATAGACCTATTATAATTATATGTAAATGCATATATATGTATATGCATATATGTATGTATGTATACACTAATGATTAAAAACATGTTGAATGCATTTTCTATATTTATATAGAACGGTTAATACATTTATATATCAAAATACTTTCATTTACAGTAAAAATATGCTATTGTGATTACGTACTAATTGTTTATATTCACATAAATATTTTGTTATTCTATAATTGCAGATTTACTGTTATTGAGTAGGCGCTTTGTAAAGTAACAACAATCAAATTTCAACTCGGAACACTCATATTTGTAGTAAATTTGTAAATTTACAAGATGCTTGATACTCTCTACGACTATTTGTCGAACATACCCGGCTATCATGTTTTGGGGCTTGGACTTGTTGCTTACTTGGCATATTATCTCATTTTGGTGGTTAAGGTGAGTGAGAAAAGTTTAAAACTCGAATTTTGGATCGCAGAAAAAGTGATGCAGTTAAGTAAGTAAGTAAGAATAAGTTTTATCTAAAATTTAAATAAATTTGCCAAAAAACATGAATGCCAGTTAATAGCCGCAGATATACACATTTCGTTGATGCTTTAAAAATTTTATACTTTATGTAATTTGCAACAAAAACAAAACTAAATTGTACCTCGTCAGCGTAAAACCACGGAAATGGTGAAATTGCGCCAAGGAAATGTGTAGCTTATCAATAAAACTAAAACAGCTCATAATAAAATATTTAACGAACGATTCCCGATGGATTGTACGGAAAATACACGAAAACCCCCACTTAAGTGCTCCAGCTTTAGGTAAAGAAGTGCTAAAATACCTTGGAAAAGCTGAAACCCAGAAAGCGTACGAAGAATCCTCAAAGAAGCTGATTTCGACGGCTGCACAGCTCTAAACAAACCAGATGTCAGTGCCAAAAATCAAAGTGCAAGGCTGAAGTTTGCAAAGGATCATTTATATAAAGATGAAAGTTTCTGGGGCACCGTATTTTTGCGGACGAAAGTAAATTCAACCTGTTTTGATCAGATGGAGAAAGTTATGTATGGAGAAAACCAAATGCTGCGATACAACCGCAAGGCTATGGGCAATGGGTAAAACTGTGTATTTGCCTCAAAATTAAATATTGGTGACAAGTTTCGGTACTATCAAGATGTTCCGAAACACAAATCAGTCGTTGTGTAAAGTTGGCTTATTTGGTACTGTCCGCACATAGTGCAAACCCCAGCGCAGTCTCCAGATTTGAATGTGATTGAGAATCGGCGGTCAGTTTTGGAACGATAGATTCGAAAATATTGTATTCGAAATCAAGCCGACTTAAAAAAAGCCCTACATAATAGAACAATATTGCTCCTGACTGCACGAAGAAATTAGTAAAATCCAAGCCCAAGCGTATGAAAGCAGTTTTAGACAGCAAGAGATATCCTACCAAATATTAATTAATATATAATTTTAGTTTGGTTCTTTTAAAAAAGGAAATTTATTAATTTTTTCTTACTGCATAATTTTCGCTGTGAAGTACAATTTAATAGTGAAGTTTCCTTTTGTTGTTAATTACGTAAAATATATATAAATAAACACATTTTAAAGCATAAATGAAATGTGTATATCTGCCGCTCTTAACTGGCATTCATATTTTTTGGAAAATTCTCACTTAGCTGCATTACTTTGGCTGTGGCGCTTTGTAACCGCTAAAGCTATTTTATAAATGGGTGGAAGGAAGATAGTTGGCCAAAATGTAAGGGACAGCGAAGGAAATGTAAAATTTATATTTCTTTTTTAGTACTGTATACAGTCCAGTTCACCAGTTCACTTGATTAGAGGCGGTATTTTTTATGAAAATAAATTCTGTTCAAAACTACGGTACTTCTACTGCTGCAATTGCTGATCAATTTATTGTTTCCCTTCAATAGAGGCACCAGGCTTGCTTGCGGCATTGGTGCAGTAAAAAAAATCATGGACCTTTTGTATTAATTTTTTATTAAATGTGTGAAATCGGGAATCAATAAGGTTTTACATTTGGAGAAATATTGCCCTTTGTGGGTCTTTCGAATCGGCAATTTGCAGAGAAGTTTGGTCGCAATCGAAATGTTGTCGGCTCCTATGAAAATTAAGATGAAACTTTTGGAAAAAACTACAAATGCTGGACTTCGTGGGCTTTAAAATCGGAAAATAATAAGGATTGTATCTAACTCTCCACTTTCTACATCTAAAGTAAACGTCTTGGCATGTGTAGAAGCTGATAAATTAACGGTATGAATTGCTATATTGCAGGCTCCTAATCTTGATTATAAGAATTACACAAAAATAACCTTTGAATGTGTCATGCAACAGCAATGACTCGAATTCGCTAGCGATCACATAGCTCGGACTCTATTGCAAACTATTTGCACGATTTGAGGTAGAAAGAGAGTCATTTGAGTGGTCCTCTCATCCGCCAAAGTAATGTTATGGTGTGGGGTGCGTTCAAATCGAAAATAGTCCAAAATGTTTGAAAATAGCTACAAAAAGCTTTCAGAATCATTTCCTGATAACTCGAAAGTTCTTATTTAGGACTTTTATGCCTGTACATATTGCCGTAGTAGTAAAAATATAGTTATTTTTGATCATGGCCATCATATTCCTCTAACTGCAATATAATCGCGAACTTATGGGGATGGTTTATATGCAAAGTTTTTGAGAATGGACAACAACTTGGATCAAAAGTTAGCTACTTCGAGTTTTTCAACTGGTTTGGTCTGAAATCCCATTAAGCTATTTGGAGGTCTATATAAAATTATCCCCAAACGCAAATATGTAACTTACAATATAGGTGGTTGCACAAAAGGTAGACCATTTGAAAATATGTAAGTAAACAAAAAACGTTTGCTAAACTCTCGGTTGAAATTATGATTCAATAATTAAAATTTGGATAAGTAAACCGTTTTCTCGCTTCCATTTGACAAAAAGGCTCCCTTACCGAAAAACCACAATGCTTCTTTGAAAAAAAAATTACTTTTTTGGGACTAATTTTTAAAAAGTAGCTATTAATATATACTTAATTTTTTATGAAAACATTTGGCAAGGCGAATTTATGAATTCGCAGATAAATGGATTTCGTCAGCTATTCACCGCCATGTTAGAATAGCTCTGCAGGAGTGCCGTAAGCTCCAGCCGCTTTGTTGTTCTTTATTCGGGTAGTGTAAAGACATTTCCGATTTCGATTGGGTTTCATTTTCGCTACCATTCAGCACGCTGAAGAAGTATTCCCACCATAAATTATATATATTCTACGCATCCGTGACTAGATCACTCCTATGGGTTCTTTAGTTCTTAAACTTAAATCGCCGTATCTTTTCGTCATTTGAGTCCTCGAGCACTTCGAGTATACTCTTGCATTTCGCCCTCTTTCTTTTTCCCTGTAAATGCATTTCAGCTCCCTCTTCAGCTCTCGGTATCTATCTCACCCTGCAGATGTTGTGGTCTAGTACTGCACGGCAGTTATCATTGTACCAGTTGTTTTGGATAACCAATAGTTTCGTTTGCAACTGTACGTGGCGAGCTTGAAATTCCGTCCTACAGTTTTTTATACCGACTTGTTGATCAGTGGTCTCAGAGACCAGGAGTGCAAGTCGAATAGAAAACCGTTCGGTTGCCTATTGTGGTTACAGCTTTTTGTGTTTGTTGAGGAGCGTTCCTTGCTGCTACTAGATAGTGGTCTGAGTCGTAGCTGGGTCCTCAAAGTGTACGCACGTCAAGAATACTGGAGACATGTGCTCCGTCTACCACAATGTGATCGATTTGATTTGAGTGTTTTCGATCTGGCGAAAAATAAGTACCTTGATGAATTTTCTTGTCCTGGATTCGGATAATTCGATTAGCTTCAACCCACTTATTGTGGCTGAATTTTCCCTCTTACCTAGCCTAATAGTGAAGTAGCAAAGCATAGCGTAGTGGTGAGTACACTAGGTGCTTATTAAAGGTATTCTTTGTCACATCGTCCTTCTTTTCCGTCGCGGCGTGAACGCAAGTCAACGTTGTGTTGAAAAATTTCGCTCTGATGCGGGTTGTGGCAAGACGTTCATCCACAGGGCTGAATGAGTCTCTCTCTCACCACAAGTCCGACCCCAAATTTGCCTTTTTTTATACAGCCGTTGCAGTATATTTCATAAAGACCCACCTCTAGTGTCCGTGTCCCGTCCATCATACTTCTTGGGCGGCGGTGATGTCAGCCTTTGGTTTAGCGAGGACATCAACCAGTTGGGTAGCGGCTTAAATGACTCAAATCATTTTTTTTGCTATATATGCGAATTGGACTAAGTAATTTAATCAATTAAAAGTAATTTTACCATTTTTAATTTTATAATTTTATAATTTTGCACATCCATTCATTTTTACAGTTTGGATTTTCATATCATTTCGGCATATGATTTAGAAAATACTCGTACAGATATATTATTTTAATATCGAAGGTATTCAATTCGTGTTTAAAATGAAGGAAATATAAAAATTCATGTAAAATACCTACTATTTCTCTTACTTTTTAATACCTTTTTGTTACCTTTTCCCTTTGTTTTTTTTTAATGGAACATATTTTCTCCCCCATTCCACTACTTTCCAACCCTTAGGTTGTCACTACACATCCAAACTTTAATCATTGAATCATGGGTGCAAAAGAACCAATAAATTGATCAGAATATTGCAGCAGCAAAACCTTTATTGCTATACAATACCGTTAACTGGAATAATTTGCAAATATTTTTTCATTTTGTTGTGAAGTACAATATATCAGGAACTTGAAATACATATGAAGCAATTTTTTTGTTTAACTACGATTTCTTCTCCTAAAAAATACTGCCTCTAATCAAGCGAATAAATTATTGTGGTTATTTATATGGTCATTTAAAGGAAAAACTATTTGAAATGCCTTTCAACTTTTCTTTCCATAATTGTATTAGCGTCCCACATTCGTTTGCGCTGATGGTCCATTGAAAAACTTTCTAATGCGAGAAATACCAACCTTGAATATGAAATTCTGGCCGACATTTTGGTGCTTGGATAGTCGTGCTCAGACAATTTTCGCCAGTGTTTTACGTTCCAAGACAATACCTTCGATTGAATATAAGAGGTAATATTAGTTTTATGAAATTTACTGTTTCGTAAATAAGCGTAGCATTAAATATTTCCCGTGTATTTTTCACATTGCTTTATATATGTTGTACGCACAGTATTAATAAAGGGTGATTTTTAAGTTGTTATTTTTTTGGCAACACTGGATTAAACAGCTGACGCACGTTTCGTGTTTTGTATCACTGTCAAACAACTTCAGTTTGGTCTATAATTTAACGATGAATCGTCTTACAAACGAAAAACGCTTGCAAATTATTGCCTATTATTATCATTGTGTTCAGCGACGAAGCTAATTTTTGGATTTATGGGTACGTAAATATGCCGAGTAGTCGATTTTGGAGTGAAGCTCAGCCAGAAGCATTGTCCGAGCTACCAATGCATCCAGAAAAAGTCAGAGTTTGGTGCGGTTTATGTTCTGCCGGCATCATTGGACCGTACTTCTTCAAAGATGATGCGAATTGTAACGTACCTGTAAATGGTGAGCGCTACCGTAAGATGATACTAAACATTGTTTTGCCCAAAATGCAAGAGCATGACTTGCATTACATACACGTATGGTTTCAACAAGACGGTGCCACAGGCCACACAGCACGCGTAACAATGGACTTATTGAGAGGCGAGTTCGGTGAACATTTTATCTCACGTTCGCGACCGATCAATTGACGCATTGGATTTGACAGGAGTATGACGAAATTGGACTTGGCGGATGGACCATGTGAGGCTCAGTCAAGGTCAACATTTGCATGAAATAATCTTCAAATATTAAATTATATGGACTGTACTATCGATTCAAATAAAGATTTCATGCATTTTTCTGAATAATATATATATTTTTTAAAACACTTTCCTATACCTCTTAAAAATCACCCTTTATATGCATGTGTATATATGTATATAATGTTAATAGTTTAACACGACTCATAAAGTGCTATTTTTTCTACTGCCATTAAATGGCATTACTTCAATTTCATCTAATGACTTGCAACAATTAAAATTTATTAAACATATGTATGTATGTACTTTAACCTCACACACTTATTCCAGAGAAATTTTCACACTAAAAGATGGGGGCGAAGTGGCTTTAGATTGGATGGCTGATAATTGTGATTCGAATTCGCCTTGTGTTATCATTTTGCCTGGCTTAACGGGCAATTCACAGGACGAATATGTAAAATGCCTCGTATTTGCCGCTAATAACTCAGGCATACGTGTGGTGGTCTTCAATAATCGCGGACTTGGTGGCGTGGATTTAAAAACACCGCGTCTTTATAACGCTTGCAACTGTGAAGATCTTGCCGAAGTGGTGCAACATGTACGGAAGGTGGTGCCGGAATATTGTAAGTTGGGAGCTACCGGTATTTCAATGGGCGGGCTGGTCTTGGGTAAGTGAAATGAAAACAGATAGAGAAAGAGAATTTGAAATATTCGAAAGCAAATTGCTGATATTTATTTATTATGCAGGTAACTATTTGGCACGACGAAGTGAGGAGGCCCGGACATATTTGTCGGCAGCGAAAATTATTTCTGTGCCTTGGAATGTGCATAAAGGTTGGTTATTAATTTTTAAAATTTTTCATATTTGTAGTCGAAATAAAAATCGGTTTGCAAATTTTCAGCTATTGATAGCATTGAACAGCCTATTTTAAATAATCTACTCGGACGTCTATTGACGCAAAGCATGTATCACACACTAAAGCAAAGTGGTCTTCACAAACATCAGGATTTGGATATGCGAAGCATTAAAACGGTATGCCACAGCTGTTGCAGATTAATAAGAATTATAATTATTTTCATTTTTTTTTTTCAATTATTATTGTAATCTTTCGTTGTTTTAACTTTTAGAGCAAGACAATTAGAGAGTTCGATGCCCTGTTCACTATTAAACATTTCGGCTACCCAAGTGTGGATGACTATTATAATGATGCTACTTTACAAAATAAATTACATCAAATATCTGTGCCATTACTTTGCTTGAGCGCTGCCGATGATCCGTTTCAGCCACTAGATGGTAAATATTTTATGAAGGGTGTAATTTTTGGACGCGTGGCTTTCAATGAAACAAAACCCCCATTTCTGATTTGGTCTTTTTACATTTAGCAGCTGTTGCTTGATTTATACTCAGTTTTGCTTTCCATTCCATAATGAACCGACTTACTCCGTTTGCAAATCGTGCATATTTATTACCAAAGCTGCGATGAGAATCCCTTTTGTTTGAATGACTACGCCAATGAACAAAGTTTTTGCGTTGGACGAGATAATCGGCAAACCATTGTTGAGGCGCCTTTACATCTTCAAAGAGTAACAGTTTGGTGTTCTTTAAGGGCATAGGAAATGATTGGTCCATATTTCTCAAAAATGCCGTAATGTTATAGTCAATAAGGAGCGCTACAGGAGCATGATTAATCACTTTCCCTGAACTGTTGGACGTTGCTGTGGATGCTTTTTGGTTCCAAAAGACGGCGTTACACGCCGTAAAGTCAAGTAAAAAAAGAATTTGTTCAAGTAAACTTTTGGTGAGCGCGCTATCTCGTGCTATAGGGCTGTATCGTGATCTCCAAAATCGGTGGAGTATTTTTTGCGGGCTATATGAAATCGCTTGCCTATGCCAATAAGCCCGAGACGATCCCAATTGCTGTAGAAATCTTTGTCTTTATAATAAAGGAAAATTCTTGGTCATAACATTTCATTGCTCCAAAACACCCTTTATATTCTATGCATTTATCATATTATTTACTAACCTCTGTACATATCTATATATACATACATATGATTCACTCTTTCAGCCATTCCTCTAGAAGCAGCGAATAAATGCAGTCATGTTGCCATCATCATAACAGCTCGAGGCGGTCATATCGGTTTCCTCGAAGGTTGCTGGCCCTCAACAAAAGATCAATATATGAGCCGTGTTTTCGTAGAATACTTTACTAAAGCTTTATTCGATGAAAAAGGTGAATTTCAACGGATTAAAGAGGATCTGCATCGTGTTTATCTCGAAAAACAAAACTGTTGAATTCCTTCATTAATGAAATGTTTTAATGTTAATTAAATAAATATATACAGTGTTATACAAATGTACTGATTCTCGTGCAATACAGTTGTGTTTATTCTGCGCTCTCGAATTCGTCATTTCGTCAGGAAGAAGCTTGAAAGAAGTGCAAATATGCCACCTACGGGCGCCCCCTTATTGAGCAATTGGTTTTCCTTATTGATGCAAGGTCCAAATCGCAAACAAAAAAGTCTAAACCTCACAAAGGAATCATTTCCATTACTTCCCACAGTAAAAAGAGATAATCCTAAGTTCTTGGTAGCTAATACCTTAGATACAAAAAACCTACTGGACAGGTATTCTTGTTTTGCCGTTCACAAAGCTCAAAAAGTATAAGCTCCGAAACCGACAATATATCCGAGTTAAAAGACGGTACCTTAGTGTTACTTATTAAAAACGAAAACTTTGCAAACAAGTTCTTATCAACTGAAAAATCCGCAGACATGTGCGATGTAAATTTTGAGCTGTTCAAAAACCTTAATTCGGCGTAAGGCACCATTTATGCGCCTTGTCTCAACTGAGTTAGTGAAACAGAAATTATTAAAAATCTTAAAGATCAAGGTGTCTCAGATGTGTACAAATTTTTCAAGCACAAGGACGTTAAGACCAATCCCAGTGGAGTTCTGCTATTGACCTTTGAGCGGTATTATCTCCCAGAGAAAATCGAAGTGTCCTGGTATACAAGAAAGGTGTGACCGTATTATCCAAACCCAATGATATGTAAAAGCTGCCAGTTACTTGGTCATACATACAAACGTTACGATAAAACTCCAGCATGCGACAATTGCTCCCTTCCACCTCATTCCCTTACTCCATGTGCTCGCACATTATTTACAAATTGCTTTGGCGATCATCCTTCTTCAAGCAAAACATGCCCTAAATTTCCACAAATTAACCAGATATTAACAAAAAAAAAACTGACAACAAATTTACACAAACAACAGATCCCACAGGAATCCCACAGTTCAACCCAAAATCATCTTCTTTTGCTGATACAGTAAAAACAGAAAGGAAAATCACAAACAACTCAACAACAAAATATAGTCTCTGAAAACATCACTGACATAGAAAACATCAACGAAAATAGTGAAAACGAAATCCAAAACATTGAAAACAACAAAGCTATAGTTAATAACAACAGCACAACAAATACAACCAATGCAATCGATGACGCTGTACCGAACTTCAGTTCATCCCATCTGATTTTGTCCCGCAGATCTCTAATTTTCTAAGCCCTTCTTCTTCTCTCCACAATCCATCCATGGATACTTAAAACTTAATCCCATGAATGTACTTCAGTGGAAACTTTCACGGCCTTCTAAACAACTACCCGGAATGAAATATATTAATTAAAGTATGCAACCCAGATGTTATCGCATTACTGGAAACTCACATTCCAGCAAATAAGTCAATCCTTGCTCCCAATAAATATTTTGGTTTTTTTTTGGTCATAACAATCCAAATAACATAGATTGTAAACAAGGCGTTGCCATTTTCATAAACAAATCGATTCAACACAAACATATACCAGTTTGTTCAAACATTCAAACGCTAGCAATAGATTTAGATATTGATTTTAGATTAACGATCATTTCATGCTCCATTCCACCTGATCAAAATTTCACTGCCAGAGCTATTCTAAATATTATCAACATCTTTTCAACCCCCATTATTATCGTAGGTGATGTAAAGTGGGCTCCGGGACACTTTGGGGTTCAACTTCCACAAACAAAAGAGGAGAGATATTTGAGGACATTATAATTTCTAAAAGCTTAATAGTCCTCAATGATGGAGCACCTACCCATTTTTCCACCCATACAATTTACCAACCCCTATATCACTTTTTCCGCTGTTTCCATAGCTCCAAAGCTCTCAACCATAACCTTAGACGAATTACAAAACAGTAATCATTTCCCTATTTCAACAACTATTTCTAAGCCAAGTATCAACAAAATAAAACCTCGGGCGAAATTTCTTATTGAAAAGGCAGATGGCAGAAGTTTTCTCAAATAATATAAACGCCCAAGCGGCAGCGATCAAACGTATTATACGTTCAGCAGCCCACATAGCCAAACCACAAAGCAGGCCAAAACATGTTTCTGCAAATCCTCCTTATTAGAATAAGCAATCGGCTTTGAAAAAATACAAGGAAAACAGGACAGATGTTATCCTGGTAAGATTCAAAAAAGCAAATAGTATATTTAGAAAAGAATTTAAAGCAATTAAAAGAAAAGCATTCGAAAAACTCACCGCATCTTCAAGCGCAAAAAAAGTTTGGTCTAACATAAAAATGATTACCTCCTCAGACAATCTCTTTCGTTCACTCTACAGGAGGTCCTATTCACGAACCTGTCGGTATTGCTGAAATTTTTGCCTCTACTTGGTCAACTGACCCCCATGACTCGAATTTCCATTCGGTATTTAATATTTCAAAATATAACAGTATATCTGATGCCTACACGAACATGTCTCCTAACGCAGGAGCCATTTATTTTGATTCTCCAATCTCTACTAAGGAGTTTGATGTTACTCTTTCTTCTATGCGTGGAAAAACACCTGGTGCAGACAAAATAACGTACACTCTTCTAAAAGAACTCCCTTACCACCTACTCCTGCCAGACTTGGACTCATCGATCTTTATAATTTAATTTTGGATCAAGGAGTATTCCCTCAAGAATGGAAAATTGCAACAGTACTACCAATTCTCAAACCAAGTAAAAATAGTTCTTCCATTGCTAGTTACAGACCCATTTCCCTCCTCTTCTGTTTATCCTCTGGTATTCCGACAAAAACTGTTTAAATAACTCTCATCAGTTCGCTTTTTGGCTCTTTCATCCAGGAACCTTGTTTCAGTTCTCAGTTTAGATTTTGGTAAGGCGTATGATAGAATCGGCTCCCATGTCATTCTCTCAGAACTTAAACGTTGGAAGGTAGGATCAAAGGTCTTCAATCATTTGTAGAAAATGCAGTTGCTTCCCCTCATCTATTTCACTTAATGATATCGCCGTCTCAAATACTGACGCATTAAAGATATTAGGAATAATATTTGATAAGAAATTAACATTTAAGCAACATTGTAAATACATTAGAATTAGTTTATTTTCCAAACTAAACATTATTACTTATAGCTTATCAACGCTCATAAACTTAACAAGAGTCCTACAATTAGCTAAAATTAACTTTGGACCAGCAATCTATGGACACTGTGCTAAAAAACATTTGCAACTGTTATAATCTCCCTACCCCACAGCCGTCGGAAGGAGTATTCGGGCATTTTCTACCCCGCCAACCGAAACAATTTCAGCGGAAGCTGGTTTGCCTGAAAATCAATATAGAGTATTGTACAACACAATGGAGCTAATAAGAAAAACCTTAAACTGCGGAAATTAATACCTGTTCTCCTTTGTGCAGTCCTCGCAGCAACAAAAAAAAAAAATGCGCAAAGAGGCCATCTACTATCGCTCGCATCTTAAGTTCCATCGAACAACTTGGTACCATATCTAAACCAACACAAAAACAAGTCATATCACTCCCTCATTCCTACTTGCCAGATCCGTTCTTATAAGCGATTTACTCAAGCACCCAAAAGAGAATATCTCAGCATGTGTATATAGACAATTAGTATATCTCGAAGCAACCGAACTTTTAAGGATGGTCTGGTAGTTCCTGTCTACAGATGGCTTCAGATACGATACCAGCACTTCATTTGCGGTATCAAATGAGCTAGGTGTTACTATTACCGTCGTATGTAAAAAGTATGTTACATGCTCCGACAGCAGGTCTACCATTGAAGCCGTATTTAACAACACCAATGATTACTACATCATCTGCAGTATCAGGGAGATACTCTGGCAAAATAAAAATTATGTGGGTAACTGGGCATGTTGGTATCAAAGGAAAGGAATATGCTGATCACTGAGCAAAGGCCGGTGGTTCCGAACCAATACATCTGTTTCACTAATTCATCGAAAAGATAAAAAAAAATAATATTTACTCACTCGCAATCTTGGTTCTCCTCCAAATGAATCGGCTACCAACATCATTATAAAAATATTAATTTTGGCGGTACTAAGCCTCTGTATCCTTTATCAGTTTCGAGTAACAAAATAAGAATAAGGATAAGACTAAGAATTGGCCACACGATTTTTCCACACTCCCATCTTCTTAAGCGAACCGATAAAATGCCTTGGCCATTCTGTGGATTGAATCAAATAAAAGTTTCACATATTCCGGATGACAGCGTGGAATTAAATGCAACAAACTATCGGAACTCCTTAAAAAGACAGATGAAAAAAACATTAACATTATTCATAAGGTTTTCTGGGCCTGTTAAGTGATGATGATAGTCTAATATGTAGAGTACATCTTAAGACGATCCTCATACTTTCCAAATGTACGAATATATGTATGTATAGCAACACCCTTGGATAGATTGATATCCCACTATCAATTTTTCAGGGGTTATTTACACCTTTTCTCCTTATATATTAATATATATATACTATATATGATTATATGTTAAGTCGAAGGCCATAGCATCCAGTGCTTAGATCCTAAGTGGGATAATTATTGTATAATTATTTTTCTTTATAAAATAAATAAATAAATTATACAAATGAAAGTATTAATAAGTGAAGAGTGTTTTTCCAAGCTTATGACCGTCCAGACAAATTAATAAAGTTCTACGGATAAATAATAAAGCGATGAGTAGAGATAGCTTGATGCGGCTGTTGATCAGCGACCAACGTACTAAGTCCTATAATGTGCCATGATATCAAGTGTCTAGGGGATTGCTAATTTTAGCTGAAGCTAGCCAAGCGGGATAGTCCAAAGATTATTTCCTGAGGTGGTTATGTCACGGGGTTACCGAGGCTTTGACAGAGGTAGCGTCGGCTGACTTACACTTCCTCGTTACTACAGCAGTTGCGTCCGGTTTTATCTGCCGTTACACTAATGACGAGCGGGTCTTGAACGATTAGATCAAAACTGATTTTTTATTATCTTTTATCAGCTATTAGACGAGACAGAAATTTAACGCATTAATTGAAGTCCAGTTTTGCACGTCTCTTTTCTTCTATCAGGGTTTGAGTGCTGGTCCGACCATCAATAAAAATTATAAAAGAATTCATTTTAAGTTTTAAGGAGTTTCAAGCTTTCCGTCTGTACTCCTGGCCAAAAAGAAAAATCAGCTTACAATAAACTGTAGGTCTCTTCATTTGCAGGAAAAACATTAAGACGCACACGACAAACTGGAGAAAGAGCTCTGTGAAAATCGCTTCAGTCGTTACCCTTAGTCAATAATAAATATATGAGTTTTGCAAGGTAACACCGCACTAAACCAAGCCAACGTGCCTAATTTACTAGGCCTCTTCACAGTGGGTAATTACAACAACAACAAAAAACGACAGTCAGCATTGTTTCTGTATCAAAATTTACAAATATTTCATTTTATTTCTTTTTAAAATCACTTTAAAACTACAGCCTCTAGACGTCTGCGAGCCTCTCGATATGCCAACATTATGTCATCCAAAGTCATTCCACTTGCTCTATTAGAGCACGGCTGCAGTAGTTCACAGTTACGTTGCGTGAAACGCTGACAAGTGAGCTCAATCTGACCTGTACTTTGCATACGGCAGCCATAACGAGTTTTACACTGACTATCTGTGGAATCGTCTGTGTAGAAACGCATAAAGTCAAAGCTTCGACGACCCCCAATTAAATAGCGTGAAATTGCTTCTATAAGTCCTTCAGCTGGGCGCAAACACTGCAATACCTCCGAATTCCATCCAGCCAAAAGATATGTAGAATAGTGGGCGTATCCTTCGATGCGTTCACGTCCCCAACTGTCGATAGATATGAGCTCGAAATAAATGTGGAACAAATGAGCAGGATTAAATTCTTCTTCACACAGCAGTGTTATTTGCCAATTGTAGCCAAAGTAGCATTCGTTGTTGTTGTGACTGGGAGAGCTGGTATGGGTGCTACCATGCAGTACACCCTCTTCAAGTAAGGTATTTGCTGGCAACTGAACATGATAACGTGCGTGAATATTGGCATAGCTGAAACCAGCGGCTGTACGAAGCTCAAATAGCAGGCATATGCGTCTTGTACGCTTTGGTGGCATAGCAAAAAGGTTGTTTAAATCACGCTCTTCCTGCCAGTGTGTGACCCATTCTGGTAATTGCAAGTAAGGCGCAGGACTTATAGCACATCTACGTTTCGAAATGTTGTGTATTGCGTAGGCGTATAAGTGTCGGTAATCAGTATCTATTTCGATGTAATAAGGATTCTCGGTAAAAACGTTGAAATCGGGATAAATTCGTAATTGTCGTAGTTTTGGGTCCCAAAGAAGCGATACTAGCTGAGTGTCCGGTAATATAGCTGCATAAACATACATTCTTCGTATAAGTGCTTCATGGACATCAGATGTGCGGCCCCGTTGTTCACTTTCAGTGGCGTGTCTCGATTGTTCAGAGTGTTCCGGTTTAAAGTTGTCCGCATGAGTATAGGTGAATATTTCCCCCCACCGCTTCTTCAATATATTCTCTGTTTTTGGTAAGTTTTTACTGCGCTTACTTTTTCGGCTATGTTTGCCCCCTTCAACTACAGTCAGCGCATTACCGGAGTCCTCTTCTGCCTCGAGCTCTAATATCCATTGATTATAACCTTTTTGAGCGTCGGTAACACAATTGCGTGCATCCTTATACAACTCCACTTCACTAGGGCTAAGCAGCTTTTCTTGCCAATGTATACGTGTGACAGAAGTCACATTTTCAGCTAGACCAAAAGTCTCATCGTATTTTTTAGAGGGGACACTTGTACTATTGTTTGGTGCATTAATGTGCGCCAAATCAAACTTGGGCAGTTTCAATAATGAGTTGATGTGTCGAAAGTGCAATTCCAATTCAAGACATTCAATATTGTCACGAATATTGTAAACGCCTGTTCGTTTTGGAAAATTTTGAAACATTTTGTCTAAGTTTGTTTGTTTACTATTTCCTGTTAAAGTTATGTGGTTCCCTTGGCAATTAATTGCTATAATATCATAGCGTTCTCTAGTGATTATTATTGTCGGATAAATTCCAAAAACGGATAACAACAGATAGCGCAAAGAAATAGTTAATTTTTGCTCTGCTTGTAACGCTTAAGTTGTCGGCCGGAATAACTCTGTCGTTAGATGTCACGGTAGTCAAAGCTGAGTTTCTAATAACAAGTGCATCTCAACAGATGTTGCTGAATGCATATCAATTGGAAATTGGCGGGCTCTACAACAGACAACCAGAGAACGTATAATAGTTTGTATTGTTACGATTTTACTAAATCAACCTCGATTATTTTCTAAATCCTTCGGGTACGATCTCTGGATTGTTAAATAAAACTCGCCAACTCAATTTGCAGTTTCTTTCGTTATAAAGAATTAATCTAATGTCCTTTATTTTCTCAGTAATTCACAATTCAATTATACTACACTTTACTATTTACAATCACTATCATCAACTTGCACAATTTACTCTACTTAAATGTAATCTTCAACGCGTTTACTTTACGACTTTACTGATGTTAACGGCAACGAGTTCGCTTTATCACTAACTTGACTTGCAGCTGAGTGTCGCCTTTATATAGCAGTCGGCTGCTCGCAGACGAAAGCGTAGAAGCATCGAATTGTTCGCTATGGAAGGTTCTTGTTTTATCGTTTCTAGAACGTACTAGTTATCGGCTTCTCTCTTTCATCTGACATTCGCCTCGCATTTTCGCAACAGTATATTATAATATACGTTCTCAGATTCTACGTTCCCTGCTTTAAGGGGCTAATTACAATATATCGATAACAATGCACGTTGCGAATTTATAGAAAGTGAAGCTCATTGGTTCCTTCATAACGAGAATTTAATATACAAACAAAATAATGAGTTCTATCCTTTGAAAAGAAATGACATTTACATATATGTGAATACAAAGAATTTGTAATTCATATCAAAGAACGTACCGCAGTTGCACAAAGACCGTATGAGTCATATACGCTCTTTGCTACTGCGAAATTCGCCTTGGCTGTGGAATTCGCCTTATCATCACCTGTACTGATTTTGGCCGGATTCTTGTGCATTCGCCTTAATTCATTTGTTCATTCAGTAAATTTTTTGATATTGTTGAATATAGTTATAGTGCTTGTGGCGGTTGTGCTTTAATCGGCTAGAGAATAATTCATATATTTTTTATTTTGTGTTTAATAGTTGTTTGACATTTCTACTTACCCTTATTTTATAACATATATTCATGTTATCGAATAAAGTATTATAAATTGAGAAATAAGTTAGCAAAGTGTGGAAGAATCCAAGTGTTGTCGCATTTAGTTTGGTTGATTCGCAATAGAAGAGAGAAAGCTATTTAAAGTGGACGGAATTGCAATAAATGCACTTTTCATTATTAAGCTGAATTAAAGTAAAATCAAACCGACAATAAAAAAAACGATATTTGGGAGAGTACGAGTTAAGTGAAATAACACAATACTACATATAGGTGCAATAAAAATACTATACCTAAGTAAAGGCAAAATTATTTGTATTGAAGTGCAACTCGACCCGGCAAACTCACCCAGAATTTAACTACATCGAACATAATTATAAACCAAAATAAAACACACACTATTGCTGGCTTATGTGTTTATGTGAATTTTAAATTTGTTTTAACTATTATTTAGTATAAAAAGCTCACATAAGCAGTATGTCGGGGCTAGCAGCAAAAAATCAGCAGCACCAACGAGACGTCGAAAACGGTCTTTATCCACAAGTTCCAACAGAACGTGGCCAATCAATACAAAAGCCAACACCTTCTCGACCGCCACCACGACGACAAGATACAATCGACATGGAAGTTATACCCTTGAACCGTAGTCAATCGGCTCCAGCAGGTGTTGAGGCAGACGACCGGCGACGCGCTCGTCGTATTTTTGATAACGTAAGTTAGCCGTGGGTTTTAAAAAAAACTTAGTAGATATTTTTATATAATTGAAAAACTTTGTCCAGGCAAATAACTACCTTCTTAAGTGTTTTTTTTTTAATATATGTAAGTAAGTTAGTTCTTTGTTTCTGTAAATTTCTTGCAATTGTATTTATACATATGTATAGACATCGCTGTAATGCCAAAAAAACATTGCTTGACCTTTGGGATTTTTTTTTATTCTTTCTAGGGTTTTTTGATTTTTAATGTAAAATAAAGAAAAGCATTCATAATTTTTTGTGCAAAATAAAACAAAGGAAAATGTGAAACCAAATTAATTACATATCTCAACGATGATTCACAACTGCTTTGATACATATGTATGTATCTATGAATGTATATATGCTGCAAAGATACAGAGCTATAGTCACGTTATTTGGTATTTACCTCCTCCATTCTCCCACCTTATCACACCGTCTGACCGTTTAATCTCTCTGTTATTTAACACACAATCACAATTTGTTTATTCTACTACACCTGTTGCCCTTACTTTCGCACTCAACCAACCTATACGATCTATGAATTTTCTTGGTGACGACAAATCATATACATATGTACCTACACTATCTTAGATATATTCATATCATACTCACTTGTGTGATATTTTGAAGTTTCTGGTTTGCAAAATTAACGCAATAATTTTGATTATACTATTTTTCTGTCTTTTTATTACTTGAAAAAATAACTATGAAGGTGTTGTGGTGGTAAAAGTGTCATTGTTCGCAAAGTTTCATAGATACGTTTTAGTTTCGTCTACATTATTGCATATACTTTTATCGACCGGCTTTTTGTAGGTATGAATCTTATGGTTAGTTAAATATAATATTTACATTTAGCTTTCTCGTATAGCAAATTTCACAAACCGGTTATTGTTTTTGTTTTTTATTGCTTAAAAACATTCTTCTCTAATTTGAAATTCGTGAGACACATACAGATATGTATATGTATACAGTAACACTTGGATGAGTGGAATAATTCATTAATTTATTTAATAATAAGAAGACATTAATACAAAACGATTTCCATATCTTTTTTATTACAACAGAAATACTTACTTACGATATATACAATGATCTGCTTTAGCAGCGATTTCTTCAGCCAGACTACACTGTATTTTCGTATAACCAAATAATTTACCAAATACCTATATGAACAATTCATTGAATTTTGCTTACATGTTTTCTTACAGGCTATTTTGTAAAGATACTTTCTTAAACGCTTATCAAGTTATTGGTTCTGTCTATTCCCTTAAAGCACATTCTCTGCATTGTCACGTTCTTATTGAATTGAGAAACAAACAACAGTAAACGTATTCACCTTTTAGTAATTTTTCAGATGCATATTGAAAGTACAAATTAATTCGGTCCGTACTCAATAGATAGATCCACCTGCAAGTTGTGGGCGATCTTGGAAACGATTACCTATTTTTGGAAAAGGTTATACCTTTGCCAATAATAATTAGCAGCGTCTGTTTCTGAAAACAAAATCTTGTTTGCCTCGTAAATGCCCGAATTTTTGGTGAATAAACAGCATTTGCATAATTGAAAGTTTAATTCAGCTGAAGCCCATCGAAAGCTTATAGATGTTTGTGGTGAATCTGGGCGGACCGATCAGTTATGCAGCGAGTGGTTTCGTCACTTTAAAAGTGATGATTTTACGGTCAAAGCCAAAGAGCGTCTTTATGGGATCACACTATGATCCTAAGATCTGCCCTGTCTTTACATCTGCTGTGGGACCACGTTAACCTTATAAATGGAATACAAAGATCGGCGGTGATTTGCATAAAGGGTGCACTGAATAGATGCCAAATGAGACTTCAAATTTTATTCTCGAAATTTTACATTAAACTTGATTGGTTTCCCTACCGCACAGTTTGCCATTCTTCGCCTAACCCATTAATATTTCAATATCATACCTAGTGACTGGTCAACTTTTGCTCTCAAAAATTATATTACGCATATCTCTAAAATGAAAGAATGGAGCCATAGCCTCGAAGCCCAATCGACAGTATTGAGATATATACTGACAGACCAAAATTTTATGGAAGAGTTCTCTTTCAGGCTACACGATCATTATGAAGGGAGCAAACTACATTGGAACTAAAATGCCGGACTGTCGCCGATCTCTGCAGGAGATGGCCAAACAGAGCAGATTTTTGTTATACAACAAAGAAAAATGGCTGAATTAAGATGTAATCAAATCATAGCAGGTATCAGATTGATTAATGAAATTTAAAAAAGAATCGAAGTGAATAGATAGGGAAGCATTGTAGGTTCTGAAACTGGCCTACACTGATCTTTCACATTGGTAGCCACTTCAACCTAACCTAACCTATATTCAATGTATGAAGAAAAGGTTTACATATCAAAACTTACGAACTGAATGTTTGTTCAAAATACACTACAGCGATGAGAATCGATATTGGCTTCCATGGTGGAATCATAACTAGGTATGATCACCTAATTGTTTCGCAGTCTTTTTTCGGTATTGCTTTTTAAAGCAGTAGAACAATGTATAATACATTAATATAGAATAAATAATATATGAATCGCTTCAGCGGTTATAAAGACAGTATGTAATTGTATGAAGGCTGTATCGTAACGATAAATTTCACGTTAATATACATATTTTTAACGTTTCCGTAGAAACCTTTGGAAATATTAAGTTAAAGTAGTTATCAAAATAAATTTTATTTCGTTTTTACCCGAAACGATAAGCTTTCGTTAATGTGAAATCGTTAACAGCTCATGTTGAACGTTCAAACTGAAGTGTGCTATTAAATCATAGCATGCAGCGATTTTGAAATTAACGTATCAGATCTCATCGACCATCGGTTTCCACATGAACGATTTCATTTCGTTTTGATGACATGGCGCCGAAACGAAACGATTTCATTTCGTTAAGTTAATTTTTCTTGTTAACGGTACAAAATGATATCGATGCAAAGAGCCAGTTGGTGACTTTCCATTTGTTTTTGTTAAATCTAAAAATACCACCTTCTTTGCAATTATTCTGTTCATCTTCCATTCAAATTTTAAAACGATTGGCTAAAATGTAGACGAGAAAACGCAAGATAGCTGAGGATGGGTCAGATAAAATTCCACCACCAACGCAAGCAGAAATTGGCCATGTAATTCCCTTCTGGTTTCGGCGTAATTTCAGTGAATGCCAAATTGCATATGGAACGATTGCCACATCTTTGAATACTATTTCTAAGTGGTTCCGAAGATTCCATACCGAACATTTTTCCGTAAAGGACGAGTCCCGAAAGTCCAGAGAGAGTCCAAAATTGACGAATACCATCGATTGACACAAGAAATGATTGCTAATGAATTGAACTTGAATGCCATCGCTGTATCGCGAATATTAAGAATCATCTGGGTGGAATACACGAAGAGTCTGCCCGACGGATGGGATTTTAAATTAGGCCCAAAAATAGGCTCGAGTGCATTTTGCTCCATTGTTCCTAAACAAATTCGAAAATGGTCAGTCTATCAAATTTAGAAAACTCATTACCGGCGACGAATATTGGTTCCATGAGTACGATCGATAAGAAGCCACATCAGCAGTAGAGGTAATGATGCCAGTTTACTTCACCCGATATAAAATCTTAGCTGCTATTCCACTGGAAAAGGGTCAGATGGTAACTGCAAAATAGTACACCGAAGAGTGCTTACCAAAAGTTTTAAAATTTTTTTTTTTGGAAAACAGGAAGAAAGAGTATTTGCGCCGTAACGAGTAATTTTATTGCGGTGGGATCGAAGAAATACGTCCAGTACCTTATTCCCCGGATATAGCACCTTGTGATTTCTAGTTATTTCCAAAAAAAAAAAAAATTAAAGGAAAGGTCTTTAATAGCAACAACGAGATAATCAATGCAGTTAATGCAGAACTTGATAAGCTTAGAAAGCAAGATCTTGAAGACTGTTCTTAGAAGTGGTTCTATAGGCTTAGAAATGCATTGAAATAAATTGCGATTATGTAGAGAAGATTAAAAAGGGCAAAGATTATGAATAAATACAAAAGTATTCTTTTTTCTGGTCAACTTTCCGAACTTTTGTTAATCTCCTCGTACATATATGAGGTGTATTTGAAGGAAAAGGTGAATTTTTGAGGTAAAACGGATTACAACTGGTGATGAAATATTGGTATATGGTTATGACGTCGAAACCAAGGCCAAATCATCCCAATGGAAGTTTCCACATGAGCCAAGGCCAAAAAATGGTATGCCTTTTGATCAAATGTGGAGACTTTGGTGTGGTGCAACAATAACGGAAAGCCTTTTGCCAAAATTGATGAGGTCGTAGCCATACCGAAAGCGGATTTCAGAAGTGCCTCGAGGATTGGAAAAAGCACCAAATACATATTGAAGAATATTTGAATAAGCAAAGAAAATAATAATTAATTTTCTTTACTAATGTTTCCACCAATAGAACAGAATTAATGAATTCAATTAATAATTTGTTGTTAATTCAGAGTTTTAGGCAACGGGCTAGTCACCTGGTAATACTTGTGACAAAACAATTATGTCCAATTAATTCTCTCCGTTGTTGACATGATGTTATTTAAGATACAGCTTTCAAAATGACTACAAACTTATACTTCATGACAATAATTTAAAGATTTATCTAAGTCTTAATTCTGAAATGCATTCTGCATTCGAAAAATAATATCTTATCTTCTTCTGGTAAACTAGAGTTGCATGAAGACATGAACATGTCTTGCATGTAATTCTCGCCTCAATATGACTTGGATCCGTTTAAAGAGTGGAATATATTTTCCGATTGCTCCAATTTTTGTACAAATTTTTAACAAGGATTTTTAAATCACCTCTACTGAACCGTCTTGGTATAGACATAACCGGCAACATATCTTAACGTGTCTTGGTACAATTGAATCATATCGCTTTCTGTACTGTCGTCTCCTGTATCGACGATAAATGCATGGATTACGTGAGACTCGACTTGCCGTTACTGTAATGTGGCTAAAAAATGACGACTGATGATTAAGGGGGAACCCGGTTTAGGGGTCAACAAAAACGGTTTTTTTGAAACTTATCTCATTCCATTTGAAATATATTCAGAAATATTTCCACAAAATTTCAGAGTCAAATTCCTAATCGCTCCGCAGAAATGGCCTCTGAGAGACAATGCGCTCAGGAGATTGATAAGCGGGCGCTTATACTCTGAACGCGATTTTCTCCAAACAGTGTTTTTTTGTTTTGTGCACACGATTAAAAAAGTTGTAATTGTCGCATTTTCATAAGTGATACCTTTTTTTAAAAGCTAATAGTGTAGGCCTCTATGTGAACCTAAAGAATTACAATAAAAAAAATTTTTATTAACTTTTTTCAATAAATTATCTTAAAATTTCTTCAGAAAAACGCAGAATTTTTTATAAACAGTCATAAAGTAAATAATTTTATACATTTCTTCACATAGAAGAGCAACTCCTAAGCTACAAAAAAAGTATTCGTTTTTATGTTTCAGATCGTAGGATCGCTATCGAGCGAGAAGTGCCATAAACAAATACAAATTGTTATTGCTTAACAGTATCAAATAAAGTGAAAGTAAATTTTTTTTTGCAAAATTTGTGTATCTATGACCTATTTGAACAGTACTTGAAACATTTCATTCGTGAGGCAACCTAAAAAACTGTGCCGAATATCATGCAATTGTCAGCGTTCTAAACCAGGCTCCCCCGTTGAAGGTACGAATACATGGTTGGAGGTTGATTACTTTAGCCATATAATAAATAAATATTAGTTGCTATACATACATACATTTGCTGAAATTTATTCGCTGCACTTTTTCTATAATAATTCTTTAGCAAAACTTAAATATTTTTCTTTTCAATAGACAAAATCGATTTAAAAAAAGGCAGTGATGTCGCATTATTTCATCATGGTGATGTCTATGTATATATCCATAAAGAAATACTTGAACGGTGTACTTTTCGTACCATTTCCAATATATCTGCGGAATTTGTCGCGTTTTTCGCCATGATTGAAGCCTAAAATCTGTCGTAAAGAAACTCTATAAGTGTATACTCATACATATCGTATATTCCAGCTACACACATTTCAAGTTAAAGTCATTCAAATTTCACAAGATTTTGTAATTACATTACAGTGGACTATATGTACATATATTTATAGTATAACCGTTGAAGGAGCTTTTATCTCATGACAGAAATGCACTCGGAGGTCCTGACATTCCCTGCCGAGGGGCGACCGCAATTAGAAAAATTAACTTAATTTTTTATTTAAATTAACTTTATATAAATTTGGGTATTGGTAGGACCAGCACTTGTTCGCTGGACCTCCGAATGACAGTACGCAATGCTAACCACTCGGCGAACGCGGCCGCCGAGTATTCCGTAGAATTTGTAAGATAAAATACATGACATGTTATAAATTGTTTGTATATACATATGTGTGTATGTATGTATGTATGTATAAAATATTTCTAGCTTTGGTCGTCCGAAAATGGGCATTCGACCGACTTTCAATTTGAAATTTCAGTCACTTGTAGTATTTAAAGGATAAACAAGTTTTTTGTAGTTGAATAGCCAATACATATGTATATGTGCGTGTAGATGTCAGACATTCGCTCAAGTGAGTCTTGGTTAAGTTTTAAGCGATTGTTATTGCCTTGAACATAAATATTTGACAAAAAATAAAATTAATTTGTGTTTTCATTGCATTAGTTGTGGGAAAATTTTATAATGTACTATATATGTATGTATGTATGCATGTGCGTGTATATGCAATTGAAAATGTATAAATCAAAATATTTAATCAGCAACTGGAAAGTTAATAATTTGAGACCTCTACTGGTCTATTCTCACTGTTACCGGTAAAGTAAATTTTGTTACTAAATATGCCTGGACAACAAAAAAAGCTGAATGAAAACGAATCTTAAAAATTAAAGGGATATTTTTCAGTCTCGAAAACTTCTTAAAATACGGCCTCTTGCACTTTTTTCTTCATCTTCAATGATTCCAGGCCTAATATATGCCTACCCAATTTGGTTTTTTATTTTTTCTCAAACTTACAACACGAAATCAAACAGCAGATATTTTTGTTACCTCCTATTTCGCTGATAACAAAATTTACAGGGTGACAGGGAACTCAGAATACGAAATGGTAACAAAATTTACTGAATGGTAAATTTTAATACCAAAGTAAATTTTGTTACCTCGACAGAATAGGCCTCTTAAAGATTTTCAAATTAATTCTGACAGCTCCAGATGTTTTGAATGTAGGTATGTATTTTCGTTTACGAATTGTGGTAAAAAAATACAATAAAAAATAAATAAGTATTCGTTATTTTTAAGTCTTAAAATGATGACAAAGAAGTTGTTTTTATTACAACCTCTGTTTAAGGGCTTTACTACTTTTATTGATTTTCATTTATGTACGGCACGAAGCAATTCAAAGGATTATATTCTTGTGGGCTTAGGCTGATCGTCTTCGCCGGGCCCGAAATGTGGTTGTCTGTAGTGCCAGATTCCAGTAGAGAAAATTCAACAAGCTACTTGGCTGCCTCCAGATCGAAAAACACAAAACCAGATCGATCATGTTGTGATAGACGAAAGACTTGCTTCCAGTGTTTTAGATGTGTGTGCGTTCCGGGGTCCTAACATCGATTCGGATCACTATCTTGTCGCAGCAAAGATACGCACGCGCCTCTGTGCATCGAAGAACGCCCATCACCGCACACAAGGAGGGTTCGACATTGAAAAGCTGCAATCACAACCGACTGTCGAGCGCTTTTCTTCTCGACTTGTACACCTACTCTCCGAGAGCACTCATCAGCAATGCGGTGTAAGGGAACTGTGGGATGGCCTTTCAAACTCCCTACGCTCAGCTGCAAACGAAACTATTGGATTATGGAAAGGTCGCAAATACAGCTGGTACGATGAGAACTGCAGTGTCGCTGTGAAGTGAAAACAGACTGCCTACCTCGCTACAGTGCAATCGACCACAACACGGACTGAATGCAGGGAATAAAAGAAGAGAAATTTGTAAGTATGCAGAAGTTCGTATAGCAATCGCTCACTTAAAAAACATGGAAACATGTCCGACGACTGGAACCTAAGTGTGCTGTGCCCAATCCACAAGAAGGCGTTCGCACACTCTGCGCCAATTACCGTGGAATAAGTCCTAAAATGGCAAGAAGGTCTTATTGTGTGAAAGGCCATAGTCCACCGTCAACACAGTGTGAATTTAGACTTGATAAGTCAACCATTGACTAGATATGTACCATCGCCAAATCTTGAAAAAGACCCGTGAAAAAAGAATCGACACACACCAACTTTTCGTCGATTTTAAAGCCGCCTTCGAAAAACTTATACGGCTGTGTAAATTTTGATTTGTACCCGGGCCTTCCGAATGCCAGTAGGCAATGCTAACCACTCAGCTACCGCGGCCTGGCCTGGTTTAAATTTCTTCCATTGAAGTTTCTTTAAGACACGCTCGTTCCACTATTGATTGTACAACAACTGCTTCTTATTTTTGTATATTTTGAAAGGGGAGTTGTTATTTTCTTATCGCACCTCTAATGAACATGAAATGGTATTATAACTTTGGTCCGAAGTTTGTAAATGCCAGAAAGAAAAGAGGTCGAGTCGAAAAGGCGAGTTGAGTTGTCTGTTCCTCTATTTGCATGCCGAACTTGGTAGGTGGATGCACTAGTACATTGATATCATTTTTCGAGTCATAAATTCGTCAGAAACTTGTCTAAGCGAATGAAATAAGAAATTCTACACACTTACATATGATAAATTACAAGTATTTATTGAATATTATAGAAATCGAGTGAGCATAGCTTTTAGCTCCTAAGTGCTGCCGATTTGTTGAGAAATAAAGCTTTGGAGAAAGCTCTGTCAAAAAACATCTAAGATCATAAAATTAATTGATTATGTATGGTGTTTTCTTGGTAATCGAGCTCAACTTCTTTTTTGAAGATTATTTTCTTCTATTTAATGGATTTCTTGCTTCGATTTTATGTTTTATTTCATACAAATTTTGGATTTGGATAACTAATTTTTTGTTGCTGCATTTATGCACTACTTGGATGTTGCTCCACAAAAGCACTCGTTTTGAATTTGCTTCGAAAAACCCATACACACGCCGCAAGAAAGGAGAGCACGCCAGTGGTTCCTAAAATAGACCCCGGTGCCCTTCTCTGATACATAAGTACATATATTTATTCAATACACCTTTGGTTTACGATAAGAAAAAATTGGATTTGGTTAAACCGAATGCAGGATATTAGACTATGATTTTTCTTGATAAACGTTTTGAAGCCCTTTCTTTCATGATTTTTAATGAATTTGGTTCCAAACGGGTTTTACTAAGAAGATAACTTCTCGTTAGACACCGCAAAGATTTTTTTTATGATCTGCAATTCTTCTCAAAACATTCACATTTTGTTTTATTTTCTGTTATTCTTCTAGCATGATTCCGATGGTGATGGCTACATCAGCACGCACGAACTCAAAGGCCTTATAAATGCGGGTCTCTGCAGTGACATTCCCGCTTACATTGCTACACAAATTTTGCAAAAATCGGATGATGACAGTGATGGTCGCCTGGATTTTGAAGAGTTCTATCGAATGTCTCAAACACACAAATGGATGATTAGGAATATTCTCACGAAATATTGCCGTTTAGTTGTGCCGCCACCGAAGGCAATCGAAGGTGATCAATTAGGTGAGTTGGTCATGGTTTTGAAAATTTACTTACATTTCCCATTAACCGAAATATAAATGTTCACAGATGGTGTCTACGAAAAGCAGATGTCTGTTTGTCCTCCTCCACTAACTATGGTTATGTTTTCTATAATCGAAATACTATTCTTTTTAGTAGATGTTATACATTTTCAGTAAGTAGATTATTTGTACATTAAATAGTATTTACTATTCATACATACATAAATATATAAGCAAAGATATTTAAATCATCCTATAGCTTAAGTTGATATCAGTTGCGGACAGAAAATAATTCACAAAATTCCTGAAAATCCAAACCAAACAAACCTCACAGGATATAAAGCAGATACCGCAAAAACCTGTAAAGTTTTCATTCCTTTTCAAAAACTAAAAGATCGTTTGAAAAGGTATAATTTTAGTTTTAACTCATGTTCAAAGAAAAAACCAATGAAGTTAGGTTGTAGAGGAAAAAAAGTTTAACAGAAATTTCCCTTTTGATGTTGCTGTCCATGATCACACAGAGGAACTCTGTTGGAGCAATTTTTTTTGTATTCCTTGAAACTTAAGTCAGCTGCAAAAATTTGTGAAAAAATGGAAGGATCAATAAAAGTATAAAGCAAGTCGACGGAGCACAAAAGAGTTGTTACGTTGCCGTCTCAGTCGTCAAACTAAGAGTTTCGGCCACGAGAATCGCCCCTAGTAAACTCAGTATAACACAAAAATTCACTACATTTCTATTACTTTTTTCCATTATTTTTGAAAAAAAAAAAAAAAAACTCACGACAATCAAGATAAATAATATCAACAGTGTCTACATCGCGATTTTTGCCGTTATTTCTTGTCTAAATTATCTTTGAATGAAAGTGAGTCCGTTTTCTAATCAATTGAAAATGATTTTCAATATATTATATTGGTCAGTAAATCTTACTTATCATTATAAGGTGAAATATACTTTTTCTTTATCTTTATGAAAAAAAAGTTAACTAATTCGACTGGAAGCTTTAAAGTTTACTGTTCTTACAAAAATAACATTTTTGAACTGCGAAAAGGCATTCCTCATAAATTAAAAATATTTAAATTTGAATTAAGCAGAATACATTAAAATATTTTTTTTTTATATTTTTTTTTTCGGATGTATTCCCTTTTCCATTATATGGTGTCTGTGTCGATGGTTTCCCAGTAAATGGAGGGATGTACAATTTACAAGGTGCGTTCCAAAGTAAAAACGACGACGAAATCAATTAATGTTATTCAAAATAGTCTCCTGCTTTAGTACAGCTTTTTTCACGGTCCAAAAGCATGTCGAACGAGTGTTTCAACTCGTTGGCCGGTATGGCCACCAGTATGCCGGTGCAGGCCTTTTGAATGGCCTCCACGTCTGCATAACGCTTTCCTTTCTTCGGCAAATGTATTTTTCCGAAAAGGTAGAAGTCGCACGGTGCGATATCAGGTGAATATGAGGAGTTGTTGATTGTGGAAATGTGATTTTTGGCCAAACGCCAACTTCCGTCTTCGCCATAATCGGGCCGAACACGTCGAATACGGCGCACCAAACGCTTCCAAACTCCAAGGTAGAATACCGCATTAACGTTTTGACCGGTTGGAACAAATTCCTTGTGGACAAATCAGCATTGTCTTCACTTTTGATTTCTCAAGGAGCGATTTTTTGGGTTTCGGCTCGTCCGGCGTGTTCCATTCAGCACTACGGCGTTTCGTTTCGGGATCATATTGAAAACGTTGAAATTACTTGTGCACTCTGCTACGGGATAGGCAATCGTCGCCATAAACTTGTTTCATCGATTGAAACGTTTGGCTCTTTGTTTGAACCACCGATGACAAAAACATTCTGACACTGACACTTAAAACGCAGTAACTTCACTTCCAATAAATGAAATAATGAAGTAAAGGACAGCAGATTTTAACGCCCTATAGATGAAGCCACTAGAGGGCGCTAGATTCAAAAAAGCATCTTGTATTCTAAGCCGTCGTTCGTCTTCGGCGGTTTTTTATGAAACGCTTTTACTTCATGACAGAAATACACTCGGTGGGGCTGATATTCCCTTAGGAGCGACCGCAATTATAATTTTTTTATTATTATTTTCAGTTAATTTTCTATAAATTTGGATGTTCGTCTGTTAAGACACGTGCTAATCATTCGGCTAATATATGTTCTGAAAACTTGTTTTCAATCTTATAAATATTTTCTGAGGTATTTGTGATTTTGAACATCGTATTTTCAAATTCGGTGATTTTTATAACTCAGAAATAGCTCACTTCTCGTTGAGCGATGCTAAAAAGATTAAACAAAAAAATACTATTTACTTTTTATCAATTTGAACGGAACGTTTGAGTGTAAAACGATTTTTCTACCTTTCATGAAGATGAACTGTGGTCCGAAGTCCAGATTGGCCCAATATAACATACCATATTCCCCATAAAATCAATTTCTTCATATGTATATATGATTTTGGGTCACGAATGCATACACAAATAAACATTGACATCGAGAATCATCGAAATCTTCAGATTATATCATCTAGCTTTGGTTTACCTGTTGAGGCTTGGTTCAAATCAATAAAAGTAAATTAATTTATTGCTGCTTCGAATATTTCAACAGCATTAAAATTTAAAACTTGTCTCGCTAATTTTATTGTTAAATTTTATTTCTACTTTTATAGAGATGATCCCAACAACACTGCCAACATCGGAGAGAATACGAATGGCCCTGCAGCAACACTCTTTATTTACAATCCCTACCGGCGTTACGAGGCATGGCGTTTCGTCTCGTACATGTTCGTGCACGTGGGCTTAATGCATCTATTCATGAATCTTGTCATACAAATATTTTTGGGCGTCGCTTTGGAGTTGGTGCATCATTGGTGGCGTGTAGCTTTGATCTACTTGGCCGGTGTACTGGCGGGCTCTATGGGCACTTCCTTGACAAGTCCGAGAATTTTCTTAGCCGGCGCATCTGGTGGCGTTTATGCACTCATCACAGCGCACATTGCAACAATTATTCTGGTAAACCAATTGTGAATTAATAAAACTTAGTTTATTAAGTAATGAATATTTGAATCACTCATCATACAGAACTATAAGGAGATGGAATACGCCATTGTGCAGCTGTTTGTATTTCTAATTTTCTGTTTCACCGATTTGGGCACCTCTGTATATCGTCATTTGTCTGATCAACACGATCAAATCGGTTATATTGCACATTTATCTGGCGCCGTAGCGGGTCTATTGGTGGGCATTGGCGTACTGCGTAATCTAGAAGTTCGACGTTGGGAGCGTATACTCTGGTGGATCGCTGTCATACTTTATTTTTCGTTAATGATGACTGGTGTGCTGATACACGTACTCATGCCCGCATATTTTCCACGCCAAGAATTCAATTAGATATAGATTACATGCGTTCACGAATATACTATACAAACAAATGAGTAACTACATACAAATGTGACATGCGATGCACAGACGCACATCAATTAATATGCTGGAAGAATAATATTAAATTTAATTATCCTGTAAAGCATTTTGTAGATTGTAAGCGAAGAAAAGTATTGCGCACCAAAGTGCCTTCAGAGGTTTGTTTGTATACAAATTTCATAACATAATTGCTATTTATTATATGTTTCCTAATGTGTTTTTAAAGTGTAGTCAGGCGGAGTGAGAATTAAATTTTGTAAAGTAACAATCTTCAATCAAGTATATAATTTTATTTGAAACCAAATAATATTTAAATCTATTATGTGCGTACAAATGTACTTTGATAGCTCTATTATCATGTAAGCACATTTGGAATCAATATATATCAACTTTTTGGATTATATTCACACATTTATATAAAAATATTTATTTCTTTTTCATCAACTTTTTTCTATGAAGTATTTAAATATAAGCGCATAATAATTTATAAGTGAACTTTTAAAGTTTTGTATAAGCTAACGTTTTTTAATGTGACTTTTTCTACAGCGAAGACAAAATATTCTTAATAAAAAAGTTAAAAGTCCATTTACAAGTAAATATTATATTCACTTTATATAAATTTCAGAAAGAAATTCGACGATTTTTTGATGTTAAACATTTATTTATAATAATACATGGATGTATTTATTATTGTAAAATGAATTTGTACGAAATAAAATATAGAAGATGGTGAAAAAAAACAATAACAATAAACAAAGATGCTTTTAATATATCATTTTTTTCGAGTAACGGATGAACTGAATTCATTTTATATTTAACGAATTAAATTCAAATAATGATATCCAATCCATCAATTAGTGGTGTTTGGCGTTTGATATTTGTCCAATAAATGGAGGGGCTTACAGTTTATTTCAAGCCACCGCCGAACGACTGATGGATTTTAATGAGGATTTTTTTGTATGTCAAAAATGCACTAGGGTAGGCTGACATTCCCTGCTGAGGGGCGACCGGAGTAAGAGAAATATGTTGTAATTGATTAAATCCCATCACCCTTACATAGTGTCCTATTTTTATATCCGGTTGTGCTATGTGAAGAGAGTGGATTCGGTTTTTTGGGCCAACGGCATAAAACTTCAAAATTTACCATTATGCCTTTTAAACAGCTGTAAGCTTATGTGGCACGCGGTAGCTTTGTGGTTAGCATTGCGTACTGCCATTCGGAAGTCTCGGGTTCAAATCCCCGTGCGATCAACATCAGGGAATGTCAATTCCTCCGAGAGTATTTCTGGCATGAAATAAACCTCATAAAAAAATCATCAGCCGTTCGGAGGCGGCTTAGTATAAACTATAGGTCCCTCCAAATATATACATATGTATAATCATATATGACAGTGAAGGTGGTACACAGCCGACATCCGGAGGTAGAGTTTTGAAGACTATAATTTGACCTGCAACTAGGTGGTTTCCGCGATCAGACGACCGCAGCGTTGTTCTCGATCAACCGGAGAACTTCCACGACAACCAGTTTTACACCATGGATTTGAACCAGACTTTTCAAAGGCCTGTTACTTTTCACTTTTGGATCATATTACTAAACTTACATACATGAGACAGCATTAACCTGAAATTCTTGACGAAGGTTTAATTTTTGGTTTAACTCAAAGGTTATTCAAATAAATACACAAAATGATTTATTTTCTGTTTTCAATTATTTGTATTCCATGGAGAAATGAGTTTATTAATATGAAATATTGCAATGTCGAAATGCCTTGCAATTAACAGTTTTACAAAATTTATAATCAATGAATCAATTAACTCCCAATACTTAGTCATTTATATACTTTATAAAGATTGATAAACTCAAATGCGAAAGCAGATTTTCAATATCTCTAAATGAATGGTCCATTGATTTAGATGCATTTATATTTTCTAGTAGCTTCGCCTTCCATGCATTGCGGTTATAAGTATTCTCTTTTCTAGCTTGATTATTGAAAATGAAGCAGCGAATGTTATTGAAAGGACAGAGTGAAATTTATGGAGGTAAATAAGGTCGGTTGCCTTAAGCTCGCAAAGCCACAAATTGATGGAACACTTCCAAAATGTGTGAGTCCAAGTCCGAAGTGAAAAGCAGTGTCTCCAACGTGCTGCTGTATTTTTGCACTTGTTCGTGGTGCTGTTGGGATGGAATTAAAATTTAAATGTCACAATAATTCCAAATATTTATTTACGATAAGATTATCGTAGTTTGACTTACCATCAAGAATACTTGCTGCAAACGACCAATTGTCCAGCGATACCAATCAGTGTCCGGATCGCGTCCGTCTGTATCAGAGCGAACCAAATGTTCGGACAATATCATAATGAAACGTTGGAAAACAATCAAGAATAAACGCTTCTGATCAACATTAGCCGCCTCCAATTTCTCTTCCATGCGTTCGACCATCTGGATATGGAAAAAATGAAAGTATATGGAATATTGCGTTTTGTCTGTGCAGATATACACGTAGGATTTAAAGAATAAGAGCACTTTCTTTCTCTCTTTTATAGCCAAAGTGTTGTTAAAAGCATTCGAACTCTCTCTAACATATAAGAGGCGATCAACGCACATATACATAAGTCTTTAAGGAAATTCAGAAAGTAAAATGTCTTTCTCGCCCAATGAGAGAATTTTACTTAGTTTTCACCGAAGAGGATTCAGTAAATATAAGACAGGGTTGATTGGGGTTGAAGAGGGATATAGAAAATAGTCTTCCGATTCCGATGATTTTGTAATTCATTATGCATATGTGTGTAAAATACAAGTTTCACGTTCTGCATGCTTTTCGAAGTATTTTTGACCCAAATCTCATATATGAATAAATTCCTTGTATGGAAGAAATATTTATACACAACCACTCCGTACCTACGTCGGTTTGGTGCTTGAACGACAGGCAAGGGACGGTAATTATTCGAAAAAAATTTTCTTCAGGGACGAGGCACATCTCTCACTCGGGGGATAATAAACATAATTGTCGCATTTGGGGCTCAAATAGGTGAAGATAGACCATTACACTAAAAAAAACTTACTGCCTGGTCAGGAGGAGTGAATGGACTTTACTTTGAAAACGACAACGGCGAGACTCACTGCCAATTCGGATCGTTATGGTCGTACGATAACAGTACTATTTGAAACCATTCACCCTTTTTTGGGGGCCCTTCAACTCTTGAACACTTGAGAAATCAAGGTTAAGTCAAGTTAATTTTACCACACCTACATCGGTGGTCTTCTTACCGTGTAGCCATGTAGTCGCCGTGGGACCCATCAAAATAAATCGTGTCGTGTCGTTCATGTGAAAATAAATCTAAATGTCAACGATTACAATGGTATTGACCAAAACTACATTTTCTTTTTTTCACGGTCTTGAGCTCTACTCTCAACGCAAGCGACGTCACATTAGCGGAGTTATGAATATTCTACTTTGAAAAATTCAGAAATTATTTTTTAAATGTACATATATGTATAGTCTTTAAGATAAATAGTTCAAAAAAATATTGATCTGATAAAGAGGAATCCATTATTTTTACATTAAATTTAATGCTTTATTTATCATCGTTAGAATTAACCGAATCAAGTCAAATATGCACCGTTTTACTTGTTGCGAGTCATTTTTGGTGTGTGTGGTCTGACGTTGCCCTGATGAAACACAATTATCCTCCTGTGGTCCAAGGCTGGTCATTTTAGGCCACTAAGAGACTGTTTGAGCCGGATCACTGCTAATCGACCACGACCGTGTTCGTTTGACGTTGTTGTAGGTTATCCACCTTTCAGCACCAGTAACTAGAAATTCGGCTCATGAGGCTTCTCGTTAATTCATGTGGCACCCACACATCGCGTTTCTATGTGTATCCAACATTTTTCAAGTGGTTTCAAAATGTCCCAGGAGGGACTCGACGATTTCCATTATTTTATTGACATTTCCCACACCGTGGAAAATTGCCGGAACAAAATCGACGACACACAAAATAAACTTTTTCGTAAAATATAGCGTATTTTCTCTTTGCTGGTGTCCATCTTTGACATGCTCTAAAACACTACTGCGTTTTTTATCCGGGCAAAGAAAATCAACTACTATATCTTCCCATTTAGAGCAGCGGATGTCGTCTTACGTGTCTAAAAATTAAACCTTCCCCTTATAAACATACTTGTACATCACGTGTATGTCACACTGATTTTCTTTTATATATTGTCGACCAATTTTTGATTGGATGATCTAGAAGAAACTTCTAAATAAACACTGACTAGGCTGATAAAAAAAATTAAAAAATGATCGAAAAACATAAACAAAAAATTTAACAAAATGCGTACACTGTTTCTTAGCATGCCGCTGTGGTCTCTACGCTTGCTACATCGACTTATTTCTAATCCATTGTACTGAGCCATCTTTGATGGCTTTGCCATTGCGCCTAATTTGTGTGCACACATTTTGAACCAGAAGTACAGACGAATGAGCTTAGCGAATCTCCAACAGACCTTCGCAGATCTGCATACATACATACATTTACACAGCCAGTGTTAAAAGCAAACAAAATTTCAAAAGGTACATAAAAAACCACGCCAAACGCAGCCACCAGTATTCTTAATTTCTAACAGTTTCGGTCTTTTCCGACACATAGTTGGTCAGCTGAGATCTTTTGCGTGCCAAGCGAAGCGTGAATCCAAAACAAAACGAAAACACGCTATGAATAATTAAGTGAACGACTGAGGAATAGATACGAAGTAAATTAGTAGCAGAGTAGCCAAACCGGCGGCATCAACACTGTTCACTGCTTTTAAGCGTAAGTTATATAATCCATATGCAGCGAATGACTGCGCCGCCGCGTGTGGGTTTTGCATATTTAATTACCATTTTTTGTTTGGATTTTCATTAATTTGATTAAAAATTAAACTGCGAATTTTTCGTCAAATTAGGTCATTTCAATTGAATGCTCACAGAAATCGCAATACGTACATAGATCTTTGGCAATGAAAAGTGAAAATGCAGGGCAAATTTAATGAACTGTGTGCAATTTTGGTTCTTCAATTCTTTAAACGATGTGGCAATTAAAAGTACTGCCCTTTCTATGTCTATTTCTATTTCTATCTTTTTATTTAACTCACCTCCTCAGTTGGTTTATCGACATGATTGATTGGCTTTTTACGCTTTGGCGTAGTCTCATCTTCTGATTCGCTGGATGATGAATCGACTTTAGCCAATTTATCCTTCGCATCCGTCAGTTCACTACCTACAATGTAAAATATGATATATAAAACGTTATAAGGATGGTGAAAGGATATGTATGCACTCCAACTTACTCAATTTAATGACATGTTTGTTCATTTTCTTGATAGTCAAATGTAGTATTTCCCACAAATACATTTTAGTAAATTCCCCAGTCATCTCTTTGGAGAAAATCCACGTAGCGACAGCTGAACAGTCAACGATTTGCAATTTCAATAATTTATCAATTATCACCACCATCATTTGTTGATGATTCTGCCATAATTCGTAAACATTGTGAAGTATGCAAATTTGCGCCTCCTCGGATTCAGCGAGAGCCTGAAAATGAAAGATTTTTATTAACTAAATTAAATAATGCACACAAATTCCAGAATTCAAGACATAAAAGTAAAAGAGATATAAAAATTCAGAAGACAGCAAATATTATGGGGTCGATTAATTGTTGCATTTTGTAAACAATTGTTGCAAATATAATTAAAACTAGGATAATATAGCAGTGTTGGTACTAATATTTGGTATGATGGCCACTTGCATCTATAACTGCTCGAAGACGATGGGGCATGGACTGAATAAGGTTGCTTAGCTCATAATATCAGGTCAGGTATTTTGTTCCCCTCTTCCTGAATGACCTTAATAAGAGCGTTTTTATTGGTTGAGCCCCGTTTGACCTCTCGCTTCTTTAAAAAAAAGCCCATACATTTTCTATGGACTCTATTCAGGACTCTGGGCAGGAGTGTCAATCACTTTACTGCAATTATATAGCAGACACGTTCTGCACAGCAATGATTTATGTTTGGGATCTTTGTCCTGGTAAAATTTGTACCTTAATTTATTACGGTTTTCATGGTCAACAAATCCAAATCTTATCGCACTCTGACTGACAATTCAACAAATGTCCAAGTAAAACACCAAGACATCACGTCATTGAAAATTCGGAGTTCACCGACACTTTTCGACGAAATGTAAACCCAAACTACTATAAAAGCAAATTACCAAATTTTACTGTCGAAATTATATTTTTTAGTAAATAAATTAATTGAATAAGATTTTCATTAGTTCGCTGGTCCGTCGTTTTTAAAAGCGCTAAACCAACAAGATCTGAACTCTCCAAAGCATTAATCGAATTGAATGTAATAGAGCAACGCGTAGCTATGACGCACGCGCTCACTCGTTTTCAAATTTATGGTACCGTTAAGTTATCTACGTTTTATTTTGAATTGTGTGGGCATTTTGCAAAGAATTAAATGACAACGCATAATTTGGCGAATTTTAAATTTGTTATTTTTTTACCGTTAGGTTCTAATGTTTGTTATTTCTGCGAGAGATATTGTTAGTTATGAAATAAAATTTAAAAAGAAATTTGAAATTTTTTTTTAGTTATATTTTTAAACAATTTTTGCAAAAATATTTAGCTTAAGAGTCCACTGCAGCCAGATATGCGTGATTTTATAAAACCGTTTAGGTGCGCGCGACACGAACGAACGATGACGCGATGAAGAACTTTGGGTAGTAACTATTTTGGCCGGTAAAAGGAATCAGAAATTCAAAAAAAAAACGAAAAAAAGACGCAAATACACTAGTCTCTGCACCGAACCGCTATACCCGACCATCTTTAGACACCCCTATGCAAACTATTTTTAAAGATAAATACTTATGTATTTAAAATAATTTTCAAAACAGAATATTCCTAACTCCGCAAATGTGACGTTATTTTCGCTGGCAATGAAGTTGCAGTTAATACCATAAACTAGAATTTGAATGAAGAAAAAGAGAAAATTGGGTTTCTTAGAGACCTTTTTGAAAAAAAAAAAAACAATAATAGCGCTAAAGGTAATTCATGCAGGGATGGTTAAAGTGCCATTCGTATATATTGGAGATGGAATCTCTAACCCTCCTACCAGCTATTGAAATAATCGAAGGCTTAGCGACATCCATCACAAATAAAGAATTCCAGATGACTTGGAAAACTCGCGTCATACTCTAAATACTTTAGCAGGTCAAATTCCTAATTATTTAGAGTAAATTCTAACAAGTCTCCTTAAATGAGTTGTGTCCTAAGCAACATTCAACTATCCCATTCTTAAAATTTGCCGATTATTTTTCAGTTTAATATGAAGGTTTATGTATTCCTTTTTATTAAGATAATAATAAATGTGTCTCCTGGTATCTAATATATTGTAGAAATAAATTAAATTAGTGAATGTTTAAAAATCTTATTTCGTTTTTTGTTAGCGTGGCAGGTTTCGTCGTTGTGTCATACTGTATGTCCATGTCGCGTGTAACTCGTACAGCTCATCATTACATCGTCTGTGGTATTCGCCGTTGCCATTGAGCAAAGGACATAAATCGTCCACAGAAGCGTTTTTTTTAAGTATCGATTCATCGGATATCGAAATCGCCCACGCTTCGGCAACGTTTGTAAGTAGGATGGAAATAATAGGCGATTTGTAGAGTTTGGTATTTGTTCGTCACGAGACGACTTTATTTTTCAAGTGGTTACTTAGCTAAAAGTAGGCGGAATATTATTGGCCAATGAACTGCACTAATGTTATATTCAAATTCGATGAAAATTTTTGAACATGCCACAATATCCAGGCAGTCATTACCTACCTTCACTATTGAGTAATTTTTCACAGTAATATGACTCACCTTAAAAACTAAATGAAACTTCGATATTGCAGCAAAGCTATGCGAAAACGATTTGGCGCCCAAATTCAAGAGTGTCTGCACGAACACATCGATTTTAAGTGGGTTGAATGATGTCTCCGACATTTCCTGATCCGCATTTTCACCGGAGTTCGGCAACTCCTTCAGAATATTGATGACCTCTTCGGGTGTACACTTTTGGCGAATCGCCACCACCAATTGATGCGCCACTTGTGTCCCAGCCAAAGACGCTGAAATTAGGTAAAATAAAGACATCACATTTAATAAAGTAAATATGTATGTGCATATGTATATGGATATTCATATGGGTGACAAAAAATAAGGAAATGAAATTGAATATATAATTGCAATTAGTCGGCAGCGCAACCATCCGCACGACGAAGGCATACACCTATGCGTGAATTTATGTTATAAAATAGAAAGCAGCGCTCAGAAGTTGCTGACACTTTCGCTTGTATTGCTTGTAATAGATAACTTTTAACTACTTGCGTATTTTGTCATTTCTGACGGTACATTGCACTGGAATGTTCGTACAAACGTTGTGGTGAGCAAGCAGCGCGCTGGTTGCAGTTGCAATCGCATTTGTTGTTTTGGTTGTTTTTGTAGTCCACTATCTATGTATTGTGAATTTTATATTGCATAAATTGTAGGTTTTTTAGGTGTTGCTACTCTGCATTTATGCCGACAGGTGTCATTAGTATCTGCTCTAACGCTGCCACTGTCTTTTTGCAGCTGAGCTTTTTCTTGACTCACTAAAAATGTTTGCTTTACTTCAGAGCTCAATATTCGTATGCTCGGCTGCTCGGAACAATTTCTATTTCTTTGGTGTCTATTTTGGTATTTTATTCGTTGTGCTTACTCAGCGGATTTGATTTTACGCAATAATGCGTTAAATAGCTGTAACAACAACAACGCTGCTGTATAAAAGTCATGCTCCGAATCGTAAATGCTTATCTTGCAAACTTAATAAACTTTTATTTTTCAATTAATCTATAGCTTTGCAGTGATAATAGTATGATAATAAAGAGTGTTTGGGGAACGTTTGAATGCTGATATTGATTAGAAAAGGGAACGTAATTACTCTTGTATGAAATATTATGACTAGTCGGCCTTAGGTATTTAACTATTTCGATTAACTTTTTTTTGTTAAAGTCGGCCATTATGCCGGCATTCTTGTGACCTGTTAACGTTCCGTCATATTTCGAATGTCCTGATGGAACCATTCCCCTTGTTCTTCACTCAGATCATCAAGATGTTCAGAAAAACGATCCAAAAGCCGTGAAGAAAGTGTACCTTGACCCTCATTTTACGACTAAAATACTGAAAGAATGACTACATCAGTTCAATTGGCTCCGCATATTCATACTAACACTTTCTATACTTCCCTTTTTCAATATCAGTTAAGATTATATCCATAACACCACGCACGGTGACGATTGCCCTTTAGAAGAATCAAAAAATAAATGCATTTTCTTTGGATTGAAAGTATAAAGATATTTTCCGACGTGCATTTTGTTTTCCAATATAAAATTTTATTTGTGAAAAAAGCTTGTTTATTTTAAAGAACAAATGTGACTAGTAGGAAAACATATCTCAAAAGCAAAACAAAAGCTGTCTAAGAAAAATGGATGGATTTGAAATTTGAATTCTAAGCAACAAAAAAAAACGCACAAAAAGTTAAATTCAGATTCTTACTTGGATTGCAAAATTAGTCCAAGGGTTTCTTTCCACTTTAAAATATAAATTCACATAAACAACAGAGATAAACACAAATGAAAGGCGCGTAAGAAACTCACAGTATTTTGTCGTAATGAAAAGGCTTGACCTTTACAACTCGAAACGACAGAAAATTTGCTCCGAAACATAATAATTCGCCGCATTGCTGGACAACAGTGTTAAATTCTTAATAAATATTAATATGCACATGGATGAAGTCTCGGCTTACACAAGAGAATGAGGGTCCTGTACTTAAAAATCTTTTTGATGAAAAAAAATTCCCGCCAATTGACATAGAATTGGGACTCATGAAAAACTTTGTGATGGAAGAATTCTTTGTAGGATCATAGATTTAAGATTCTGAGACGGATGGAACTTCTAATTAGAAGTTGCACCAAGTAAAAGAGCTTCTGTGGCTTTTTGTATTAGTATTTCTTATTATTGGAAGTAAAATAACTGAAAGCTAAGAAACACGACTAGAACTATTCACCCACCTTTGAAATTTTATCCGATAAAAATTGTCAAGGGTATGCAAAACATGTCTTTTACTTGAAAAATAAATATGTATATTAAATTGGATGAGAGAAATAACATGACTCGCTTGCGTTAGAATAATACTTTGTAACCAAATACCCAGAAGTATTCCTTGGCTTCAAAGTAATATCGAAATTCACTAGGAACACATTAAAGTTCGCAGGAAACTCATGGGCGTGCAAAGCAAACCTCCTTCATAAGTTCCAAAGCCTAGCATGTAGCATAACAGGATGTAAGACGGAATATCAGGAATAAACAATGCAGTGAGAGTCAAGCCGCACTCCAAGCAATTACATCATGCGAGTGAATGTGCCATAAATCGTAGCCGTTAAAAAGGTTCAACTATTGTGGTTTTCAGGGTACAAAGTTATACAAGAAAATTAAACAACAGATACAACAAAAAAGAAAGCGGCAGGGACTATGCGGATTGGTACTGAACTTTTATCTAGCATCCTACAATTAAAGGAGAGTTCAAATTAAAAGAGAAGTTTATTCATTAGATATATTGGGTTGCCCCAAAAGAGACCGGCGATTTTTTAAAAGAAAGTAAATACCTTTTTTTTGATGGTCCTTCACCATCTTTCTGACAAGTAAGTTCCCTGCCAAGCTCTCTCAGTTTTTGGCAAGTGACCAAAGATGTGTGCGGTCTAGCATTGCGCTCGTGGAATATGACATCTTTACGATTGACCAATTCTAGCAGCCTCTCGTTTGATGGATGTATTCCATTTGTCCACAGGAGGCATCAGAAATCATCGTTTGGTTCCTTGAAAGCAGCTCAAAATATACCACACCCTTAGAAATCCCACCAAACAGACAGCATAATCCTCTTTTGGTGAATATCAACATTTGAAGTGGTTTGTGACGTTTTATCATGCTTGGACCATGATCGTTTTGAATTCACGTTATTGTGAACAATCTCCACTTATAATTTGCTTTAAAAACGGATCATATCATCAGTTCCAAAACGTCAAAATACTTTGCAATGATGTCGTTGCGCAACCGCATCATTACAGAGGAGCGCTACAGCCTGTGTTTTGATTCATTATAACCGTCCCTGTCTATCTACCGAAAATTACTCTCGGCTTATGAAATTTTAAGATGCTAGATGCGACTCAAGATTAATTTTTTTAGATTTGAATGGAGATTTCCCTTAAAACTAATTTCTACATAGATGTATTGATTTTCGGTATCAATATAATTGGTATTGGCTGCTAGGATCTAAAACTCATTTAGGAAGAATCGGCAACATTGGCTAGCGGTTAGTTACTTTATTATATTACTAAATTTCTTTTCAGGCCTCTAATCATATACTCGTGTTCGTTATTCAAGCACTAAGTTTTAAGAAATTCAGACATCAATTAGCACAGTTAGTATGATTTTGGGTGGTAATTTGGTAGGTAAAAATTTGCTCAAGGTATGAGAATGAAAATGTATTCATAATTAATTTATATTTAAGTACCACAAAATATATATTTCTTGCGTGCAAATAATCATACGTGAAGATATTTATAAATAAAAACGGTTGTTCAAATTTAATTACAACCCGAAAGGGGGCGGTTGTAATACAGATTTGCATAATTCTGAATGAAATTGAAGACAAGGTCGGCATCATGCCGCCCATTTCGGTAGCAGCAGCAACAACATCAACAAAAACAACAAACAATTGGACAATGTCAATGTAAAACAGTTAAGAAGTAAATTAAAGAAAAAATACCGACAACAACCTTTGACTCATAAGCTCAGTGGCTTTAATGTTGCTGCTGCCTACGGTGTAAAACCCCGTTAATTCGAAAACCTCTACTTTTAATTTGCTTGGGAAACACAGCCTAAAGCCGCACGTCACACATTTAAAATTATTTCTGAAAAAGGAAATGCAATTGAATGGTAAACAATGATTTTTTATGAAAATTTCAAAAGATTTCCCACTGTACCTAAATAACGAAAAATAAAATACCAAAAACAAAGCAAATAATACAACTACTTCACGCGCCGCTACAATGTAATTTTGGTTTTAACTCTGCCAATTATGAACTGCTACTTTTCGACTATAAAATAAATGGTTCATATCATAATTTTGACTTGAAATTAAGTAGGAAAAGAGTAAGAGTAGCTTTAGGTAAGCGGTTGGTGCCGATAAATTACTTAGATCTAAGTAAACGGTCTTCACGATTGTAATATTAAGCAAAAAAAAAAAAATTATGCTTCTATTAAAACGAAGTAAAAAATAATTTATTACGTGAATAAAAGTAAAAAGCGTGTCGGTGCAGTAAAAAATTAAGGGTTGCAATAAATACATGTATAAAAAAGAAGAAAAAAGAAATAGAAATTATTAAAAAAAGTTTTAGCTTCTAAAGAGGTCTATCTTTTACATATGAGCTATAAGAATATACGTACACTCGTAAGTATATATATATTAGCTTCTAGGGACCACAATTTATGTTATTTTTTTTTTTTTTTTTTTTCAAATTATTATATTGTAACTTACAAATATTCTTTGAATTTGCAGTGAAACTGGCAAATACTTTTCATGCTATTCGACAATCAACAAAGAGCTCTTCGGAGCGTTAACTCAAAAGCTGTTCGAAGATTTTTGTTTTTCTAATTTAAATAATGCATAAAGAACTAAAACGTTTCTTGAGCCCGGAATTTCGTAAATACAAAAAAATATGTATGAGTTACAGCATGTATTTCAAGAAGTTGGGATGATTTTTTATATTCAACATTTTTTCGTGCTTTTGACTACTTCAAGCTCCTCTCAATCAAAACACGTTCAAATTAATATTTTATTGCATTTCTGTTACGAGTTTCAATATATGTAAAGCCACAACGAGGGAGCGTTTTTATGTTTGTGGAATGAGGAATAAGTGTTGGAAAAAAAAAACAAATTATTTTCTTTTTTAAATATAAACAGATACATTTTTCCCAACTTCCAATTAATTTGTTTATAACTTCGTGAAAAAATGTTTTCTCTTGATATTCAAAATACGCCGACTTCACCATCGGTGATAAATTTGTTATCCCTCATTTTGTTTTTTATTTTTGGAAATAGTTAAAAAACACTAGTGACCAGGTCGGGGCTGATTCAACTTACTGCTTCATTTTGTGAATTCTATCTTCTTTAGTCGTGCATCGTCGAGGACAATCCTCGTCACCTCGATGCTCCTGCCCGGCCTCGGGACGTCTTCAATAGATTCCCTTCTTTGCCGAAATAAACTGTGGCACTTGTACATGTTGATCTTTTCCAGACAAAGTCGACGTTAACCAATTCTGACTCTTTAATTATGTGGAAATTTTATGTTGCTTAGTTTAATGCACTAGTTTTAATCAGAATTTCTTTCAATAAAATATACTGCCTTAGAAAGCCTTAGCCTTCCGTAATTGATTTTTTTTTAGATTTTTATATGACACCTTCTTAATACAGCAATACAGAATAATAATAATAAATTTCATCTTGCTCAATGTCTCTTAGCCTTAATTTTAGTCTAGGTCTAGAACCCACTGTCTTAGAAGGCGCTGAATCATTTAAAGCTGATTGAAACAACCTTATCAGAGACATCGGATCTTTAGGGTTGCCTACTACATGCGTACGACGAGGGATGAAATTGAAATTAAAACTGAACAACGCTTTAATAACTATTTTAAATGTAAATATTTATACACAAAATGTCAATGAGATATTTATTATGATATTTACAGTCCTATGCTCACCGTTGCCGATAAAGTAAATTTTGTTACTTTTCTTTAACACCCGAAATTGAATTTGGTATTCTGGCGAACTGGTTACAATGTTTGACAAACCTGGCAGCCCTGTTTTTTTCGACTATGTCAAATCACATCGAAATGGAAGTTTTATTTATTTGTCTCTTAAGACATAAATAATTGAACATAATTATGGAAAATATGCCAGGACGACAAAAAAACATTTTCCAAATTAAAAGGGTAATTTTTGCTCGCAAACTTCTTAGCGATCTGTATCTCGCATTCTATAAAGACGATATTCTGAACTAAAAAAGATTGTTGAAGAAGTTTGATCACTTAACTCAGTAGTGTTTTGGAATGGAAACGTTTCGCAGTTGGGAACCACTTGAAAAATGTGAGATACACAAAGAAACTCGATGTATGGGTGCCACACGAGTTCAAGAGAGTTAATCCTTATGGACCTCACATCTGCGAACCGCTGCTAAATCGTGACAAAATCAAACCATTTCTGAAGTAGATGGCCACTGGAGATGAAAAGCTTATCACTTACAGCAACGTCAAACGAAAACGGTCGTGGACGAAGGGTAGCGAGCCGACCCATACGATCTTGAAATAAGGACGATTCCTTATAGTCCGGACCTCGCACGAAGTGGTTACTATCTGTTCCTGTCTATGGCAAATAATTTGGATCGTGAAGAATTGTCCTCAAGAGAAGCTTGTGGAAAACCTAAGGGAAACTCTCGCCAAATGTCAAACTGCTGAAAAATATCAGTCAAACTTCAAAATTTAAATTTCGCGCCTCTTAGTTCAAATTCATTATTTATTTTGACCAAAGTATTTATTTAAAAATGATTCTTCGGAATAACTTATTTTGTTTTGCTTTTCGCTTAGTTTAGTATAACACAAACAGGTTATTTTATATTTCAACAGCTAACGCCAGAGCTGGTTAGAGGCTCAAGAATTTATTCACGGTAGAACATGTCTTTCGAAAGAGGCGACTAAAAACTAATAGTTCCCGTGACAGATTTTTATCCCGGCCAATGACTCCTAAACACTATTTTGGGGTATATTTTTGCATACAGAAAATCAATTGAACAGTAATTACCATTCTGACTAGAAATAACCACGGCCGCGGTGGCCGACTGGTTAGCATTGCGTACTACCATTCGGAAGGCTCGGGTACAAATCCCCGTGCGACCAACATCAAAACGTTATAGAAAGTTATTTAAAAAATTAAGCTAAATTTTGTAATTGGGGTCGCGCCTCGGTAGGGAGTGTCAACCCTTCCGAGTGTATTTCTGAAATGAAATAAAGATCCTCATTAAAAGAACCATCAGTCGTTCGGAGGCGACTTAGTATAAACTGTGGGTCCCTCCATTTGTTGGAAAAACATCAAGACGCAAAACCACAAATTGGAGGAGGAGCTCGGCGGAAAATCGCATCAGCAGTTACAAAGCGCCAATTATATACTAGAAACAACACAATCTTCTAGGCTTTTCTATCCAAACTTGCTGGATGCTACCAATTTTTTGTATATCAAACTTCTTTGATAAATCCCCAACCAAAGGGCCGGGTAAAACATTTCGAATGGAACCATCTTTACTGATGGGTGACTACTTACAACAACGTAGCACACATTATTTACAACAAAAAATACTTTCTTCGCCAAAAACAACTACAACTGAAATAAGTATCAAAAAAGACTTCTCAATTTCATTTTTTTTCTTTTCTGAATGTGTTTCTTGCTACCGCCTTTGGTGCTTACAGATTTAGTTGTTGTTTGCTTGTAAATTATTGTTTCACTTAACTACCTACAACTACAATAATAGCAATAAGAAACTGAAAAGCTTATTGTGCGGGTGGCGCGCCATTCAAATGACGACTAACGCCAAGCGCATAGGCTGAACCACCGCAGTGGAACAACAAAGAAACCAAGTTTTATGACATGCGAAACGCTTCTTCGCGCTGGCTCAGTTCGATTAAAACATTCGTTTGGTAAGCGTCGGTGGTTAACGGTAGTTTTGGAGATTGGTGGCGTTAACATTGTGCAAAAAGGACGGGACAGCAAAGTACTTTAGAAATTAGAAGAGTATTCTTTTCATAGGCTCAAGCACAATATTGGACCATGGACTACCGCTTTGTGTGTGTGTTACAAGTGTATGCCATAGTGTTGTTGCTAATACATGTAAGTAAGTAAATTGTACAAAAACAAAATGTTTTCAAGTGAAAAATATATGTATGAGAAAAGCTAACAATTATTACAATGGAAAATCAGAATTTAAATAACTTGCAATGTCTACATTTGGATATGAAGATTATTAATAGTGCTTACAATAAGACCAAGAACTAAAAGAGTGTAAAGTTGTGGTGGTTGTATGTATTCCAAGTAAAAATGTATGTATTTACATATTTCAACAAAATGTTTCCGGGCGAATTTCTAATTCTTGTTTTGACCCTGAAAATCAGGTGAACTATGTGAATCCAACAAAAATGTGAAAAATTTGTTGTTGAGCAATATATGAATTGAAAATCTTTAAAATATCAGAAGAAAAAAATTCCGAGAAATTAAAAGCAACAACAATTTAAGATACAGACCAAAAATAACGTTTTTTGTTTTAAATTTTGTGTGATAAACAATCAAAGGCTTCCAAACACCGGACAAGTGTGAGAAGTGTTTCGGGGTTCGGAAGAAACGTTGACACAAGTGGATAGGCTCTGACGAGAACCAGTTCGAAGGCGATAACACTAAAGTAGATGAAAAAATAGATATTTTGTTCAAAAATGAAGTATCTAGTTATTTTTGCTACGCCATTCATAGAAGCGTTTTTGTATTTTTGAACTTGTTTTCCTCGGTCAGAGGACAATCTATTCGAAAAAATCGTATTTAGGTTTCGAGTTTTTTTTTTAATTGGATAATTGGATAAATACCATTTACGTTTTAATAAATTACATTCCAATCCTTTATTGTCTTTGGTCTGAATCACGATTTTTTTTGCTTCTTCAGTGTCAATTGCGAGGTCCGGTTCGCAACCTAAGGTAGTTAGAGATGACACATCGTCTTATTACTGACAACACTAATTGCGGGACTCATTGCTAGTATAAATAACACAATTGTTTATTAGAACAAGCCTATGTCGACGGAAACTGGAAATTCTCGTGTTCGGCTCCATGACCTATGAAGTAGACCCTGGCACGGTGGGCTCAGAGACGGCCGTGACCGAAAAAATGTTAAGAAAGTCGGGAAATTAGTACTGGCAAAGAACGAGTCGGAGAGATTTTGCATGGAAATTTGATTATGAAAAAAAAATGAATGCGCGTTGGGTACTGCGAATGCTGCAGCGACGATTGGAAGGCTGTAAGTATTTTTGGGAGTTGTGCCAAGATGATTTGGATGAAATTTGCAACCGCATTGCAACAGTTGGTGAAACTTAGATTCGTCAGAATGATCCCGAGTAAAAGCAAGAGTCAATGCAGTGGATAAAAAGAGGGGAAAGATTATGGCTACCATTGATTACTTGTCGAAGGGTGGTACGATAAACGACCAGTATTACGCCAATTTGGTGAGTCAAGCGCGTGAGGCAGTCATACAGAATAGACGTGGCAAATTAGAGTGCTTGGGTTGCGAGAGATGCCTTAAAAGCTACTGGATTTGCAGAAATTGACCACCTTACAGTTCGGACCTGGCATCCAGTGACTTTTTCCTTTCGTGTTGATGTTTCCCCAACAAATTGAGGTACCTGCAGTTTATTATGAGCCGCCTCTGAATTTTGAGGGGCTTTTATTTCACGTCAGAAATACACTCGGAGTGGTTGACATTACCTGCCCATGGGTGACCGCAATTAGAAAATTTAATTTATTTAAATTTCTATAAGTTTTTGGATGTTAGTACGATACCAGGATTTGCACCGGAGCCTCCTCTCTGGAATTTTCTCGAGCCTGTCGCTCGCTCGGCCGAAGTCATTTTTAAAATATAACATGAAATCATTATTTGTCACAAATTAACATATGAGGTGTAATTAGAAAATAACCGCTATTTTCAATTTTTTCAATAACTATCTTGTCCTCTTCAGATATAATACACTCATGCCCGCGATTTTTCCAATCCTCGAAACACTTCTGAAACGCGTTTTTTGGTATCGCCAATAGCTCCTGGTTCGATTTTTCTTTTATATTCTTAATCGTAGCAAAACGCTTTCCTTTCATCGGTGTCTTCAGTTTTGGGAAAAGGAAAGGGCGCATAACTCGCAAATGTGTTTTATATCTTCGTGGAATCCACTTTTAAAATACACAAATTAGCTCCCTCAAAAAACAGAGAAAATGTTAGGGTTGCTCCCGATGGCTCTGCAGTAGGATCTCATATCAACTCAGTTTCGCAAAACCGTTCTCACCCGAAGCTTAAGAACAATACAATTACTGTATTCTTCGCATACCAATTATTCTTCAGCACAAACAACCAAAAACCATGGGCCGTGAAATCGTAGCTCCTAGTTGAAGAATTGACATCGTCGAAACGATTCATAACTCTATTAACTGAACTTATGTTCCAACGACTCTAAATTGGGCTATACGTGTAGACCACGTTGTATGAATTTACCAACTGTCATCGCAGCGTAGAGTGTTCCGTTAATGAATCAGAGCTTTTCTTCCACATATAAGCTTACCAACTTTAACGAAGACAGATTACTGGAGAGCATATTTTTGAATGCATAACTTAAATCTTAATTTACAAAAAGTTTACATTTCTACTATTCACAGTTGGATGTCGTTACTGCAATAGTTGGACGTGACGTGGTGCTCACACCCAAACGAGGTCTGCAGCTGAGTGGCAAAAGTATATTCTATGAGGAAGACTCGAGTGGAGCATCAACAACAGCAACAACACAGCACAATCAGACGCTCCTGCGACCATGGGAGCGCACATTGAAGCATGTTGCATTCGTTACACTCTTCACGAATGACGCAGCCGATGCTGTTGCCGGGAATGACAGGTAAACGAAAGTCTTTACAAGCAAGCGAGAAAACACACGCGGTTTATACTGCATACACATATGATATGAACTGTATGTACGTATTCGTTATTATTACGTTGAGTGATTTGTAGCGGTGTTGGCGGTGTTGACTGAATTGCGTCAGTGAAAATTAACAGTGCGGAATGTTGCGTTTGCTAAATTACATATTAATTGCGTAGACAGATAGCGTGGGGGGAGGTACACTGGTTAGTGCAGGGAAAAGTCTTTATATATACATATATACTCGTATGTATGTACGCACGCTTTTGCAGTGCGTATTCAATAGTAAGCGCATATGTTTTTGGTGTTTTTGGCTTGTTTAACAAATAGTTCGAATATTTAATTGCAAAACCGGCAAGTATTTATTGAATTTATTTCAGTTAAGGTTATTTAGGTGAAACATGTTTGATTTACTCACAGTTATTTATGTGTGCTCGTTTCAAATAATACAATGAAATCTCAAGTTACATTAATTTAATTACAAAGACTTGGTGAAAAGTTTTGCAATTGGACTATTTCTTGATTGCTTAAAAGTTTTGTATGGGCTTTAGTCATCGAGTTTGTATCTTAAGTCTTTTGTTCAGATTTGGCCAACGCACCTCGTAGCTACAATATTATATCCCGGATTGTTGTAGCAATCGAAATCCTGAGTCAATTAATTGCTGATTTGAAGCATATTCCAGATGCAAAGTCAAAATGGTTGCTACTTGGCTTTTTGGAAGTCATAGAAAATATGATGACAGTCATTTCCATAGGAAGAAACGCTTGCTTTTTAATCCATCATATCGAGCTTCTATGATTCTACAAGCATATTCAGAGTATATCTCACTCGTAAGTACACTTCGAGGTTGATATTATGATTCAACTTCATCGCTATAGGTTAGGGTGTTTCTTTAATATTGTCAATTGAAAGAATCAGGATAAAGACTGCACGGGGAAGTGCTTATTGTATTGCAAAGGTGAATACTACGCAGATCTAATTCATGATTGCTAAAATGTTCTTGCGCTTCCACGACATAACTCCTCGGAAGAGAGTGTGTGTCGTGAGCCGACTTTGCTCAACGAGGTATTTTATGTTACAGCAGACACTAGCAGATCAGATTACAGCCTTTAGTGCGACGTTCTGGCAGGCCTGTAAGCTGCGTATGTTGAGGAAAAAGGTTTCTATAATTCTTGCTGATGTTGCCGTTCTTGTAGCGGTTGTCAAATCATGCTTAGGAACAGGTAAAATAAATCTAAGTCACCCAAGTCATCTAATGGGAGGTCCAAAAAGTGGGTTTTAGAGGACATGCAAAGAAATGGTTATTATCGTGCGGGGTCTCGGAATGGAGGACATACGTTGGATATGTCGGGGTTAAGTCGGGATACACTCTTCATAACTTAACTGCTTCAATTTAATTCTGGTCTATCGTAGCAATTCGAGCTCTTTGTTTTTAAAAGGTTTAGTGGGATTAAGAGTGCACCATTGACGGAAAGAAGCTTGATAAAAGAGTTGACAAAATCACGGTGAATGATATTTAAAGCCTGCCGAAGTCAAGAACATGGTTGTAGCTTCTTCAACCACGTCTCGCGAGGCCCTGGCGACCAATTTCCTTGTACGTTGCAAACAACTTTGTCTTTCTCTTAAGCGCTGCCGGCTAGCGATTGTTGCTATCCAGCAGTCATCGGAATGTGAGATCAAAAAAACGTCGTCTGATAGTGCTCCTTCTAATGAAATGCGAAAATTAAAAATAAAGCGGCGAAAGGATACCATCCTGCCGAATCCCTTGTTTAGTTTTATGGAGTTTTGTGTTTTACCTCGAAACGCTACTGAGGCTGTCAAGCACTCAGATAATTTATGGTGGACCTCTTTGCACGATGCACATATCCAGTGCGCATATTGTGGGTTGGAAAACTAAAGGAAACATCTCGAGTGAGACCTGCAGTAGTATTCGGTTGTTGGGTACTTTTTGCTGTTTTTGCAATATTAATGACACCAAAAATACATATTATATTACATGAATATAAAACATTCATAATTATTGAAGAAGCTTAAGCTTATATTGCTTGCAATGTATTATATAAACATATACTTATACACTTGCTTACTTGTACTATTATAAAGTCCCTGCTAATAATTCAACTCAAATTTCTTTCAGTAAACAAAAGGTTTACAACGACTTTCTTCACTCGCCCTACATTTCGAAACATGGTGAGTTCGATACCCGGTTCGGAGACATTGTCACTCTCGCGAGTGGACGACTTGAGGAAATAGCGAACCATACCTTTCGTTTTGTGGAAGGTCTATGCGATTATGATTGTGAAGCGGGTCATGTGTGGGCGTTGTGGCAGGTACAGAAGATAAGACATCGTGATGCCAATCGTAAATTTCGATACGAAATGAAATTCAGCATTAGCCCATTACGGACAGAAAGTATGGGTAATATTAAGAGAAGAGCCGAGCTGGATGGTAAAAATAGCAGCAAGAGAAGCATGTTTCAAACATATATACAACGTGAGGATGATTATCCGCATACCTTTGGAAAAATCATTTACAACGATGACCCGCGCTTTGCCGACCGACGATTTGACGATGCTGCAGGTCGGAATTTCAGGCAAGTGGGGTCAATGAATCAGTACCGACAGGCAACGCCTATGCCACAGCCGACTTTTATACATAACATCTTCCAGCCGCATCCTCACTTTCCGCCCTTGCAGGAGAAATTAAATATTGGTGAATATATTAGAGATTATCCGCCAAAGGCGTCACCGAAAATAGAATTATTTCCGAATATACTCAATGCGGTAAGCCGTAATTACTACCCAACACCCACCACATACCGTCCCAATTATCAGACCAAATTTCCACGACCAGAATTGTATCCACCGCCAACCCATCAAGAGCCCTTGAAATTTCCTGATATTTCACAAGAATCTGGCCAACTTGATGGAGTTACTAAACTATCGAAGCCGGTGGTGACACACCACTTCCATCATCATTTTTATATGCCGAGCACCACCAGTATTGAAAATGGACTAGGCAGCGCTGAAAAGCCTCTAAACAAGCCAACAGACGCTTACAAAAATGCAATACCTGAAACCACAGTGCCCACCTATTTCAACAAATACTACAATGGTGACGTAAAAACGAGTTTCCAACAGAGTCCGCAATCACTTAAATCCATAAACTACCCACATGCCGAGACCGAAGTGCATAGAGAACATGTGGTGCAGGTGACGCCAGTCCCGCCGCTGAAGAGACCGCAAATTTATCAAATGTATCAGATACCTATTGACTCGAAGGTGCCGCTGCTCATCTATCCCGCACCTGTAGTGGAGGAAGAGTCAACATTGTCACGCAATAAACCATTTATACAGAGTGAACCGATGAATGATGAGCCCATACGATACTCTGAACCCGATCCACTTTATCTTAATTTGGCGCACAATCCGCCAATTGACGGTCAATCCTATGAGCTGGGTGCACCACAGTTAGAATCACCGAAAATAAATCAATTTGCCGAATATGCAGATGCGCACATCAATACTGTAACCGGCAGAAAAGTATCAAAACCAGACTCCATAGCTGCACAACTACCACCCCCCGATAATGATCAGGATGTCCGCATACCATATGAAGACGAGTCTCAGGAGGATAGGAAGCAGAAGCCGGACTTGGAGCAGACTCCTAGCCAAAAAGATTTGCAAATATCATTAAAAGAGAAGCATATTAATAAGATTAACACAACAATCGAAGCTCCAACTACTACCATCACGACGGAGAGCCTCTTTGAAACCACCCACAATATGCCATCAACAAAGCGCACTATAACCACCACGTCTACAGTAGAGCTGTTGAGCACTGGTAATCAATTAGAGGCGCTCGAAACGTCAACGGCGCCCGCACAGACCACAGTCATGCCCACAACCAATCGACTACTCTCAGCAACAACTCCTATGCCGTCTACGACAGCTGTCGATGACATCGCACAGCCTTCCAAACAGAATAAACAAAACTTTATTTCCACTTCTACAGCAGAGACGCCATCACTACGCGCTATTAGTCGTTATCGCTTAAAGCATGCCCGATCATCGACAACAACCACCGAGCAACCGGTGCTCAAATGGAAACCAAGACGCAAACACTCGTATAGTAGCAGATCAGTCACAAATTCTGCTGCGAAATCTAGCTCAGAAAGCGAAAAATTCACACAAGCAAATGATACCAAGAAAGAAGAGGTGAAGCGAGAACTAGAGGTTCCTCAAGGTCAAAGGCATGACAAACAATTGGCCTCTACGATAGAAACGAATGTGACCAAGGTTGGTAATGATTCTTTGCCTACCCAGAAAGGAAATGAAGTTATTGAGGTGCTTACACAAAAGTCCGTTAGCAAGTCAGTAAGTATTAAAATCGGTCATAATGGGGAGGAGATACCCGTCATTATAGATGACGATGTGAAGGAAGCAAATGAGGTTAAAACAGACTAAAGATTTTTTTTCATTTTTCTCCTTGTTGTGCTTTAAATACCAAAAATTGTTGATATTTGTTTTTTGTTTTTGTAAATAATGTTGAAAACTATAAACACTACTTTTTCATATTTTTGTCGAATAATAAAATTATTAAAAATTATTAATAAATATAAGTACCTAAGCCAAGCAAGAATTATTTATTGCGCATATAAGAAGCTCAAATGCCATCTATTCGTTTTATTGTTGTTGTTGTTGTAGCGGTTCGATAACACCGATTAGGCACAGGTTTGATTAATCTAAGTCGCCGAGGTCATCTAATGGGAGGTCCAGGAAACAAGCTGTTTCTACGGGGTTGGACCAAAGGGAGAGGGGGGTTAGATGAGTTGGTTTGAGAGGATATGTTAAGGGGTGTCGTGTCGTGCGGAGACTCTTCACATGCAGGGCATACGTTGGATATGTTGGGGTCGAGTTTGGATAAGTAAGAGTTTAACCTGCTACAGTATCCAGATCTAAGTTGTGCCAAGGTCACGCGAGTCTTTCGAGGCAGCTCGAGGTCGTTGTCTGCAACGGGTGGTGGTCTTACTATATATTACACAACTCTCAAGACAGCCGGTTCTACGTACCAGAGTTGACCGAGATTTTATCCGCCAAGTACTGTCACCCCTTCGGCGACCTAACCCCGTTTAGGCCAGAAGGTAACATTAATTCGTTTTGTGGTTTGGCACAAGTTACATATGATGTGTACTAGCTGTGGGTTCAACTTTCGTATAAATAACAAATGCTAACAATTGACAATAGAGAGTTGAGTCTAATTTCTCATCGAATATTTTTCATCTTTATTTTAGTGGTAAATATTGCTCACCTGCATCTTCAGAAGCGTATTTATAATTGGGTTGCGGCGCAATAGGTATAAGTTTAGCATATGCTTCGGGCATCATTTCCGTAATTCGTTGATGATAGGATAATCTACAAAAGTTTGACGTACTAATCATAGAATCTCATTTATAAATCTTATAAATCTTACCTTAAACATTTATGCAAAACTTCTTGTATGAATTTGGGGCGTGGATGTTCTGGATCTAACAACAAACAACTATCCCACTCCTCCCACGACCAAGTGAATTTAAAGTTACTTAAATGGTAAGAAAACCAATTAACAAAACGATCGAAGCATGATGTATTCATTGAGTCTATTCGCATAAATAGAATCTCCGTAGCTTGTGCTAACACTTGTGGCAGCGTTGCTGGTTGTAATTTACACAATTCAATAAGAATTGACCCATAAACGATTTCCAAATAACGTGGCGTGGGCATATGAAATATTTCAGCAAATATGACCTCGACAATGCAGTACTCAAGTGGTATTTTGTTTTTGTACGGGAAAGCTAGTAGCTGCGCCGCGCAATCCTTACGTTCTAATCTGTGTGTCTCGATTATATGATGCAGATGCTCTTCAATTAGGAAACGTTCAATTGAATGTGCACCTGGCAAGTTTGGTCCATCGGGACAATCGGTGTAATCAAACATGCGATAAACTACCCAAGGCATTGGGTATTGATAGGACTCATGATGTGGGGGTGGCACTATAGGCGGTAAATTGTGTTGTAGTGCCTCGCACAAAATTGAATCAAAAGCAAGGTAAGGACGTGGAATGTGCTTTTCAGCCCAATTATCTTGGCGCAGTTTACGTATTTGTGCCCATAGGCAATCCAAATATTCCTCTTGTGGGTGTGGTGCATCCACTGACCATACACGTAGTGCATTGTGGTGCTTCTTTGAACGTTTGTTTAAATAAACTTCGATACGTAGTAGCAGAGACTCTAGAGAAGATTCTTTTTTCTCGTATAAATCACGCCCAACCCATGGTAGAGTCGAGAGTACAGCAAAAACGAACCAGTCGCGACGTACCTGTGGTACTGTGTCTTCGTTTGAAACATCAATCATTGTGTCTAGTAATTGCAACAGACTAGTGGCTGAGATGACGTGACAATTAACTAAGTCTGCTAGAAAACGCAACGAATAACGTGCCGCATCCCACCAACACGTTTTCAATGCTTCCTTAAAAGTCTTCACCATGTGGTCTACGAATTCTCCACCGAATTTGTAATTTTTAGCATTCAGCAAACCAACCAAAGTAGTATAAATCGTACACTTTTCTGGCATTTTGACAGCGCAATCGGAGAGAATCCGCAATATTTTCAAACGGAAAGTGCCCAAATCTGCTTCCAGTACGGACACTAATCCTTCCAAGTTTGATTCAACCGAAGACGTGCTACGTTCACCAACACGCAAAATCAGCGACTCCAAACGATCTTCGATCTCCTGATTTTCAGAAACACGTCTGCGTTTGCGATTGCGATGATCTAAAAATTAAATACAATAATTATATATAGCAATGCGAGTTAATTGACAAGCATCTCGCTTTGTGAATTATTTACCATATCCTTCTTCATCGCCATCGTGGGGTCGTCTACGATTCATTGCGGGCTGCGTTAATAAATGAATTTATGAAAAACTGTTTATTATATCGCGTTTAAAACACACTCTAAATTGGAAAATTTTACACAAATTACTAGAGAAATCGCATACGCGTTTTTATCAGACGCTGTCAATAATTTGTTTGACAGTTCGCCGGTTCGACACTGCCAGGCAAAATATTTACAGCACCATTCACAATGGTGTTAGAAATTGACAAACAGAATCTTTTACTGTGAATTTAATAATGCAAGTTGCAAGTAATCAACTGAAATTAACAGTTCAAAATTTTAAAAGATTCCCTGCAAGAACGGGCACGCATAAGTAAGTTGATTTGTTCCTCATGTACTCTGTTGAGTACATACAAATTGAATGTTTTATGTTTCCTTGATGAAAAGTTTCGGTACAAATATTACACAAATGGGAAAGGTTAATTGTAACGAATTATTATTGCATTGGCGGCCACGGTAGTCGATTTTTTAGCATTGCTTACTGCTATTCGGAAGGCCCGGGTTTTTATCCCTGTTCGACCAACATCCAAAAGTTTAAAAAAATTTATTTAAATAAAAAATTAAGTTAAACTTTCTAAATTCGGTCGTCTCTTGGCAGGGAATGTCCAACCTTCCGAGTCGTATTTCCGATATGAAATAAAATATCCTCATAAAAAAACATTAGCCGTTCGGAGGCGGCTTGGTATGACCTGTAGGTCCCTCCATTTGTTGGAAACACGTCACGACGCAAAAACCCCAAATTGGAGGAGGAGCTCGACCGAAAATTGCTTCAGCGTTTAAAAGCGAAGGATTTTAAATTATCCAAGGCTTGCAACAAAAACTAAACAAAACTGGTAATTTGTCTATTCTATTAAATTTTTAAACATTACTAAGAAACTCATTTTGCAAAAGGCTCTATTTTCGGACTTTCATGAGGGGCTTTCAGCGATTGCACGAAAAACAATTGGTGTCATAAGCAAAATAAAAAAACAAGACAAGATTAACACACCAACCAAAAAGTTGGGCAGGCGCAAAAAGCTCACTCCTGAAGCAGAGAGGACTTTGAGGGCTAACAAAATTTTATTTTCGTCTTTTAGAAATTCGCTGAAAAATACCAATATGCGGGCAAGACCCATGATTAAAAATCCGTACATGTCAGCGGAAAGCAAAGCGGCTAAGTTGAGATTCGAAAAAGAACTCAAAAACTGGACAAACTATTAATATGGTCTAATGAAACGAAAATCAATCGTATTAATTCAGATGGACTCATTTGCAACGTAATATGACAGGCGATGCGGTCCCACGGGAGAAATATTCTGCGCTGACTTAAATTCGGAGGCGGTACACTTATGATTTGAAGTTGTTTTTGTAGCGGAAAGGTAAGAAGACTACGTTGAATCAACGGAATAATGCGGGCTACAGACTATATTAGCAGTCTAGAGATTCACTTATTCCAAGCCGCATTACAAACACTCTTTCGTGATTGTTTTATTGAATAGTCTAGACTAAATAGACTAAATAGTCCAATCATAAACAATATGATACGAAAGTAACCAACCAGTAAGAATACGCACACAAGCCACGTTTCAAAGTAGAGTAAAAGAATTTACAGAAGGTGAAGTTGTCACATCATAAGATTGCTTTTCTTACTTCCATTTCAAAACACAAACAAAATACGTAGGCCTTTTGTTTCTGTATTCTTGTTACGACCGCGTGTGAATTTGCCTTGGTAAAAGGCATTTATTTCCAAGAAATGAGGGAAATTTGACATATCTGTAATCACATGGCCTACTTAGTTTTTAAAAATAACGCGAGCTTAAATTTTATTTTAAATGGCTTTACGAAATCTCGTCAACAACAGCTGTACTCAAGCATGGACAGCGGGCGGTAATGGGTTAAGTTGACTTATGTCCGGAGATCTGAGAATCAAGTTTGGCTTCCTGTCAATCTACTAAATTATGAGTCAATTCTTATAGAGTGGGCACTTTTGGGCTGGGCACTTCTTTCTTATTCTTCATTTAAGTTAACATGAAGTTTCTAAGTTATAATAAAACAAAAAAACGTATAAATCTATAAGAAATCTTATTAGAACCATTAAAAAATTCCATGCGGACGAAGTCGCAAACAAGCTCAAGTAGCTGATAAAGGGAGTAATATAAGAGTTTGATAGACTGTCTCATTTTTTCAACAAACTTGTAATCAGCTACATCAAAGACCCTTGTAAGCAGCTTCAGGCCTCTGATGTATTGGATTGTTGTATTTGTGATTGCATCTGTGCCAAAGAAAGAAGAAAACACAAGCAATGCATGTGTCAAAGCTTAAATTTTATTTTTCCGCAAATCCTTTCCTACTTAAACACACATACAGACCTGCCAGCTATGTGGGAAAGCAAACACTTGTGAACACTTCAAAGAGGATAAAAGAAGGCAAACACTTAAAAAACGGAATAACAGCAAATCAATTGTTGCAAATTGCATAGCTAACACCGATCGGAGGATTTTCGAAATTGTATTGGTAACACACGAAAAATTTTGCAAATCTCTACGTACGAACATGCGGATGTGTGTAACTGACACTTGTCTAAAATTATATTTACCGTCACATGCGTTTTATGTGCGACAAACGTAAATATTAGCATTTCGCTAACAAGTCTGTTTGTTACTCTGCTACGTGCTCAGTGGCGGTAAGTGGTTTTCCCCATTCCCTGCTAGTAGTGCTTGGCTGCTCCGCTTTTTCAATTGTGGCGGAAATCTCGTGAGGAAATCGCTTATTGAATTGTTGATGCACAGATTGTCTGATTGACACCGTCAAGGTATTTTACATGTTTTTCTTTTCATTTATTTATTTACAATCTGTCGTTTGACGATGAGTAAATTATTCTCTCACTTAGATTTACGTTGATGCATTAAGTGCAATTTGTCCCAAAATTAAGGTATGCAATTTTGTTTTTATTTATGTAATAATCTATATACAAAGAACAAAGCATACGAGTACAACAGTCTCGTTCGCTCATAAGGATAACAGTGCAAAAATTTTCGAGGCGCCAAAGCTCGAAAGGATTAATTTAATAGGGAAATACATACATATGAATGTGTTTTCAAATTCGTAATAATTAAGACTAAATGAATAATATTAAGTTGAAGTTGTGACTACTCAACGGTTCATGTGCTAGAGCGGATGAAGAAAAGGCGTCTTGTTTTGCAGAGCACCTCAGTACAGTATTTCAACCAAATACTGTCACCGAACCATACTGCTCCTAGTTACACTGTTAATTGCGGTGCAGCTGTGTCTGAACTAAAAAACATTATAACCGCCTTAAATCCGAAAATACCTCCAGGAGACGAACATATCTCACCAAAAATGCCAAAAGAATTGCACAGCTTTGCTCTCGTTTTTCTTGCAAAGTTTTTCAGTGCCATTTTAATGCTGGGATATTATCCAGAAATATTGAAAAAGTCGCAGATAATTATGATAGCTAAATCAGGTAAGGACATAGCCCTGCGGTCATCATATAGACCAACCAGCCTGTTGCCTTGGCTAATTAGCTTTGTGAAAAAGTGCTGCTATCCAATATTACTCATTTTCTCCATCAAAAGGATTTGGTATTGGGGAAAAGACATGAAACAAATGAAATAAGGAGAGCTTTCGAATTCAGAGAGTATTCTCGGCCGTTTTTCTCGATGTGGCTCATGCAATTGGCAAAGTGTGGCGTGATGGTCTCATATATAAAGTTAAAAATCATCTTATTTAATCAACAGGCGATTCACAGTAAAAGTAAACGATTTCAAAACAGAAGAGTATCCCTTTACGGCAGGTGTTCCGCAGGGTAGTGTTCTTGAACCAGTATTGTATATTTTGTTCACCGCAGATATTCCTACAAGTGACGAAGTAACTACGCCAATATTTGCGGATGATACTACTATAATCAGTCGACATAAATGCCCCAATACAGCCTCCAACGGTTAGCAAAATGGCGCATAAAAGTTAATGAAAACAAGCGGAAGCACATGACTTTTGCATTAATTCCCAAAACGTGCCCCGCTGTCAAGCTCAACAATATGCCTACCCCACAAGCTAACGAAACCACCTTGGCATTCCCTTGGATAGACGACTAACTTGGAAGCGAAATATTTCTGCCAAAAAGATGCAGCTGAAGCTTAAATTTTCCAGTTTATCTGGGCTCAGCCTTGAAAACAAAGTCCTTCATGATAATGCGATTATAAAACCGATATAGACGTATGGAATCCAGTTATGGTACAGATTGCGCGACAAATCTATATAGATTTCAGTCGAAAACATTGAGAGTAATGGCAGGCATACCAAGCTACATGCGTAATGAAAATATCCATAGAGATCTAAACATACGCACAATCAAGGAAGAGATTGAAATCGTTACATAAAAATACAAAGCAAAACTGCACCATAATCCGAACACTTTGGCTATCCCCTTGGTCGGAGGCAGAAGTTAAACGCGCCTGAAGAGAAGCGACTTACTACCTTTGTGAAGAGCAACAGTTGTTACTTCATATTCGACTTGGTTTACCATTTTATGGTGAGCAGACTTACACCGGAACAACCTTCGCAAATCATGCAAATTTATTACCAATCGCCCACTACCGAATATTGGATCAGCCAGCCCATTTACTCAAGTGCATAATGTGTAACTTCACAGAAGCCGTACAGAAGTAGACCTTAGTGAGCTCATCCCCATCGCATGTAACAATGGAAGCTGTCCACATCCACTTTATGGAAGATTTTACGATTTTTGGTTGAATGGGTGCGTTAGTAAACCAAATTGTCGCATTTGGAGGGATAATAATGAGTGAATCATTGATCCATATTTCTTCGAAAATGGCGTCGATAATTGAGCCTCTCGGGTTGTAAATATTCGAGTGACGTTCATTTGTACGAAATCATTTTTAAAACATTACGGCAACCCGTTATCTCTATAATATAGCTAAATTTTTGAAGTTTTTTTCTTAATTTCAATCTAAGCGTATATGAAGCCTTAAAAATAGCTCTGGTAGAGGTTCATTATGAGTCATCTGATATGATTGCTATTTGGTACCGGAAAAGTTTCTAACCTTTCTATGCAAATAATTTAAACGCCATTGTTCTTCATAATTGGCTTAGATACCGATTGGATTTGAGGAACCCCGCCAGTCATTTATTATTTTGCTGCTCAACGTCAGTTGAAGC